GCCTAATCTCCTCAGCCCTAACCTAAGCGAAAACGGAGGCGTAAGGCTGAGTTTAAGCGTCAGCCTAAGCCCACGCCAAAGCATATGCTGGAGCCTAACCCTAAGCCGAAGCCCAATCCGAAGCCTAAGCGTAAGCCTATGCCTAAAGCTTAATCCAAAGTCTCATCCTAAGCTACCTTTTCTATGACTTTCCTCACACGTCGGAACTTACCTCTAAGTCTAAGTAGAAGTGTATCTCGAGGCCTAAGCCTAAGCCCCTTGCAGCCACGTACCCTAAAATATTTTCTTCTTGTCATCCCTCATTGCTCGCCAATTCCTCTCCCCCCCCGTTAATGCACTTTTCTTCGAATTATCTACTGCAACCTCTACTGGGCAGGCAGGGTTGGGATAGCCCGAACCGGCAGTGGGTTCCGGTCAATTTGCCAATGCGTGAGGGGGTGGTGTGAGAGGTGTTGGGTGGTCGGCGGGAAAAGCCGACCTTGTGTCTGTCCGTCTGTCCGAAGCAAACACAAATATGGGCAAGTAGAGAACGGTCCGGTGGTGTAGGGGAATAGATTCTTGTCCTCAAGATGGAGTCGAGTGCCCTGAGGGCATCTTACTCGGACACCCAGGCAAAAGTCAGTGGGTATGAGAAGTTGCGAAAGGGTCGATATTGGGGTTGACGAACACCAAAGAACAGTGGATGCTCCATTTTAATGGTTTCTTTCAAAATGTCGAAAATCTTAATGCCGCTTCAGAATTTCGAAATTTACATACGCTAATTTTACCGGAAAACCCTCGAATCATATGCAAAAATGTCGACATTATGTATTTCGACATTATGATAGCAAATCCAATTTTAGTCGTGGCAGGCGTTTTAACGAGGCAGGCAATGCACGGCTTGGTTATGCATCAAAGGCATCCAGGTCAAAAATCGCATAGCCGCTGCTCTCGCATCTCGGGGGGACCGAAATCTTTGTATAAGTCTATAAATGCCTAGTAAGCTCAATCTTTTAATATTGTTTTTAGCAATATATAACTACATTTAAATTAGCAAAACCATATAAAAACTTCCAAAAATGCTGAAAAAGTCGAAATTTTGGTCAAAAATCGTTTTTTTTTGGACGAAAAATCGGTATTTATGATGTTTTTTTATATACATTTGTAAAGGTTTTACGCTTAGGAATAGGAAAAATCATTTAAAACATTGCCACTATTCATATTTGAGAAAAAAAAGTCGGTTCCCCCACCGGAAATGCGAAAGAACCGCACATGGCCTATTTGATCCGACAATTCGCATTCCGACCTTTGTATCTAAACCTATAGCCAGAATAGTTCGGTTTATTGCTATTTATTGAATCCACCAATCGAAGCCGTTTTCTCGTGAGTCGCTATTTACCCGCCGACCTGTTATTTTCCGTGTTCCGCAACCTTGAAGCGATTCCCATAAGCCCTTCCCCCCAACCCTTACCACGCTAATTAAGCGGCTCTACACACAAAAGGCATTTTATGAGCTGAATTTTGGCAAAAGCGAGGTTGGCAAGTCAAAAACTATCTGGCGAGGGTGGTGGAAGAGCTAGCACAACCTGTATTATCCGCGAAATCTTTCTCCAAGGTCTACTTCAGGTCACCCTTGCCGCAAAATTTTTGCTTTGTGTATAAACGCAAACCCAAGCTCAAAAACCTAAGTAGAAGCCTAAGCCCAAGCCTAAACCTTAGCTTGGCCCAAACTAAGTATAAGCCAGCCTATGTCTAAGCCTAAGCTTGGCCTAGACCAAGGTCTAAGCCTAAAAACCGAAGCCCGACTCTTCTAAATTTCGTTTATCATTTTCCCAAGTTCTTACCATGAGGCCGGAAATTTGCGAGTCGTTCCGGCTACAAAGCCCTAATTCCGGAGCCAAAACACCAGGCTGAATCATTTAATTTGATTACCTCCAGCAACCGCGAGCGCTTGTTTATATTTGTTGGAGGTGTTTGTGATAAGCCGCGACGATTGTCGGTCATTTTTCCGAGAAGATGGAGCACGAGCCCTCTCCTCCCTCGTGAGGAGACTCGAAAAGCCGTCAGCCGGCTGGGCTCTGCCAAAAGCGGGTGGCAGGATTTCGATATAGTTTTTTTGCGGCGCCAAACTATCCGGACGGCGATGCCGGGAAGAATTAACGGACCTCGGAGTAGAAAAATGGGATAATTAGGAATTCCGATCAAAATCCCGATAGCGAAAATCTAGACACGTCAAATCCCGACAGTCAAAAAAACCTCGACAGCGAAAATCCGGCGATGTCGTTAGCGCTAGTCTGAGTTCCTCTTCATTAAACAGCTATTTTTGATGAAGTACATACACATTTTCAAAAGCCATATTCTCGAAAAGTTAGATTTCGAAAAGGTCATATTTATTTGTACTCATGCATGCATGCTATGTTTCAATTCGGGATTTTCGCCGTCGGGATTTTGCCTGCCGAAATCGTCGACATTTTCAGCTCGCTATTTTTCATATTTTTCGATTGCTATTTTCTTCCAGTCTCGCTTTGTATTGCGTCAACATTCAATTCAAAAGGTGTTTGATCCGATGCCTCGACTGTTCCACAAACCGATCGCCCCCCCCCAATGCCGCCCTCATTCCCCGCGACTCTATCCCCTCTTTTCGCGACTACAAAAGACTCCTATAAACGCTCCGTTTTCATCTCGAGATCCATTGTCCGGCGAACGCTAGGCGATGTCTCCTCCCTTCACATGCGGGGCGAATGCTCAAGTAGCCGAGTAGATGACTTTCGGAAAATGGTGATTGCGCCCTTGGCTAAACCGGGGTTTAAAGGGACCGGGAAGTCTTAAATCGAGGTCTAGTAAGCGAAAGGCGATTCTAAAGCTTTTTCGTTCCCCACATTTTCATTTTTTTGGGCAGGCATGAATCTTCCACTAAAAGGGTTGGGAAAGTTGGATTTTCACGAGTTGTCTGAAAGAGCTCGTGTAAGAATAGGAAATTGTCAACAAAAATCCGTAGCAATGCCCCCCACCCTTTCAACAACTTTAAAAATTTCCTCCCATCCATATCCAAAAAATCGACCTCATCTCGAGGTCCGGAGAAAGCTCGGATCGGGATGATTTTTACATCATTCGAAAGCCCTGAAACCGCGAAAAATTTTACGCTCTTTCATTTTTACAAAATTTTTGGACCTGCGTTCTATATTAAAGGACTAGGAATCAGCGTCGTAATTGAGTATGCAACAGTTTTTGCATGAATCTGCGGTTTTCATTGATTTTTGTCCTGTTATTCGTCAGCTAAAATGTAGATATTGGATGGCAAAAAGTGCTTGTTTTTCACCTTTCCGAGAGCTTTCGATAGCTACCTAAATCGTCAAAATCGGACGCTGCTGCGGCCCGCTATAGGGGGTGTCTGATTTTTTTGGGCCCTGTAAACCCCGGGGTCAAGACGTACAACCAACTCACGCAGATGATGCCCTCCTTTCCTCCGGCGTCATCTAGCCCTGCAGACGTTCCCAGCCCCCGCCCTCCGGAAAAAAAATAGTTACCGACCTTTCGACCACCAGCCCCCATCCCCCCCCAATGATTTGCTTTGTGCGCGCCGCGCGTATCAATTTTCCCACACTTTGAAACGCGTTGGGGTCGAGGGGCAGCCAGCCAGGGGGAAGCAAGCAATGGCACATGAGGGATCTCTAGTAAATCATAAGCGATGATCTGCTCGCACCGCGAGAGCTTCGTCAAGATACCCCGCGGGCACTGGGTTCTCCCAGTTTTTTAGGGGTAGTGGATCTCCGATCGGCAGCTAACAGCGTAGTTCGAGGTTGGCCTCGCTTAGGCTTAGGCCTAAGCGTCGGTTAGGCTTAGGCTTAGTTGAAGCTCAGACTTTGGCTGAGGCTTAGACTTAGACTCAGGCTTAGGCTAACGATTGGACTGAAGTTAGGCTTTGACTGAAGCTTAGGCGTAGGCTTAGGCTGAGGCTTAGACTTGGCCTTAGACTCAGGTACAAGCTCAGGCGTAGGCTTAGGTTGAACCATCTCCGTAGGCTTAAGATAGGCGTAGGCGTAGGCTTAGACATAGGCTTATGCTGAAGCTTAGGCGTGGGCTTAGGCTTTTACGCTTTCGCTTACGTTTATATCTAGATATCTATCAGCGGCGGGCACAAAAGTACTTTCTCGCCCCTTTAAACTAGTTGAGCTGCAACATTTTTGTAGATCAAGTGTCCCCTGCGGCTTCTCTTTTAAATTTGAACGCAACGCCCCGTGTATGCCCCACATCAGGTTTCCCATGATCACAAGAGAAAAGGCTGCTCTGACAACCGGTTCCAGTTCCCTTTCTTGTTGTGCTACCCGGTGCTTATGCAAATTTTCATTGGGTTCTTCTAGAAGGGGGGAGACGGGAAGGGCAGGGTAGAATGGCCGCCGGGAAATGGCCGATCATAAAATGTTTCGTTTCCGAAGAAGCTGAGTGAGGTTGACGTAGCGACAGGAAAATTGTAGATGAAGGTGGAAATTTAATGGAAATTGGGTTATGACGGTAGTACAATATCATAGTAAGATGCGTGGAATAAAAATTGTTTTGGTTTTTGAACAATTTTCAATGCCAGATTTTGAAGCTACTAACCCAGGTTCGACCGATTTCGTCGATCCGCATTCCGTCCATCATCTCGAAAGCAGCAATTTCGACATTTATAACCTTAAAAAGAAAATTAAATCCCGACAAGCCAAAATCCGGACAGCCAAAATCCCAATCTATTTTTGATGCGGATTTTACTGCAATTTTCCTTTAAACGGCTATTCTGCATGTCGCGATTTTCGTGTTCCTCCCATCGTTTTGATCCTTTTTAATCCCACACCCAAACCTGATCTCTGGCCCATTAGCTGGTAACCTGTTTTTCGTTCCCACCGTAACCCCCCGAATGCCAAATCGCTGCGGTATTTTTGTGAGGTGCCCGATTTGTTCCACTTGAGCTGCCGGGATTTCGTCGGGGGCCCCCGCGAAAAAACACTTGAACCACACCCCCCGTCAACAGGGAACACACCGGAATGCCGAGGCCGAAAAATGGCTGTCGACAAGGTCGCGCCGCGCGGCTAGCTATGTGTTCAGGAAAATACCCACTACTACCTGTGGGCAGGGACGTAGCGTAATACAGGCCCCGGGGGGCCCGGGGCCCCCCCCCGAAATCGGCCGGGGCCCGAAAATTTCATAAGGGGCGACCCTTATGATTTTTATTTTCTCAAAAATTTTGCTGCCTGCGGCGCTATTTTTTTTACGTTTTTACTGCTATTTGTAGAGCTATGTAGCTTTTTCCAAATTTTTTTTTGCCTGCGGCGCTGTTTTATCGTTAATTTTTTGAGTCTTTCGGACAAATTTTTTGGGGCCCCCCCCCCCCAAAATTTTTTCCTGGCTACGCCCCTGCCTGTGGGCTTGGGGTAATGACAATTGGGAAGATGAAATTTTTTTTAAAGGCAACGACAAATTAGAGTTTCCGTTTTTTCAAAGATTTAACTAAGGGATAAAAACTAATAATTATTTTCAGGAGTGCTTGGCCAGTCACTGTCGCCACCCATCACAGCCCGGTTTAAATGCCTGACGAACGGGTGTTGTGACCAGCACGAGTGGTGCCGATTCTGGGCCAGTATCGGCGAGTGCTCGGTTAGTTAGAATTTCGACATTTTGAAGATGGGCCGTCCGCTAGAGCAAAGAATAACTTGGCTGTGAGCCCGAATTGGTGTGCGACGTAGCTTTGCCGCAATATTTTCTGGGCGAATACGATTTTTGAGTGTGAGGGCGAAAATGATTTCTTGACATTACGTAACACTCGGTGATTTTCTGGTCAATTTTCATAATTAAAAAGTCTAGAATGATCAAAATTCCGTAAGGACTCCAGAACTTGCGTCAGAATGGTTAAATTCAAACATTTTCATGTCCAAACAGGGGAAAGAGATCATGCGGCGCGGTCGCGTTGCATTCGCATCTGGTTATTTGCCAGGAATCAACCATGGAGGCTTGTACCAGATTTCGGAGCTCGCTTAAATTCAAAATTTCAAACTCAGGGAAGCAGCCGAGTCATGAAATATAAGTATGGAGCCCTTGCAGATCAATGGCGATTGGATGGCAACAAATTGCCAGTTGGCATGCGGGACGTGCCGGGCGCCAGCGTCGACATCAGGTCCATAATGCTACCATCCCCCCCGCATCCCTTTAGAGCTTCCCCTTCCCCTGATTTTGTTGCTTCAAATCCCTTCGTTGGCTAATAGCCGCTTCTCTAGCCACGTCGACGACTTCTACGACGAGCACAACGACGACGTCTACGACGACGTCGACTACGGTGGCTTCTACAAGCACATCAACAACGAGTCCGACAACAACAACAACAGCAACAACAACAACAACAATAACAACGACAACAACAACAACAACGTCAACGTCAACGACTAGCCAGATTTTGAGTACAATTTCAACAGCGACGACGCCATCAGAATCATCGGCGAGTCCGACAACAGGGCCGGCGACCACCCCATTTCTGACCACCGGTTCGTCAGGTGTCGGTGCAGGGCTTTGATAAAAATTATCGCTAACTAAAACATTACTAATTTAACTTTAGAAATAAGGCCATGCTTTTCGTAGCCTTTTCTCAGTTGAGGTAACCGCAGCAAAACGTGGGCAATGTAGATAAACTGTCACTTTCCGTTAACCACGAGGTCTCGTCACCCAAAGTTTCGAAATTAGCCAGGCCGCGACTAGCTTTCCTAGATACTTTTGCGCATTGAAAAATCATTCGTCAGAAACGAATTTAGAGATTAACACTCTTTCCTGATAACACACTTTTTTAGGGTTCCCTCAAACGCAACGGACAGCTGCGACCAGCGTTTTGAGCACGGTAAGGTCGAAAAGTTGTGAATTGCTCTGTACGTACGTGCTTGAAAATAATGAAATTTTTCCAAATGTTATTTGTTTTAGTAAGGTAACGTTATAGCGAAAAGTCCAAGCGTAATCGAAATTCAATGTTAGGCTAACCAACGCCTTTCCGGATTTTTTAGCTTGAATTGCGAAAGCGTTCTTACTGCGCTCTCTCGCGCTCTCTCTCTCTCCCTCTCGCTCTCCCTCTCGCTCTCTGACTAAAGGCACAAAGAAACTACAGGACGCTTCGTGATTCGAAATTCTCGGTTTCCGAATTTTTCTGCAGGCGACAAGTCTTTGCTCTTGTAGAACATGTAGAATATGTTGAATAGTTTTAAATTTGTTGATTAACCTATCGTTACCCCCAAATACATCAGCCCCCGGGGTTTAGCGTGAACGCCTGAAGGCCAAGCAGCGAGCCAGGCTTCGTTTGCAACAACAACAGCAACAGCCCGATACCCCTGTGGGCCAGCTCTCGTTTGGGCTGTCGTCGCAGCGACCGCATTTTGTGCAACAACCGCCCTTCGGCCAGCCTTTGCCGCAACAACCGCCGCCGCCAACCCCAAGGGTGCGCTCGCCTCATCCACCATCACCACCATCACCACCGCGGGCCTTGTTTTTGCTGGGATTTAGAATGTCGATACGCCCATCAGTTGCTTGACACTTATCCCCCAGATTTCCATCTTTTCCGCTACAACTAACCCATCGGTGACGTGTATTATCTAGGGTATAGATGCGGTAGACTTGGTGGGAACTTCGGGTATAAAATTTTACCCTAAAATCAATTACACTCTGACATTGTGCGTCCTCGCCCGCTCGGCGTAAGCCAAAAGAAGCGGATCTCAAGACTGCCTGCATCAGTTTCTTTCATTAAACCACTCAAATTGTTCGAAATAGTTGCAATGTGAGCAAATATTGAATAACCAAACCAAAAATCCAGAGTCGAGCTTTGACGATCCTTTTTGAGCTACATTCCCTTACCAAGACTCCAACACCCATACCCATTACAACTGTTTCTGTGTACGGTTTACGGTGGTGCATGCTGTCCTTTTTATCTGGTCCTAGGGTACACCCATCTCTAGCATACAAAGCGCCGGTTAACTATCGGGCTGGTGAAGGAGCAACGACGCAGAGTCCGCGATTTCTAGACGCAGTTTTCCTTCTAGACCCAGCCCACCATATCGACCGGCTCGGAGGGTCCGACCACTGGCTTCCCGACGACGCTCAGCTCGCAGACGCAGCTCGGTGAGTTTTTAAGGAGTCATTTCTTGGAGAGAGAGAGAGAGAGAGAGAGAGTGAGAGCGAGAGAGAGAGAGGGAGAGAGAAGGAGAGAAAGAGAGAGAGCGCGCGGAACTCACTTTCAAGATCGTTTGGACAGTCAGAACGTCACCTGGAATCAAATGTAGCTGTCGAGACCTAGTCGATGCCAAGGGTCGATTCTTGCGCAACCTATATCTTTTTATTATTTATGTTATTTAGCGACGGCCGTCGGTGCCTCGACGCTTCCGCCCCTCTTCGCACCGCCGCCATCCAGCGGCGCGGTGACGCCGGCGACGAGCTGCAAAGACATCGAGAAGGCGCGCGCTGCTGAGGTTTGTAATAATATCAGTCCCGACTTATCATCTTAGGCTCTCGTGGCGTCCGGACTCGTTGATGCCGTCGACGACACCTTCGGCAGAGCCACGCTGTCTGTGGACGATATCTCAAGAGCAGTGCAAGCTGGTCAGCAGTGTATCCCACAGGTGGGAAGGCTAGTTAAAGGGCTCTTGTGAGACTGAGACATAGGCCGAATCCGAGGCCTGAGCCTAAGCCTAAGCTGTTACCTATTTCAAAACAATTCATTTTAGCTAAAAGAGGAGGGCCTGGACTGCAACAGCAACCTGTGCTACCACTTGATGTATCGCAGTTTTGATGGGACGTGCAACAACCTGAAACGGCCCATGCAGGGAGCCTCTTTCCGGCAGTATCTGCGGTAATAGGCCACGTTTCTTACCCGAGATTTTATTGCCGAAATTTAGACACTTCCCGCCACAGTATGACGATGGGAAGGGGGAGCCTGTGTGTGAGTTTTTCGAGAGTTGGAGCCTTGGAAAGTTGTCCGAATGCTATAATAGCGTGCGAATACTATGGATGAAGAGAGCGAGAGAGAGAGAGAGAGAGAGAGAGAGAGAGAAAGAGGGAGAGAGAGAGAGAATCTAGGAAACGGTGTCTAGAGACGTTTTTAGCATCGTTAACGGAAACGCGACCAACAGCCCGCGAAGCCAATAGAGTGATGCTCTCCTCAGCACAGGTAGATCATCAATGTGTAAATAGGTAGCGCCAAATATAGTCCGTCATGCACGACAAGTACAACAATCTGATGATGCAGTTCGGCCAGTTCATCAGCCACGATATTGCCAAGGTAGGTGCAAATAGTCATTTTTGAAGCCTGTCCCTAGACCACGCTGCAACCGTCGGCGAATTGTCAGTCGTGCAACCCGGTCCCATCCAAGTGCATGCCGATCCCAATCAGCGACAAGGACCCGAATATGCAGTACGTTAGACTACGCCCCGTGTAGTTACTGTACCACCCATTCCAGATTCAAGTCCAAGCAGTGCCTGAAGGTGTCGAGGTCAGCGCCAATTTGTGCGGTGGGTTTTGGCCGAATTTTCCACTTTCCGACGCTCCGATTTTCGATGCTAAAAATAAAGTGTTTCTTAGCTAAGCCCACGCGAACAGCTGAACGAGAATACGGCCTACATCGACGGCAGCGCCATCTATGGGTCTTCCCCGAAGGATTTGTTCAAATTCCGCGAGGGGCGAACCGGGCTGCTACGCGTTGTTCCGTTCAACAATCAAGTAAGATGCGCGACCGTAGGCATATGCTTAGGCTTAGGCTTAGGCGTAGAGTTAGACTTAGACTTACGCTTAGGTTTAGGCTTATGCTTAGAGTTACGCGTGCACTTAAGCATGAATTTTCACTTCAGTTCTGAAAACAAATTATGATACTTTCTTATCGTTCCCCGTTCAGAACGTGTTGCCGTTCGATCAGTCAAAGTGCAAGCAAGAGGCGGGCTGCCTGGCCTCGTTCACCGCCGGCGACATCCGGGCCAACCTCTTCATCGGCCTCAGCTCCTTCCACATCCTGTGGGCCAGGGAACATAACCGGTGGGATATGCACTGGAAAACAGCCATATCCAAACCACTACGAATTTCACACTACAGTAAAACCCAACTTTCTTGCAGAATCTCGACAAAGCTACAGAATCTGAATCCGGGCTGGAGCGGGGATCGATTGTTCCAGGAATCGCGAAAAATTGTCGGTGCCCAGATTCAACACATCTTCTACACGGTATGGCTTTGGGTGATTCCTTGGAACGATTTTTTTAGTCTTACCTGCCAAAGGTTCTCGGCAACTCGTTCGAGCGTGTGATTGGAACCTATCAGGTAGGTTATGGGAGCGAGAGAGATGGAAAGAGCTAGAGAGAATGAGAGTGAGAGTGAGAGAGAGTGAGAGAGAGAGAGTGAGAGAGAGTGAGAGAGAGATCTTAATCCAGGGCTATGACGAGAACGCCGATTCCACGATTGCCAACGAGTTCACGACCGGAGCCTTCCGATTCGGGCACGGCATGATTGAGGCAAGTTTTTGTCGCTACAGGAAGCCAAAAATTAGACGAAAAAAGGTTGAAATCATAATTTCAGGAATTCTACAACCGGCTGAACAAGGATGGCGGCAACATCACGCAGGGCGGCTTCTTCTTCGGCGACGGCGTCTTCAAGAGTGGAAAAATTTTGTGGGAAGGTGAGAAACTTTTTGGACCTTGCACGTTAGCATTAGGCGGCATCGATCCGATCTTGCGCGGGTTCATGTTCACCCGCGTGAAGCGACCGCATCGGCTGACGCCCGCAACGACGGAGAAGATGTTCGGAAGGTACAATTATTCTAATAAGCGAGTAGCTCGACAATTTCTAGTACCGACCTTGGGTCACTAAACATCCAGCGCGGCAGGGACCACGGCATTCCCGGATACAATACGTGAGTGCAGAGAACGAGCTTTAGGTTTAGCTGCTTAGACTTAGGCTTAAGTGGATCTAGTCTTCTAGTTTTCTCAAAGTCAAGATGATGATGACGATGATGAAGATGGCTTTTAGAATCCGAGCATTCTGCGGGCTGCCCAGGGCGAACAGCTTTGAGGACTTTGGGGACATGATTTTGGACAAAAACTTGCGATTTGGGCTCTCCAAAAACTACAACTCACCAGGTAACGTTCTCTCGTTTTAGCGCTCTCTCACTCTCCCGCTCTCTCGCGCGCTCTTTCTCCGTCTCTCTCTATCGTTCTCCCTCCACCTTCCCATTCCAGAAGACGTCGACTTCTACGTCGGCGCCATGTTGGAGGATCCAGTGGTTGGAGGCCTTGTGGGGACAACGCTGAGCTGCGTCATCGGCGAGCAGTTCAAGCGGACGAGAAATGGGGATCGGTTGCGTTTCATATACCGCTAATATGTTGGCCTTTAGGTTTTATTATGAAAACCCGGGCATTTTCACGCCACGGCAACTGGCCGAGATCAAGAAGACGTCTTTTGCCAAGGTCATCTGCACGAATGGGGACAGTTTCGATACGGTTCCAGAGGTAGGTGTTATGCGTAGGCTTAGACTTAGTATTAGGCTTCGGCTTAGGCTTATGTTCTCGAAACCTTTGTTTTTACATTATACCTTACTTTATACTTTACCTTCAACCATGCTTTCCAGGACGCCTTCTTGGCACCCCCGGGCACACCTATCGTCTCCTGCTCCCAGCTACCGACCATCGATCTATCGGCCTGGAAGGAGTAGTGTCGCGTAATCGTCATCTTCCTCCAAAAGTGTACCTCATCTCGCGAACATTCCATGTTTTGCCTCGCCCCCACACCTCACCCAAATGTTCTCAGCCTTGTAGCCGTCCAACCCCCATTACCGTAACCCCTGGCCAGTCGAACTCAGGTGTCTTTTTCTACTTTCTGCTCATCAGTCTTACCAACCAGCTTCTTCACCTCTCCAAGCGCACTTTCTAGGATTTGGTGCGCCACGGGTCTCCGCCATTTGTCCGTTGTTTGTTCATACGCGTTACCGGTACCGTACACATCCCATTTCTTTGCCCAGCCGCCACCGTAACCAGTTCTGTATTTATCTCCCCGTGAAATACTCTCTCATCCCAGATCCCGATGATGCCATACCATACACATCTGCCCCCCACACTCCGATTCAGAACTGCCAAGATTTGTGCTTCAGGAGATTTAATAAAGTGTAAAATTATTTGGGTTTATTACACACAAAATCTGGGGTTTTAAAGAGAAGTTTAGAAAAGAAAAAAAGAGTTTAGAGAGAAGTAAGTTCAACAAACACAGCAAAAACCAACCCGAAATCAGAAAGGCGTACTAAAAGTAAGCCTATGCTAAAATTCATCTCTAGGAATTTTCTTCGATTTTCAAGATACAAAAATCAATCGATTCAGGTACTATCAAAAAACAGCTTTGCATATAAAAAATTGCTACAATCGTGTAATATCGATTAATAAAGCAGACTAGACAAAAAATAGTGAAATTCCTGAAGTTTATCCTTTGTGAGACGGTTTTTTCCGGATTTTTTATGTATTGCTTTTAATGGAGATCAAGCGAAATCACGTTTATCCGAAACACCAAACATATGCACAGAGTGGGGGATACCGTATCTCGCCGCCGTCAAACGGCGACCCTTCACAAGAATATGCGCGGCCCGGGGCCCGTTTCGTTATCTTAAAAAATGTCGAAAACCCGGTGTCGAAAGTTCGAAATGCTGAAGTTCTAGCGTTGAAATATGACAATCTCGAAACCTCGCAATGTCGAAATTTTTAATGATCAAGGACGGGATGTCCCTGTCGATATATATCGATCGAAACTGCGTTATTCCGATATTTCGGCATTTTAAGTTTCGGCATTCCGAAATTTCGACCTTATTATGACTTTCGAAAACACGATAGTAAAATAAAATCGTCTCGGGGGATGGGTTTCGTAGACCATTTTATGGCTTACAATTCGCGAATTCAAAACAACCAGCAAAAAAGAGCTATAAAGTGCTAAGTATAGTCAATCGTCATCCGAATAGAATGCAAAAACCACATAGGGGGTGGGGCGGCCGGGTTTGAACTGGGGTGCAAAAACGGGGGAAAAGTACAGGTGGGAGACTGGAATGCAGATTGCAGTGAAGGTTTTTTTAAAGTGATTGCCAGAGGGCACATTTCTGCTGGCACTACACCTCTAACGGGGGAGGGGGTCTAAAAATGAAGGCAAATTTCATTGAAAGCTTTGTTTTGAGAATGGCGTCGTTGAGGGCTTCAGATGAGCTTTGGCTCGGCCTCGAGCAGCAGCTGGAAATTGTTAGTTTTGGAGGGGTCAGCGAGAGAGAAAGAGAAAGAGAAAGAGAGAGAGAAATAGAAAGAGAAAGAGAGAGAGAAAGAGAGAGAGAAAGAGAGAGAGAGAGAGAGAGAGAGAGAGAGAGAGAGAGAGAGAGAGAGAGAGAGAAAGATGGAGAGAGATCAAGCCGAGAGAGTGAGAGTTACAAGTTTTTCCAATTCACCTCCAGCATTTTCCAGCCCTTCTTCTGCGTCTTCAACACGTACGAGTCGGTCTCGTGGCGCGCGTTGATGCGATTGGCGCTAAAAACCGCTGATATGCATATGATCCCACATTAAGGGCAAAAAATGATTTCCGATGAGAATCCCGAAAATCTGTTTCCCGAAAATCTGATTCCCGAAAATCTGAATCCCGAAAAATCTGAATCCCGAAAATCTGATTCCCGAAAATCCGATTCCCGAAAAATCTGAATCCCGAAAAATCCGTTTTCCGAAAATCCGATTCTCGAAAATCCGATTCCCGAAAATCTGAATCCCGAAAAATCCGAGCCCCAGAATCCAAACCTGGAAAGACCGCGTTCTGAAAAGCCAAATTCGAAGAAAACAAAGTGAAAAATTAACTTTATTGAATTCACCGTCTTGGAAATTGCCCAGGAACTTTAGAAAGGGTTTTGGTACAATTCAAATAGGCGGGGGTGAGGATTTCGGCGGGGGGGGAGGTGGGCCTATAGGCAGAGGGGGTGCCTAGAGAGCAGGTCGGGCGCTGAGACGCAGATTGCCCCCCGCCTGAATCTCCCTCCCCCCGCCTCGTTGAATTGTACCAGGGTTTTTTTTCAGTTTCAAACCGCAGATTCTTCAGATTCAGATTTTTCGGGAAACAGATTTTCGGGAAACGAATTTTTCGGGATTCAGATTTTTCGGGAACCGGATTTTCGGGATTCAGATTTTCGGGATTCAGATTTTTCGGGATTCGGATTTTTCGGGAATTCGATTTTCGGGAATCGGATTTTCGGGAAACGAATTTTCGGGAATCAGATTTTCGGAAGTATAAGCGAAGCCCCAAAAAATCCACACCCTTTCAAAGCCATCTTCACTTACCGCAGCCCGCACACCAAACTGCAAGCCATCCGGGCGCGCATCGCGCTGTAGATCCGGTGCGCATCCGGGCATGGGCGTACACTCTCATAGCCCTCCAGGAACCACGTCGGGAACCGTCGCCAGCTAGAGGAGCATCTTTACTCCGCCAAAAAACTGCACATACTCTCCGTTCTCAGCCTTGTCGCTGAGGGCTAGGTACAGGCATGTGGCGCCCATGTCCATGACGCGAAGCGATGTGTGCACGTCGCCCATGTCGATCAGAGCCGTGATCTGTAAGCGGTACATGATGTAAAGGGGTTTTTCACAACGTAGTTGCGCGCAATACATGTCCTAAAAATTGTTCCCAACTTGGGGCTCTTATAACTTTTGTTGCAGGAATGCCAGGCCATTGCCAAGCCATACGTCAGGAAAAAGGAAAAACTTTACTTGGTTCTTAAATTTTCGGCGAAGTATCCTAACTCTAAGCCTAGCCTAAGCCTAAGCCTAAGCACGGATTACCACCTTACCTCAAGACTTCCATCAACGGCCGGCTGGACCAGTATGTTCGTGTCGTTGATATCGGAGTGGATGAGGCCTGAAAGAAAATACTAAGACGCGTTGCAACTCGCTATCCCACATAAATAGCGTCATTGGAACTGAGGGGGCAATTCTTAGCGACCAGGGACCGGGTGGCTCATCGTCGTCACTGGACGAAAACACAAAAGGATATTTGTGGTCGGATTTTTTGTGAATTTTTGACGAGCACCCCGTTCCCTTTACAATATGTGTTGAAGGTTGGGCTTGCTGAAATGGGAAGACGGAAGGCTGACCGGGGGCTTTGTGCGGCTTGGTTGGTTGTGCTTGGTTTCATCGTGAAATAAAAGTCTCCGAAATCACTTTTAGAGGAAAGTGAAACTCAATTCATTTAGGTCGCAAAATCCTAAGGCTTAGCCTAAGCTAAGCTCAGCCTAAGCCTAAGCCTTAGTCTAAGCTTAAGCCTAACCTATGGCCAACTTTAAGCCTGAGGCTAAGTCTAGGCATGAGCCTAAGCAAAACTCGAAGCCTAAACCTAAGCTGAACCTCAGCCTCAGCCTAAGCTTTAATAAAATCATATAACCTTAAAAATCGACGCTTTTTTTGAACCGAACCAAACCGCCAAAGTCCTAAGCCCGGCAATTCCCAGCCTTCCGCCAGAATCATTTGGTTGGATGGATTACGGACGGCCTGCTCGTCGGCCATGTAGTCCTGTTCAGCTGCGGCAAGCGGGGGCTATACAGACCGAGATGTGCGAATGCGGACCAAGAAGCGGTGGATAGGTGTGTGTTCCGGATTCTTCTCGTTCTGTGGCCGGTCTCTCACCCGGCCATCATTCCTTCTACAATGCATCCGATAATTCCCAGCACCCCCCGACACCGAACACGTTTTTTCGATGTTGCACAATAACGATAGGATCGGGTGACGCTTACGAATCTTACATAAGGTTTGCATTTTGGAAAATAATGAAAAGAAAAATATACATTCCAGATTTTTTCAGCGCTTCATTTTGACTACATTCACCCCTTCACAGAGAGCAGGAGAGAGAGAGAGAGAGAGAGAGAGAGAGAGAGAATGAGCGAGAGAGAGATAGCGAGAGAGAGAATGAGCGAGTGAGAGAGAGAATGGGCGAGGGAGAGAGAGAGGGGAGAGAGAGAGAGGTAGAGAGAGAGAGAGAGAGAGAGAGAGAGAGAGAGAGAGACGTAGAGCAAGCGAGAGAAGATGGATAGCAAAAAAAGAGCTAGACAAAGAGGGTGAGAGAGAGACCCACGGATTTAAGTTTTCTTAGGCTTTGCATAAAGGTTTGAAGAAGTAAAGGATCTTTTTCGATACCGATGCTCGATGTATACGCCGGAGATTTTGAAATACCACAAGGCAGCAGCGAAAATTTCTTAGGATTCTTATTACCACACAGCTTCGAAAGATATCTAACCAAATCTCGCCCATTTTTGCCACAAAAGCGCCAGGAGGGCTGCGAAACATCTTAACGATACAATCAGATGCGCCATCAAAAGCCAATAACAGGCGGAGAATGTCCGGGTCCCGACAAGCTACACCTTACCTGACTGCGTCAACCGTGAGGGCGGGCAATAATTGCAGGGTAATTACAACCGAGTTCGAGCATAACCCTCACCTCGATCCATTTCCATCCCATTGTCGAGCATCATCCTCAATTCATCGAAAACGACGCGCACCATCTGGGCACGTTCTGGGGACAGAATTCGACGGTTCTCCAATTCTTGCAGCTCCGTTACGGCGCATTCAACGTTTTCGGCAGCTGAAATGGAAAGCATTACGAGAAGCTCCAGATTTACGTGTCTAAACCCTCCTCAAGCGAAACCGAACCCCCGCCAAAGCCCAAGCCAAAGCCAAAGCCTAAGCCTCACCCAAGCCTAAGCTTTAGCCAAACCTGAGCCTCCGCAAAGCCTCACCTAGGCCTCAGCCTAAGCCCAACCTAAGCTTAAGCCTATGCCTACCCCCTACCAAGGTCTAGTGGTAAGCCTAAATAAAAAAGTAAGCGTAAGCCCAAGCCTAAGCTCGAGTCTAAACCTATTCTTAATTTTGAGCCTAATCCTCAAGCCTGCTCTCCCCTGACTTTGTAGTCTCGAAATCCCTCCCAGACCACCAAAACAATTTCATCTGCATTTCGCAAGAACCCTTTTAGCAGTGTTCCCCTCCCCCAGCGAACGCATTCCATCTTATCCAGACATCACCGGCGTGCTTTTGTGATAAGCCGTGTCGGGGCACAAGATTTTAATGGCCAAACATTCCCCTTAAATGCAGCAACACAACGCACCAATGAACGGCACGTGGCCCTGGCGCTCGTGGACCGGAATCTGGTCCATGATGTTGTGGAAGCGGGCCACGATGCGGCCAATCGCGACGACGACGGCCTCATTGGCCTCGAACTGGTCGAGGCTGTTGCCGGGGAGGACGCGGATCATCCGCACCGGAAGCGGGGCCACTGGAAAAGATGTTATTGGCACATTTTGCTACAAACCGGAGACCAAAGACAGGGTGTCCCAAAAACCCTTTTCGTTTCGCAGTGATGTACGATTTTTAAGATTTAGGTATCTATCGAAAGCTCCCGGCGAGCCCAGGAGATATCTGTACGAGAAGTTTTACTCACTGTGCTCAGCGACCTTCTCCAGGCGCCATATCTTCTGGCTGCCCTTCAACGGTATATAATACGGAGCCGGGATCCCCTCGGCGTTGAGCAGCTCGCAGATGCGGCGCTGGAAGTCTGAAACAAAGTCGTTTCAACAGGTCCGAGCGACACTTGCAAACCGAGATGTTCCGGATTGAGGGCGGCCACCGGGTTGGTGACCTTCATGATGACCGTTTGGTCGATGGTCGAGCCCGAATCCCAGACGCAGTCGGTCAACCGAAAGTTCTGGTCTTCGTACCCGTTTAGGACCTGGAAAGAGGGGCGATGTGGAAGCTACACGGTAGATTTAACACTAGAATAGCGGAGTTCATGATGCCGAAAATTCCTAGGAAAAGTATAAGAACACGGGAAAGTATTGTACCGACCTGTATCTTGCAGTTGGTGATGCCCCAGGCATTTCGGGCAATCTTGCGGACCTAAAGAATGTTTTTAAAGGGATCAGGAAAGCTGAGAGTTTGCCCACGCAGCCCAAATCTGTCCAAACTCACCACAGCGGTCTTCATGTTGGGAGCCTGGGTGATGGTGTCCAGTCCGAATGCATGGGCGGCCATGTCACTCTGGAAATTGGATCTGATTCGATCGAAGTCAAGCAAAGAGTGTTTTTGAGGAATGAGGGCAAAGACGGTTGGAGGCTCGATTCCCAGAAAAAACTTCGGAAAACATCGCTTGGAAAACATTTAGTTCGTTGAAACCGCGCTCCAGCTGAGGTTCTTGCGCATTAACGGGGGGGCTTAACTTTTCTTAGGATTTCATTTTTCAAATGTATAGTGGCCGCGTTTCTAAATGGTTTTTTCTATTCATAAAGGTGAAAACGTTACAAATTTTCTTGGAAATAGCAAAAATATCGTTTTTGGGGCATAGCAGGCCGATTTTTGAGCAAAATTTCCACCTATTGCAACATTTTGAAAGTTTACCGCAGTGGGCACGCGCGTTGCATGTGGTAGCCGCGGAAAATCGCCATGGATGCTTTGTCTGTCTTTTCAAGGAAACAGGAAGGCACAGTTCTACCCCGGCAACCCAGCATTCACCCCTTAATGATCTCCCGCCGGGCGCACCCGGGTGAAATTGCCTTCGTCTATCCCCTTCTAGCCCACCTTCGTTCTAACCCTATTCATTCAAAAGAACCTTGGATGCCCAAAAAATTGCAGACAGCCGAAAAATGGGCTTGGACGGGACATCTGTATGCGGTGGTGAATGGGTTCCGGGGGTCCTTCGAGGGGCAGCCAGCCGCTCTCCTTGGCCTTTTTTGGCCGCCGTTCGCCCCGAAATTGGTGGACGGAACGGAGAGAAGAGAGGAGGAGAAGCAGGCAGGGCTGCTGGAGACTATGGGGGAAATGGCCAAGGTCCTGGTGGGGGCCCTTCCGGAGACCTAGTGGCCACATTCCATCCAATGAACGACCAGAGGGTCGCTCAACGGGTCTAGACATTTTGAAACCATTTTGGAGGGTTGCCTTCGAGGGGAGGCAACATGGTTAGGAGAAGGTTTAGGCTTAGGCTTAAGCTTAGGCTTGTGCTTAGGCTTAGGCTCCCACTTAGGCTTAGGGTGAGGTTGAGGCTTAGACTTAGGCTTAGTCTAATGCAGAGGCTTAGGCTTAGCCGCAGGAAATTCCTTACAGACAAGACCATCGGAACGCGTCTGCGATCGGAATGTATCAGAATGGACCCGCGGATTCACACCGTCTCCCCCCGTTTCGAATCTATGAATAATCAATTGGAATGGACGTCTCGGCGCCCCCCTTTCACCACAAAATGTCCCCGAGAGGTCGATGTAGTCACCGGATTGCACCCGAAGAAAAAGCCAGCAGACAAAACATGTTGTGAGCGGTTTGGATCGTAGATCGTACGATCAGTAGGAATATGCGGGTTGAAGTGGATTTCAAAGTGGAAAATCGATGGGCGCAACGGTGAAGAGGAGGCAAAGAAGGGCAGGAAAATATGAAATAGGAGGTTTCTAATTCTGACAAAAAGTCGATGGAAACGATCGATTACGCTAGACTCCTAGTCACGAGCAAGCCTGCGGTAGTATTTGGGCCAGGTTAAATTTTAAACACAAGCGTACGCTTTAGAAAGACAGCAAACCACTGTCATGCTACCGGTATGTCCCTCCCCTCCCAAAACACCCTTCAAAATATCTCGGAAACGGTGCGAGTACAGCGGAAGGGATCTCTGAACGAGCTACGATGGCTCTCATGTTGGAAGAGTCGCCACGCTCTCTGCAAAACTTATTTACGCTCCCCCGGGTTTCCGGACAGCATCGTCTTGTGCAGGATTGTCGAAAAAAGGATTTTGAAAGAGTTTTCAAATTTCAAGTGCGTTGCGAGAAAGCATTACGTTCTGAAATACAGAGGAACAGTTATTGGGTGTTGAGAGGTGGCGAGTGGAATAGTCAATGTGAGCCTGGGACACACACGGGTGTCGTTAAAAATGGCAGGAAATGGTCAGTCCTCGGCTCCTCACTTTCCCAATGAATCACCGCTGCAGCGCGGCTAATGGGATGGCTCGAGGGAATCGGGACGTGCGCTAGAGTCTAGTTGCCCGCTCCGCTCGCCGATGACACTACGTTCCCCAACAAGCAACAGCAAGCCCGCGTCTGACTGCTGATTTTTTGCTTGAGACGAATTTGTATGAAAAGTGGCAAAATAGGATGAACAGAGCAAAAAAAAGGATTATGACGTGGACACCCAGCCTGCCACCCACCTGGACCACTAGCATGACGGATAAGCGTGGGGCCAAGCCAAAGCTGACGCCTAAGCCTAAGGCTAAGCATAAGCCGAAGCCCCAACCTAAGAGATACTTGTCAAAAATTATCTTCGAGTCAACGCTCGAAACCGGAGATTTCATGCATGGGTAACCGCTTGCGAACATGAAACAGTTAACGGCAACATCAAATCCCGCCGGCGGTGCAAAAAGGATCGAAAGGGCGCCCGGCTGGTCGCGGCGGGCCAGGCTTCGAACATCTGGCGACAATTTTTTTGCGGCTGGTCCTTTGGTTGACGACCCGGGCGGGTGGTGGGAATAGTCCAGGGCGGCGAAAAATTTGCTTGTGGTTGAAAGACAACCAGAAGGGCAATTATGAAAAAATGCGCTTCATTTAATCGATTGGGCCTGTAGAAGCCAAGAACATTAGTAGATCTATTCCTAGCTGCCAAGTTTCAGTGTTCAGGAAATTTGAGTTTTATAGCAGTTTGTGAGTAATTTACTCAATGTTCTAGCGTCAGAAGCTAAAGCCTAGCCGAACCTAAGCGTAGGCTTAAGCCCAAGTCAAAGCCACAGTTCAAGCCTAAGCCTAAGCCATCACCAACGGAAAAGTTTTGAACTTCACCTCGTTCGGTAGAAGTTACGAAACTAATTTCGAAATTCACGAATCAATGGAAGGGGACGCGGAAGGCAAAAATCAGAAGATCATAGCCGAGGTGTAACTGAGAATTTGCTTGGACTTTGGAATCTTGGAAAAATTCCAGACTAGCAGAAAACTGGACCGGACGTCTGGGATGCTTTTGGATAGGCTAGTGGCGAGTCTGGAGTGGGTCTCCCGCTTCCGGTGAGGGATGGGGGCCACGGTGGAGGGAGCAGAGATGGCCGGAGGCTACCCCCACACTCTGGCCATTGATCCCAAATTCGGGGGCCCACGGCGGCCGGAAGCGCCTCCGCCAGCTGGCTGCGTTATTTCGATACCTGGACTTCGATTTGCATCAAAGGCGGGGTCTACCACGAGATTACGGTAGTCTAAAGGGATCGAGATCCCGGAAATTGTTAGCAGGTATTAGCCTAAGGTTTATTCAGCTAGCCGCTCGCGCTTAAGAAGCTCTGCCAACCATTTATAAGAAGTTGACCAGCCGCTGAGACGTTAAAACCATCCGCACTGAAAGTAGCGTGAAATAACCGCAACTTTCCAGCGTTTCGTAGCTAGCTCGCTCGTAATGCGACAAAATGGGCAACGAAAAAACTGCCATCTGGCCGGGTTCATCTCCTGAAGGGCCCCCGGAGACTAATTGGACGCCGGGTACCCGCAATGGCTATGAATAGACCTCCACGTCGGCCGGCTCAAAATGAAAGTTGCAAAAAGAGGTAGCGGGTCTCGTTGAATGCCAGAGCCTAAACCTAGGCCTCTGCCTAAGTCTAAGCCTTAGGCCAAAGCCAAGCCTCAGCCTAAGCCCTAGCCCAATCATCTGCACTTATTAGCCAAGATTGGTGCGCTGCTCAGGGGCCTTCGACCAAAAAAATATTGCGCTATCTGGAAGCCGCACTTGTTCTCGGACGGGCGCCACCGGTTTTTGTTTGGTTTATGAAACAGGAAAAGGGGATGCCGACGGCGGACGGCCCGGGCAAAAAGCCAATAAATCGAACGGAACGGGCCCCCAGAGACCAGAGAGGGAAATTCGCAATATGTGCCGGGGTCACCACGAGGTTTCTGTCGACCAAAAAAGTAGTCCGACTCACGAGGATGGCATCGCGTAGTGTCGCGTCGAATATTGGGGTCGGTGTCATGATTTTTTTTGCCGTGCTTGTCGTCGTCTCTTTAGGGAGCGTATGTTGATTTGTTCTGAAAAGTACACGATTTTAAGGATCGAAAGAAATGACTGGTCAAATAGACGAGACGCGGAAAGATCACCGCTACCAAACAGACCTTTTTAGTGACCATCGAGGTCCAATGGGATCATGCCTATCTTGTAAAGAATTTTGCGCTGATTCCGAGGCTGTTTTCAAAAACTGTGAAACGATCAGATTCGAAATGTCATGAAGAATTCGATCGAGTTTTTTCGCTTATTTTGAAAACACGCTCGGAATCAATGCAAAATTCGGCACCAGGGAGGCATGGTCCCGTACGGAAACTCAATTCTCACTAAAAACGTCTTTTTGAGAGATTAGATCCAAGACTTTTCAACGCCCGCATATTTTTTATGTCTTCTTACTGCAATTAGTTTAAACTTGCTATCCTACTATATATAAAAAAATAGTTCCTGTGTGTGTGTGTATGTATGTGTGTGCATTTGCATGCAACTTCCGTCAGCGTGTTCCAGTAGTATCGGATTAGGGGGAGGACTTAAAGGTATATATGATACGTCATTAGATGCGTAATGGTCTAGGGATGACTGCACACATATCAACTTTTTGAAAATATACTGTTTTCGACATCAAAATTCAGTTTTTCTTAAAAAATTGGTCACCGCTCTTTGTTAGGAAACGATTAGCATGCGCCGGAAGTGGCGGAAGGCTATATAACGTGAAAGAGGCAGCCTTTTTTTCATTATTTGTGATCGCGATTTGGGCGAATTATGCAAAGCGTTGAATTTCATGGTTTTGGGACGGGGCCAGGGTTGAAAAGTCGCGAAGCGGCTTTTCAACCCTGGTAAAACCTATAAAGCTATTTATCTTAAAGGGAATACGACCCGACCCCCGGAACGGAGGGAGCCTACGGTTCTCGGGTGCACCCCGAGTGGATGTGAGAAAACGGGAGAAGCGGCTAGCAATGGGGGATTGCCACGGAAATGAGTAAGCGGGTTCGCGGCCACGAAATGACGGATCGGGATTCCCGACCTCGACTACGGGGGCATCCCTTGATCACGGATCACTCGGGGAAAGGAATGGAATGGAATGCGAGTACTCCCGCCAGGCCCCCCCCCCCCGCCCTGCCATATCAGTCAGTTTTTGGGCAAGGGCCCGGCCATCTCGGGTTGGGGCGATTTGCTAGATACCGGAAAGTAAGAGAAATTTAAAAATCAAACAGTTCCGAGATTGGAAAAGTCCAGGAGTTTCGCAACAAGTCAAGGAATTTGCGATGTTATTGTACAATCTAAAAAAGCTCGCACGTTGCTAAAAAGATAAAACTTACAATTGAGCAACCTTAAAAAACGATTAAATAATTGGACTTGAATTTGGCATTCTTTATGGTATAGTCATTCCAAAACAACACCAAAAATAGAAAGATCCCGTCTATGATTAAACCTTCTAGCCAAACATCAACAAGTAGGCAACTTTCGACACTGCCTCGCCTAATCAAATGACGAATCGAGTAGACAGGCGAAAAAGAGGATTGGCATCCTCGGTTTTAACGAAAAGAAAGCGCACGTGAGCATGCCATCACACACACCTTGCTACACACTTTTCGTTTAGCACTCGACCAGCTTTTCCGGGGGGGGGGGGTAGGCTTTGGCCGTCTGCCAGAGATCACGCGGATATGCCCGGACCCGTGAGCCATTGTATGCAATGGCCACTTGGCCGCTGAGGGCTGGATAAACAAACCGAGCCGACCTGCGCGCATTTTTTGGGCAAAGCAGATCTTCGGGTCTTGTTGGCAGCCTCGAGAAATAGTTGATTACTGGTTTCTTTCGATGCAGATCCTTGAAAAACGCTGCTTTGACTTCAAACTAGCAGAACATGCTCAGGTTTAGGCTTAGGCTTAGAACGATTTTTCAAACCATACGGGAGTTGGTTTTTTTTAGAAGTTAGCGGGTTAGTTTCGAAAACTACATATTTACTTATAGTCTCTAAAGCTATAGCTTTACTTGAAAATGCCAAGTGGGACGGAAAGGTGTTACATGAGCCTTTGACCTCCATTAAAAACTAAAGTGCCATTCAGCCAGCTTTACCCTCAACCAGACTGGCCGCTCTTTTGCTAGCAGATTTGAACTTCCTCAAAAATTATGTCAGCCTCATCAATCAGCACGCACACACCCCAGGGTTGACCGTGAGCGATTGCGCAGTGTAAAAATGAAAGTGAGACGCGTAACACAACACTACTTGGCAGACGGGGGGAATCGCTGTGAATGGATTGTCGACTATTCACTTTGCTAATTATCGCTAGCCAATTAGGTTGGTTTCGTTTTTCTTTTCGGGCCATTGCGGAGGACTGAATAGTAATCGAGGGCTACCTAATCGCTTCAAGAAATATCAATTTTGGTGAGCGGGATGACAGTTCGAGAATGGTTTCGCCAAGAAGCGGGCCTGAATGGGGGCGGGCCCCAGGACTTTGGGCATCATCATGGTGCGGAAAAACGAGCACTTCCGAACGAGGAGACCACGCAATTGCCAAGGTATTTATGCCCAAGCCTAAGCCTAAGCCTAAGCTCTAGCCTAAACCTAAGCATAAGCCTAAGCCTAAACGAAAATGCTATTCCTTTAGATTTGAGGTAAACCGTGGTGTCTTTCTCGATGACGACTATATGGGCTACCAGATGGGCTACCGGCATGTAAGCCCATGGCTTGAAAAGGTAAGGAAAACCCTGGTTGAAGGACCGTTTGCTTTGCTTGAGGTCTTCAACAAGTACGCCGGAAAGCAGCCGGATCCGGGGAACCATCCAATGGACTTTGGGCGTCACAAGTACACCCCGGTCCCGCGGCCTTATCTGTGAAATAAACATTTTTATTTGAAGAACGTTTCTCTCTGCGTTCCTCTTGCCCGTTATTTTTTTATTTTTTAGGTTATTTTATTACGTTTAGTTTTATTTTTTAAGTTTGTGCTTTTGAAATACGCATTTTTATTTGAAGAACGTTTATTCACAATCATTAGAAAGGGATATTGCGATCGATCTGGTGATGATTAAGCCATCTCGAGCTTGGGGTCTTTGATCGGCTTCTCTCCTTGCTCGACGTCGTGTGACTGAACGTCAGCTTGTTGGATGGTGGTGCGGAAAATGGAGCGCAGGAATTGGAAGAGCTAAAATTTGGTGGTTGTTAAGTTAAAGGCGAGCATGAAGAGATGAGAAATGGAGCCTATTAGTGCGCAGGCGAACGCACAAACGTAGCGAACGTACTAACCGTGCGCAACAGATACATCAACAGAATCACGGTGACGATCACGATGCAGACGTCGACCACCCCTGGGGGACGACGGATATAGCGCGTGAAGCCGTAGCGCGGCTCGTCCTTCAGGATATCATCTCCAAGAAGCGGATCAAGGTTCTCGTCCTCGTGAATGGAAATTATTGGCTCCTATGGGATTTAGGGGAAATCTCTTGATCTTACTTCAGTCGATGCGCTTTTGCCACCATTAGGATGTTCGAAACGGCCGGGCTGGATCTGCGGAACTCGCACCTGTAATTGGTTTCACTTCTTAGGCTTATTAGGTAGGCCTAGGCTTATGCACCGGCGTAGGCTCAGGCTTAGGCTTAGTCCTAGGTTTAGGCTTAGGCTAGGACTACTGACCGCCTTCTCCATTTTCTCGATGCTCGATTTGTCAGAAGAAGCGTCCCGTTCGCTCTTTTCATGCCTGGGAGGCTGTGCTGCTTCCGGCATGACCACGGGCTCAAGGATGACAATACCCTGATCAGCCAACGGAGGCGCATCTCCAAGTCTAGGGGCCTAAGGTTTCTTGCAGTCTTAAAATGCTGCCTCACCTGGTTGACCTCAATCTTTCCGACATTGACCGTCTCATGCACGATGACGAGGCTTTGCTGTTGGGCTGGCTTTGCTGCCGCGTTGATCATTGCCTGAAATCCCGAACAAAAGTGCCGGCGGGTCGAACCTGATCGACGGCCTGTCGGTCGAGTGCGGCTTCCGGGTCGTAGACCATGCCGAGGAAGTTGCTAAAAATTTCGGGGTTAAGGGTAAGTTGTTGCAGCTCACTCAAAATAATCAATGTAGTACTCGTCATCGTCGCTGTCGTAGCTGCTGTCCTCATCGGAGTCTTCCAAATCCCAACCGGACAGTTTCTGGTTGATTAGGTTTTCGCGACTCTAGAAAGCGAGCTTCGGCTAGCTTAACCTGTTCTTTGAAGGGGATTAGGAAGGCCCAGGAAAAATTGGTATAATTCTAAATTTGGGATAAATCGTCTCTGCTCCAGCTCGCCAGGACCCACCCTCCACCCCGTATTTTGTATTAGCATTTCCGTTTGGTAACTTGTAAATTGTAGATGGGCTTTGATCCATTTGGGCTTGACTTATCCCTTTAAGGTTAGAGTTGGCAAAGAATCTCTACATCAAATGAATCATCTTCGTCACCATCCCAGTCGCTGTCCAACGAAGCCGACATCTCCAATGAGGACAGCTCTTTCGAAAACGGCAATGGCTTTGAATTTTTATCGACGAAATCCTTTGGCGTATTCTTAAAGCTGTCTGTGAAAGCTGTGATCTGGTATACTGGGAATAAGGGGAATTTCCTAGGGGCAACTTCTTCACTCGAGGCAGCCTCCAGCGGCTCCGGAGGGCTCGGAATCATCGGTCCTTCGAACGACTTAAGGTAGCCCTCGAATTCGGGCTTCAGTTGCTGATTCGAAAGATCGCCTGATAAAGCTCGTGGGTTTAATTGGCTGGGCGTTGGCTCGCATACCCTGAAAAACTTTGTCGTTTTCCCCGGAAAACATCGGTAGTTGTGACCCGACATCCGGGCTTAGATATGCATTCAGCTCTGGCTTCGCTTGTTTTTGTTGTTGGGCAAGGATGTCTCCATCTGAAAATTTGGCACGTCATCAAACGAAAATCTAACAGTCCTGACTCGAGTAGGCCCCACCCTGATAGCTACAGTAGTTTTCGAGGGCTCCCCGACATTTGCGGCCCGACGATTTGCGGCCCGACACTTGCGCCCGACATTTGCGGCCCGTCCTATTCAACCCATTTTTCTCAATATAAAATTAAAAAGTAAGGGTCTAAAGCATTTTCAGGCAAGGTGGGCCGTCGCTTCGGATGGGCTGCCGCTCCACTCTTTCGAAATGGGGCGCCTGGCCTCTACGCGCGCCTCGGGCACCCCGATTTCGAAACCTTGTACGAGCTCGCACCCATGCGAAGCGACTAGGCCCCGGGTGGCACGAAGCCTTATTTTTAGGTCAATACCAGGGGACAAGCTATCAAAACCATTCAGAAAACGAGCCTTCCGGACGGTTAAAAGCTTCAGTTTTTGGGAATTAACTACAGCTTTGGGCCGCAATTGTCGGGGCCGCAAATGTCGGGCGCAAGTGTCGGGCCGCAAGTGTCGGGCCGCAAGTGTCGCGTCCGTAAATGTCGGGCCGCAAGTGTCGGGCCGCAAATGTCGGGCCGCAAATGTCGTGGCACCGTTTTCGATTTATGGCAAAAAGCTGTTTTCTTGGCTAGCTGTTTGGATGCGGCATTTATTTGCATTGACTTTGAGCTGTGATGGCCTAATTTCGCTTCAAATCTTGGGTAACCCTGCTTTGTAAAAATTGTTTAAATTGACGCTTACTCGATAAATCTCAATCCAGGAAGTTCACGTAACCTTTAGGGGGTAGTATCCCACGGGAACCCCTTGAAAAGACGGAAAATCAAATTTATTTTTGAAATAAGGTCCAATTTTGGTATCGGTTGGATGTAAGGTGGCGAAATAACGGATCGGTATTATCTTAGGACATCCCGTAATGCCGTTAGAATCCGCCCTCCCATTTGCCGATGCGTAAAGTAAAATAGAATAGCTTCAGATTTGGTCGCTAAAGTTCCCTCACCTTGGCTGGAAGCAGCAGCGAATTTCAATAATAGAAATAACGTAAGTGACACCTTCAACATGGTTCAATCGAAACTGCCGATCAACCAAACCGTTCCCGAAGGGCTGACTGGTTATGGCCCGGGCGGTACAGCTCGAAACTGTGCGCCGCCCCGGCCTATTAGCGCAGGGATAAGGCCGAAAAACGGCATCACCCCCCGAAAATCCGCCAGCATAACGGAGCCGGGCCATGAAAACAACGACGCGAAATTTGGACGGCCACTGGTTTTTCAGGTGTCGTCGAAATGGTATGACTTCACGAGAAACACAACTTTTTTCTGAGGATCTATTTTTCAAATACCATGCTAAAAATGTTTCTAAGTAATTTTTTATTATTCCTAAGCATGAAAAATTTACAAATTTGTACAAAAATTGCAAGAATATCGCAAATGGCCGATTTTTACCAAATTTTCGACTTTTTAGAGCTTTTTACCTTTTTTCGTTGCAATATAGTTATCTATCACTGAAAAAACTATTAAAACACTTCCCATTAACTTGCTAGGCATTTCTAGACTTATACAAGCCCAAGCCGAACAACAATCCTAAGCTCAAACCTACAGTATTCATCTCCTCACTGATCTTCGCTGCACAAAATTTCAACACAAATATTTATTCCCGAAAACAGATGAGATTCCCGGAGATATCGGGGTCGGCTGTTGAGATCGATGGTGGATGATGGCGTGATATTATTATTGCTTTGGGTATGGGATGGTCGGGTTGGGAGGGCCGCGTTGGAAGAACTGCAAAATGTCAAAGAACCTCCTCCGGCTTTTGAGCATCAAACTAAGCTCTTCAATTAAGGTATTGAAAAAGCAGATTTCCCGATTAGTACCTATTTCATCAATTCTTTAATTAATCATGTCCATTTAACGCCTTAATGCTTCCTCACCCCCCTCTTTTTTCTTCAACAAACTTCCAACCTTACCTCCACTTATAAGTGTTTACTTGTAAACCTAAGTGTGAGAAATAAATTATTATTATATTAAGCTTACCCAGTTGGCGAATCCGCTATAGGCATCATTGTTCCAGAAATTGGTATTCCGCCCAAGATACCGGGAGGAAATTCCGCTTGGCGTTTCCACCTGCAATGTGGGGGTTAGCCGGCGATTTGGCTGTTTAGGCAGCAGCTAATTGGGATCGGCTTCAGTTTTTTTTTTGCTTTCTTGAACAGCATCATCAACAGTTCCGATAGGGCTCTCCTCAATAATCCAAACGAACCCGCCAATTGTGACATCCGCTGCACCTCATCGGGCGTCGGGTTCTCCATGAACGGCACCCGGATCATCATTCGCCGCTTGAAGCGTCCCGAGGGGAGGGCCGTACTGGAAATTAGCCATTTATCAGGTTGGAAGGTAAGTCCTGTCGCCGAGATTTTGGAAGGCTGGCTAAATTCATAGATAGCTCCATTCTGGACATGCGATATGTCATTTTGTAGCTCTGGTCCTGAACCGTTCCGGGAGAAGGGTCTTAGACTTCCAAAATTAGGGAAAACCGTGATACAGGTGCGAGAAGTTTTTGGAAAAATTAGGCAAAAGCGTTTTTGCAAGTTATCTCTGCATAGAGTGATTTGCATACGATACCTTTAACGCCAATCGATAGCTCTCGAGGAGTAGATATCGATAGATGTTGAGATCGTCGAAATCGGATATCGGATGGCCGAGATATGGCCTCTCGCAATTTGGGCCATTTCTTAGAACTTTTCTCGATTGCCCATACATTCCCATACATTTCACCGGCAGGGGCCGAAAATTGCCGCTTTATTTTTGCACGCGCCGGGTGGATTTTGTCAAAATGTATGGGATTTTGGGAAAAGTTCTAAGAAATGGCCCAAATTTCGAGAGGCCATATCTCGGCCATCCGATATCCGATTTCGACGATCTCAACATCTATCGATATCTACTCCTCGAGAGCTATCGATTGGCGTTAAAGGTATCGTATGCCAATCACTCTATGTAGAGATGACTTGCAAAAACACTTTTGCGTGATTATGCGAAAAACTTTTCGGACCTGTATCTCGGCCCTCCTTGATTTTGACGGTCCGGGACCCTCGACCCGAAACGGATCAGGCCGAGACCGACAAAATGACATATCACAAGTCCAGAATGGAGCTATCTATGAATTTAGCCAGCCTTCCAAAATCTCGGCGACAGGACTTACCTTCCAACCTGATACATAGCTTCACTAATTTCTGCAAAATCTAGCCGCGATTTTCGATGCCTACGTCATCGGCCTTTCAACGCAAAGGCAAGGTTTTTGAGTGGATTTTGTTGCTTTTGCTAATGCAGGCCATCAGCAGACCGCCGACTTCCGCCCACGGCCGCATACAGTAGTCGGACCAGATGGAGAATTTATAAAAATTACCGAAAACGAAACAAAAGTCGGAAGTCTCAGACTTAAGCCTAGGCTTAGGCTTATGCTTAGGGTTAAACTTTTGGTCAAAAGAAGAACGAGGCTTAGGCTTAGATATAAACCTAAGATTAGGCCCAGACTTAGGTTAGGTTTAGGCTTAGGCTCAGATTTAGGCTTAAGCTTAGGCCTAGGCATGCTGTTAAAACTACTGTTACCTGCTGCTGATCAGCAACACCGCTAGACCAAGTAGGATTAGCATGCGTTGAAGGAAGAGGCTCTTCGACGATGCCATCGCTTTGCTGATGGTTTTGCTGAAAAACGGAAGCTTGGCTTGAATAGGTTTTTCGAGGATGTGAAGATGATAGCGACAAAACTTTTAGAATAAACGCTGGAGGTCTGGTTTTTGGGGCAAAAGGCGACAGGTGCCGGGCGTGGGCGGGCTAGCGCTTTTGCGACGCGTTCGGAAGCAGCTGAAAATGCTAGGCGCGGAAACAATGAGCTCAGGCGGATCGGGAAGCTGAACTCAACATCGCCGAAGGGATCAAAAAGTACGCGCCGATATCTTGAACTTATGTGCTAGGCTTATTGCCGGGCCGGCCTGCATATTTTAAAGGGGCTATGAAGCGGCCGAGTCGTAATTGTGGTTGACGAAATCAGCTGCTAGGCAATATTCGGAACACCAGGCTACAAAACAAGCCTAACATAACGAAGCAAACCCTAAAAGTAGGCGAAAACGTAAGATAGGGACTGAAGAAGCGCGAAACTGATTTTCTACCCCACCGTATCGTTGGAAGATTATAAGTACCGTCTGAACCGGCATGGGTGATGCCTTATGACGTCCAAATCACTTCACCCATCCCCCTGGCGTCCATTTTATATTTTGGAAACAATGGGGGCTCATGCAGCGGTTCACCCGACTTTCACCCCCCTTTCAAAAAATCCAATTCGTTAAATGGTGGTTCCGGGCTGAGCAGGATCATTTGAAAATTGTCGACGGGTACGACACGATAGTCCGGGAACCTAATTCCGGAAGTGTGGAGAAAGTCGCGGACCAAGGGGTCCCCGAAAAAATTCTGGCTGTCTGGGATGCATTTCTCTTTCGGATCGTCGAAATTCGTAATGCCCGAATTAATAATGTCGAAATTTCAGCATATCAGCGTTCCGATATGCCACAGAAAATCCCTCGAAACTATGCGAAAAATATCGACGTTCCGAAATTGTACATTTCGAAAAATGCCTTTCCTCCTATTTTTCTCGCTGGCTACCTCATATTTTAGGGCTATATAATTTGGATAATTGGTGAACTACCGTCACCCTGGTATTTTAGGGGGGTCCCAGCGCGAACTCGCTCTGTGATGAATGACCTACGAAACTCCTCACGAGAAAACCAGTTAGCAAAATGCTACGAAAATTGCTAGCCGGTGTATAGCTGCTAGGTGATCCGGAAATCCAGAACACGCCTCTGCGCACATTCTCTTTTTTGTAGGGCTCAAGAAATGCGGCTACAAATTGCGTCTACAAAAATGGCGCTTTTACACCTGCCGTTTCTGATCTCTACCCCTTGGAGCGCTAACTGCTTCCCTAATATGCCTTGAAAATAAAGAAAAAGCCCATTTGATCGGGAACTTCGCATTAATAAACACCTGGCTTTACCCTACATTATCACATAAAGCTTCGGAAATCGCTTATTAAGTACGATGTATTTAGATTAGATTTCAACCAGGGTTGAAAAAACGCTTCGCGGCCTTTCAACCCTGGCCCCGTCTAGGATCGATGAAGTTATTTACTTTGCATAATCCCGGCCGAAAACCGCTCACCAAAAAAATGAAAAGCGCGCCCTCTCTTCCTTTTTATAAAACATTTCCACTTCCGGCGTATGCTAATTGCTTCCTAACAAAGAGTTTGGCCAAAAACTATACAAAAACCTAATTTTAATATCGAAAATAGCCATTTTTCAAAACATTGATGTGTGTGCAGTCGATTCGGGACCCTTGGTTATCTATTCACGCTTCTTCCCTACCGAAAAAATGCTTCTCCGAGGCTGTAGGTGCGGAACATCCAAACGGAAGTGCATGCAAATATACACACAAACACACACACACACACAAACACTATTTTTTTTATATACCAGGGTTGAAAAACCGCTTCGCGGCTTTTCAACCCTGGCCCCGTCCAGGACCGATGAAAGTCTTCAATTTGCATGCTTCTTCCCCAAAATCTATCAGGAAAAAAGTGAAAAACGGCTTCTCTGTCGCTTTATATAGGCTATCCGACTTCCGGCCTATGCTAATTGATCCCTAACAAAGAGGGTGGGCAAGAATTTTACAAAAATTTGTTTTTTAATAGCGAAAATAGCAATTTTTCAAAGATTTTATGTGCGTGCAGTCGATTCCGGACCCTTCTTTACCTAATGACGTTTCTTCACTACCGAAAAAATGCTTCCCTGAGGCTGTAGGTACGGAACATCCTCACGGAAGTTGCATGCAAATGCACACACACACACAGACACTATTTTTTTATATATAGTAGGATAGTAGGAATGGTATATTTTCGGACAATTGTGAATTCCCTCATAATTTTTTCCCGCCGCAACTGTACATTTGTGCAGAGCATTGGTCCTTTATAGGTCCTCAATAGCTAATTGGCCCTTTAAGCACACTTTCGAAACAACCCATTAGCAAATGCAATACAGTTTTGGAAATAACTTACTCAGGTTTAATTCGCGGCATTTTGCCTGAAGGCGGATTTCAAAGATTTCAGGATGGTCTTAAATCTTCTTGAAGAAGCACCTGACTAACGCCCACCTTCTAAAAAAATAACGACCAAGGACGCAGGTGCTAGTTCTGGATTCTAAGGCTGATTTTTGGGATTTGGACTTCGCTGTTGCGCAAAATTCAGGAGACGGAATATGTAATGCAAGAGGGAAAATGGAGAATGACTGAATGAAGGGTTCGTAGAAAATGTTTTGGTTTTATTCAGCCTCCAGAGAAAGCTGTACGTTCAAGTGTTAGGTCTCACCTTATGCCTGAAGCCCAAAACTAAGTCTGAAGCCCCGAAGTCTAGGCCTAGGCCTAAGCGCAACCTAAGCCTAAAACCCGTTCACCCACATATCATTTCGTAACCGCGGACAAATTTATACCCAGCGCCCCTTCAGCAATTCCGCCTCAACAATAAATGCGGGGAGACCCCAAAAATGGAATGACAAAGCCGCGGCGCCGGCGAGGATTTCAATTCCGGCCCTGGGGCAAGAGACCCGGTCGCACCGAAATAACCGAGGTCCGCAAAAACGGCAGTAGAATAGGCGAAGCGGCCGAAGTCGTCAATGAGGCCATCGTCATCGCCAGGAATTTTACAATATTTCGCCCAGTCGGGGCCGTTTCCCACCAGTGCCACCAACGGTTTTCGGAAGGTGGGAACGAAGACCTTTTTGTTATTGTGGATAGAAGGTATTTTTGAAAAATTCACATGGCTACATTGCCGGGTAGTGGATTACCGGAAATATAGGTGGAAGTGGAGAAGAGTGGATCAGAAATAGAATATATTGGAAATTTGTGAGGGAGTGTAGCGTACAAAGACGTAGCGTACGCTTGTACGCATGAAGGTCACAATTTGAAATGATGAGGTGTCTATAACGATTTCCCCTCTCCCTCCCTCTCCCTGCCTCTCCCGCCCTCTTTTTCTCTCGCTCTCTCTCTCTCTCTCCCTCTCCCTCTCTTTCTCTCTCTTGCTCTCTATTTCTACCTATCATCGCTATCATCTCACCTTTTTTACAACTAATTGCCCATCCCAGTACCTTTCACTAGCCCAGCATATTGATCGCCTCCGTCTCAATGAATTCTTTATGCTTAATTTTCCTATTTGATATTATAAAAATCAGCACTGGAGCTTCAGTACCCGTATGGGCACTGCCTACAAGAGATGGCGCGTCGATACAGCCAGTAAGGAGTAATTATTGCGGGGAACTGTAAATCGCGTCTTAGGCAATGACGGAACCCGCATCGTTGCAACCAAAAATTGTTCAACAGGGTCTATCTGAGTACGGACAGGTTTAAAGGGGCTGGCAAGGCCTTTGAGCAAAAAATTGTTCAAAATTGGCAGGATTTTCTAGACTTCACGAGTATCCCACCCCCAACTCGGCGGGGATCATGCAGATCGAGGTGACGCTCTCCTACGGGTTGCGCCCCGGCTGGCTGACTACGGTAGAGTTTACTAACGTTCCACTAAAGTTTATTGCGGTAATTTCCAGATTGAGCAAGCCGTTGTTCACTTCTATTCAGGAAATCCCAATCGATCCGGGCAAGATGCGAATTCTATTGCCGAGGTAAGATCGCGAATCACGAGGTTGACGGGGTCGCGCCAGCTAACTGGCTCCAATACATTTCAGTACCTGGAGCGCAAACTCGGCGGCTTCTGGTCGGTGCTTGTCGTCGATGATCCGGCCAGCGCGGCCTTCACCGTCAGCCGGCAACCCATTTATGTGATGCTCCAGGTCGGTGAGACTAGGCTGCCTATTTCAATTCAGATCAACGGCGGTGAAGGCCTGTTAATATCAAGCACTGGTGCGCCAGGGATGCGAGCGTATGAGATTCCATTCCGACAGGTAAGCTTGAGCTTTGGCTTGAGAATTGGCTTCGGCATAGGCTTATGCTTGGCTTCGACTTAGGTGCAAGCTTAGGCTTAGGCCCCGGCTATGGCTTAAGTCTAGGCTTCGCTTAGGCTAACACTTGAACTTGGCCTCAGGCCGATTGTTCGGCCTAGAATTGGGCGTGTGTATATTGCCCGCGTTATTGCAGACAAAATTTAGGGCGCCCGTCGCCGATAGTCAAGCCAAGAACCAAGGGAAGCCGGTGGAAAATCCAAAATTCATGCTCAGCCCCAAACTTTACCGCCAATAAATCATCTCACTCGGCACAAACCCACCAGCACAATAGCCCACAACCAGCTCGGTTCCGGCAGCTGGATCGCGGGCTAGCAGGACGGACCGCCGCGTCGACTGGCCGTTCATTCGGATTGTTGTGTAATGTGTTCTCCGTTCGGGTCATAGTAGGCCACGCACATCGCGGCTTCTCCCTTCCCGTAACGCGGCAAACGGCCGGAAATACTTTTGACGTTTTGACATATCCGCTTTTTCATTTTGTTTTCCTAAAGCAACCAAACAAGTTGGATTTTTTCGAAATTTAGAAAATTCTTGAGAATCTATCCAGATAGAAATTCTGTTCTACGATTTTTGAAATGGAAACTTTCAAATTTGATAAACAAAATTGCTGGAAATTAATACGCAATGGGAGAACACATTAATCAGGACAAGGTATCCTTGCTATCCTACACGAATACGTATTCATGACTACGTGGTTTTTCCTTTCTTACGATCGGCTCTGTGTTTTGGAAGATTTTCCTGTGTCCTTTTATTTTGCTCAACTACACTATTCCATAGCAATTAATTGGCCAAAAAACAGCACGCACTCAAAATTCATGCACCCGCGCGAAGTCACGGCGAGCACAACTAGACGCACCGCACCCCCATCGGTGTTTGTGGCGATTCGAGGCGCTGTTTTTTCGAGCATCCGCGCTTCTCCCGTCATGCCGATCCCTCGCCCCTGCTTCGACACGATTTTTGAGGGAGACTGTCCGAGGGGCGGTCGGGGGAAACAAACAGAGACCTTCCAGAGAAGTGGCCCTCGCTTCACGCACCTCAGCCCCCTCTGGTCATCGTCATTTTTTGGCCAGGTTATGCGCGCATTCCACATTCCAACTATCCAAAAGTTCTTTAACATCCATTGTATCACATTTTTCCCGATTTTTAATGATATTAACTACTCGAAAAATGTATTGGTCGCTATGAAGAGCCACTGTAAAGGGCTTAAACCTAAGTTAAGTCTTAGATAGGCCCTAAGCCTAAACCTAAGCCTAAGCTTAAGCCTAAGTCCAAGCCTAAGCCAAAGCCTAGTCCAACGGCTGCTCCAGGTGATTTCCCCAAATCCCTATCCCTTCACCCATATTGCCCGCATTTTGGTGGCGAAACAGCCGGTGCGAAAAAATGTTTTCTGGCAGTGCGAGAGACGTCTACTGAGGCTGAGAAAATGGCGGGGAGCCTGAACAAGAGATGAGTGGGGGTTTGTGTAAGAGTCGGTCGGGTCTCTGGCCCGTCCCTTGGGCCTCCCGGGCGTGTGTGTGAGTCTCACTTTCCTGATCCCCCTAGGGCTCATTGATAGCGGCGGATCGGCAGGCCATGAGCTACCTCTCGCCCCTGCCCCACTACCCCGCGCCAAGGTTAGTTACGCAATGTGTTAACGAGTAACCAGTAAGTCATGCGGAATATGGGTCGATTCGGTATACAGCATACCCGATTTTCAATTATCCGATGGGGGGATGGCGTTTAATGTCGTAGATTTTTCAATGTTGCATTATTTTTTGGGGACTACATGATCGCGATCCGGTAAGGCATCCAAAAATCATGCTGATTTTGATTCTAGCGCAAAACACATAAACATAGGAAATTTATCCAAAAGCAAAAAGAACCCTGAAAGTCGGGTTGGTAAGCTATTTTTCGGGATTTTGTCAAGCTATTCGATAAGACATAAAAAAATACTAGTGGTTTATATACAGCCAAATAATGTTATTTTGATATCAGAGAAGTTGTTGGCAAGAAATGTTCTCCCCCCCCCTGCTAACGAACCAGAACCCAAAAGTCACCAAACAGCTCATTCAACTCAACAGCCCCCTACTTGTCTATGCTACTTCTTCGATCGAATCTCATACCCGCTTCTCGTTTTGACCTCCCACTCTACGCACACTATCCCTCCTTTTTACCTCTTTCCTCCCATTCTCCCGGTCAAAGGGTTTATTTCTTGGGAAAACATCGTAAGGCGGCAAGGCCCGCCCTGGTCGTCGGGGCGCACAAGAGAACGACTATTTTTTGTCGGGGCCTGGAAACAGCCGGCATTCGGTCTCGATCGATCAACGCTTGCTTATTTTACTCAAAAAAATGCCTAGAACCACGTTCGGTTCTTTCGCATTATCGGGGGGGGACGAAGTTTAACGAAAGTGTTGAAATTTTTGCATACGTCTTCTAACTTCAGAAAATATTTTCTTAGTGTTTTTTAGTAAAATTGAACAGTATGAAAACCAGCAAAACTATCGACTTAAACGGCCGAAAATGGCTAATCTTTGTTCAGACAATGCATAATTTTGGTATTTTTCGTACAATTATGTAGTTTTTACGTTTAGGAATGGTAAAAAACCTTTTTAGAAACAATTCCGCTATTTATATTTAAAAAATTCGATCCAAGGGAACAAGATGGCTCGCCCCGATAATCCAAAAGAACCTCCAGTTTTTCCTCAAGCGTTCTCAAGCAACCATGATATTACCAAAACCGAACGCAAAGTGACAGCTCCAAATTCGCGCCGCCGCCGGATCAAATTCGTCCCAATTCCCCGCGATACCCTGGAGCGCTTTCACTTTCTCAACCCCCCACTCGAGCAGCGCGTCCTTATCCGGCATATAACGGGAACACAGACCCCTAGGTGGGATCGTTCTCCCCCTCCTCGTCTCGATCTCCTTTCCCTCATCACTCCTTCCATCTATCCATTCATCCATAATCGTCATTAGGCGCGTCTCGTCATCCGGAAACCCACCTCTACCCCCCCCGCCAGATCCACAGATTTATGCTCGTTGACACCTTGCCGAGAACGTTATTCGATCGTGTTTTCGATTTTTGCCAAAATTATTATGTAATCATAGTCTAAAGAATTTTATCGACTCGAATCATCCCAGCGCCGTTTATTCCGTTCAAAATCTCGGGCAAAAGTGTGAGAAAACTGTGCGGTGCTCTGAAATTTCCATTTGCGAAAGTTTGAGATGGATAATCGAGGCGAAAAAGACGTTGGCATTTCGACAAATTGAAGTTTAGACGTAATGATATTTGGACAAAATGATATTTCGACAAGTCCATGAATCATTTCTTAAGCTCAATCCCACGCATCAAAAATGCAAAATCGATTTTATCTGCTAAAAATACCTCTCTTCCAAAAGATCGACGGTCAATTGGGGTCACCCTTGTCAATATTTGCCGGATGCTCCTTCTCTTTTCCCTGCTCTTCTTCCCCCCTCGGCTTTCCGATATCCGGCAACAGATTTCAATTTTGAACGACCAGGCGCCCTTGGATTCTCGCGGGAGGACTGCTTTCGAGAAATTGCGAGCTTGAGTTTTCGGGATCTCAGGATGCTTTGGGATTTTTTTACTCCAATTTATGTATCCTCTGCAAAACGTTTCTTCTTCAACATGTTGTGAAATTAACAGCTCTTAAAAATATCGGCGCTACATATTTTTGGACAGGATTCAAAGTCAAACCTTGTTTCGGAATACCACAAATCCTGTCCTGTCAAGTACGACTAAATTATGACTATAAAAATTGTTCCGAATCCGCAAGACATTGTTTAACGTTTTTTAGAGCCGTGCGTCGCTCGACGTCGCTGGCCGCGCTGAACAGATTTGCCGACGAGGCCGATCTGCGTGAGTCTTCGACATGGGACCCCCGCCGCCGCCTCCCCCACCCCTCCCCGTAAGTGTTTTTTAGCAGAAGTTGAAAAGATCGTCGAAAAACTCGCCTCCGCTATTCAAAAAAACGCTGTTTTCGCGGTTCCACACCATCGCAGGGCACCAAACCCGAAAATCCGGATTTTTGGGGCGCTGGGCGGGATTTGCATATGATAAGCGCTAGCTCGCCGTATATCGCTCCCAACCAGATCATTCCCCTCGATCTGGAATAATTATTATTGTCAATTATCGTGGTCTGAAGAACCCTCTATTTTTTAGCCACCGCTACTGGCACCGAGCCGGGGGCCATCAGCGCATCCACCACGACGTAACAACAATCCCGCACCTCGTATGTTCTACGGTTTATAGTGAGGTCAAAGGAGAGCGAGAGAGAGAGAGAGAGAGAGAGAGAGAGAGAGAGAGGGAGGGAGAGAGAAAACGACCAATTTTCAGCGCCGACCACAAAAGCCCGCCCAAGTATGGACGCTGCGGCACTACAGCACGCAGCCGCTCGTCTGCGCAAGACCGTCGACGGTGAACAGATTCGAAGTCACCCGCAGGATCTACCCGATGGACCATTGGCAGGGTGAGACACAGAGAGAGAGCGAGAGAGAGAGATAGAGAGAATGCGTGAGAAAGGAGACTAATATTGTCATACTTTAGATCGCATCAACGGGTGCCTGGACGAAATTGGGAGAATAGCGCGCACCAGCACTCGCTGGGAAGCCATCAATCCCTTCAGCAGGTAGGAGGACGGCATTTTAAAGGCATAGTGACAATATGGAGTTGATAGTCTTTCGAATATGGGTTACTATTTGCATAGCGCTAACCTTAACCATGAAAATATCTCTTTAGGTATATGCTACGCCCTCTCGTGCCGTGCCAGCTGGTCCGTTCGGCGACGTTCGTGGACGCCCCGATCCGATAGAGCATCAATACCCCGGCAGCGCCTCACCCTATAGAAATTATAATGTGAGATTTTGGCGTGAAAGTCGTTTGACGCTAATCTCTGAAGAATTTATCCACTTGAATGCGCGTGTTTACCAGTAAATGCAGCACTTTTTGATAGGTCATAGTTAAATTAAGTTTTGCCCAATTTTGCGAGCTTGAAGTCTTAGGCTTAGGCCGAGGCTTAGACTTCATTTTAATTAGCTTATACAAAAGATTTGATGAGGTTCTCCTTAGACGTACCAAATCCCGTCTCAAAACACCTGCCGCGTGCCGCGCCCAGCTAATCGCTAATTTTTCAGACACCCTCCGTAAACATCCAGCCGCCCTCCGATTCCCCCTACAGCAATTCTAACTATTCGGTCCCGCAACGATCCCCTCCCTCTACCATATACCACCGCGAGACCACCGAGTACTCCCAGCCCCAAGCAGTCACCCATACCGTCACCCATTCCTCCTACACAACCAACCAACAACCCTACCAGTCGCCGAATAACAACTACATACAGCAGAAGACGTACAGCACCAGCAACTATTTGAATGTGTCGCCGACTGGACGACATGGCGATGATGCCGCGTATCATATACCGAGGTGGGAAATTGCACAAGTCAACGGGGTACCGATGGTCTTTGCCATCAGAATCAGAATGTCGAAATTTCTGATCTTGAAGGTTCATAATGTAGAAATTGAGTAATGCCCAGGTTTAAATATGTCGAAGTTTAGCTTGACAAAACGTTGCCGAATTAACTTCTCGGCGTTTTATGCCATTAAACTAAAAAATGCTGAAAAGGTTATGAAATATCGAAAGCATGCGGCAGGATGAAACAGACTTTTACAACCCAAGTACGCAAAAATGCCCAAAAAAAAAACAGCCAGATGAAAAAAACGCAAAAGTAGCCAACTCGTTTTTGTACAAATTCATGTTTCCAGCTTTTTATACCCCGATGTACGTCTATTTTTGGCGGAGGCGAGGCTCGGCATTTTTGGTATTACGATTGGGGAACCAGTCACAAAAGGACACTTCATTCCCCCCGGTGATTCAGCTGAAACGAAACTGCGCCCCTCCCAAGACAAAATGATAAATATGTACATCATCGGAATTCTCCGTGATAAACCCAGCAACGGTTGATAACTTGCGTTTTTAGACCTCACAACGAGATGCCGGTTATTCGTAATGCGCGCGAGCGTATTCATGATTACGCGACGACCACAGCTGCCGAACCCCCTCCTGCTACGTCGCATACCGCATACGTACGTTGCTTTATGGGATGTATTACTGACGCCTAGCTGCAAGAATGTCTATAAATAAAAGACCATGTTTTAGGGCCCTCGAACATCTCCGCAACCCGCTCGACAACCCGCCACACCCGGCAACTCTTTTGCTAAAGAGTTGAGAGACAATGGTATGTGAAAGAAGCTCTAAGTCGGGAAGTATCTGAACTTGCAACTTCAATTGCCAGAGTCCGATCGCAGTTCAGATGCTTCTATAGTAAGACTAAGACTAAGCCTAAGGCTAATCCTAAGCCTAAGCTCCGAATCTTTCATGTTCGAAAACACCCTCCGCCGTTCGTTCTCACAACCCAAAAAGTCGAATATCACCCGGCCATTGCCCGGCCAGCCGAGCCACTCCCTAATGAAATTCAGCGACTCAGCGGTCGGCCGACGAGCCCCCCGCGGGCCCTCCAACTTTCCAATGAGTGCCTTTTCATAGGCCATTCCCCCCCCCCCCTCGGGTGGCTCCCTAAAGTTACCTCCCTTCATTGCCCTGGCAAGGAGCTCTCCTCCCAAATTTTATTCCCATTTTCGTGCCTTGTGAATAATGCATGAGGATGACTTCCTTTGTTCCAGGGCTAACCGACCGCCAAAAATACGCGAATCAGTTCCAAAAGTCGTCGCTCCGGGACAGCGGCCTCCCGTTCTCCGCCCAGGATCTGTACCAGGTCAGTGCATGCTGACCTCCGTTTTGTACGTGAAACCGTCAAGGGGGCTATCGTGTAGCCCTTACATGACTCTAGTACGTAGTAACGCTTTCAGCAGTCGTATCGCAACGACGAGGTCGATCATCTGGTGCAGCGGATGAACCAGAATATGCACACAACCGCCACCAACTACCGCAGCACAATCAGTTCGTTTCTTACGCTTTCGCTTTTGTCAGAAGGTTTGCAAAGCTATGGGGGGCATGATACAAAATTACGAGCTACGCGTACCCGAAACTCGATTTGTGGTTGGCCACACGCACATGATCCGGGGTCGTAGATTCGCTAAAAGGTTTTGGGGGCAACTACTGAATTAGCCGGACTGAAATGGTTGTGGTGTTGCTTTTTTCTGGTGATTTCTTGGCTCTCTCTCTCTCTCTCTCTCTCTCTCTCTCTCCCTCTCGCTCGCTGGCTCTCTCTGTCTGAAGCCACATCTATTAAAGTTTAGTAAGCCTGAATTCTTAGCATCCGGGAAAACGCCAAAAACTTGACATTAAAAACAACAGCCAAAACTCAGCCAGAAGCCCCAGATTCAAAACAGTAAAATGACCGGAAATATCAAATTTTTGGCTGTCCGATCTTGCCTAGAATTCTCCCAATAAAAATTGATCCTTGCTAGCCAACACTGACATTTTAATTTCCCCTAACCCACACGCGATCATTCATATTCCCTCGTGAGCCGGACAACCCAACTCATTGCCCGTGAATGGTGTCTACCCGGTCTCTCGCCCTTCGCTCTCCCCTCCGGCTCCACTGTCTCTCACCCCGGCGCCCAACCCTGAGGGCCCACCAGGGCCCGCGTCGATTCCCCGGGGGCCAATCCGTTGCGCCTCCACGGCTTCTTTTTCTTCTCTCTCTCTTTTCTCGCCGATTCCCCCCTTTCAAAGCGTTTTCTGCTGCTGCGCGTGTGTGTCCGCACCCTGGGTGTGCCGGAAATCGGTGCTCGTTCCCTTTCCTGGCTCCTCGCAGCCATTATTCACCGATTTTTGAACCCTTTTTCTGGAGTGGTGTTCGGGAAAGAAGAAGCCGACGTGCGTGCCGATCATGGAGCGAGTGCCGGGCTTTGGACCGCCGCCCTGTGAGTTGAGCAGGGGAGGAGACAATCAAATGGTTTTTAATGTAAAGGGATGGCTGCTGTTAGCAAAACAATAAAACTGGCTGATTTATAGCGGTTTTAACACGGGTTTTTCTACTTAAAGTGTTGCCGACGCGGTATATTTAGGCGATTACCTGTATTTACCATTTGTCGACCTTCCTGAAGCGGTTCGGGAATAATCTAAATAGCTTTACTATTGCTACCCTAATTACCTAATTATCCCAACCAGCTAATTAAAAAGGGTACGTCGCGGGACTACTCCGCTACAAAATCGTTACCCCCCATATCACGGACCGCAACCTTGCCTTAATGACCTAATACCAATTAGCACCTTTCGCGTTCCTCGTTAAGACGCGGCCACTTCTTCCCAGGATCGATAGAAGAATTGGGGGCCTTGGTCAGCCCGGGAAATGTCTAGATGTGGGCCGCCATGTAATAGCCGATGCAAAGATGGGGGTCTCTCCCAGGGCCTACCAAGGCCCCTCGTCTTTCCGGACAGCTTCCGGCTATCGGATCGGCTTTGATGGCCTCCTTGTGGCCTAGATGATAGAATCAGAAATGTTGGGGGCTCCGTCGCAAGGATTAGAGCTCTGAGCGGGCGTAAAAATTTGAAAGTAATACCTTCGTAAAGCGAAGCGCTTGTGCGGTAATGCATGCCCTAAGCCTAACCTAAGCCTAAGCTTAAGCGTAAGATCATTCGACAATGCTTGATACAGCGTACAAGTGCCATGCTTGCAACTTGCATTTTGCCACACGAGGGTCAAAAATGAGTAAGCGGCCATTTCTAAATCAATTTTCCCGACAACGGGGTCAAATTTCGGCAATTTTTTAATTGGGCTACTCGTTCAGAATTTTGGGCTACACCGAATGATCCGTTTCACATTGCTTAGCGCCATTTCCTCGGGTTAAAAACCACTCCTTGCGAGCAGCCAAATCGAAAAGTTTAACCTTTACTAGCGCTCCGCAGCGAAATTCGTCCTCTCAATGAATCCCTCCTTATCAGGAGAACGCCGCTCCGCAATCACCATGTTTTTTTTGGTTTTTTTTAGAATTCCTGACAGCTCATGAACCTTGGCAGGGCGATTCCGGCATGTTGCTTCCCATTTTTCGGGCATGGTGGCGCCCGAACAATTGGCAACAGGGGGGAAAATGCAATCAACGGAAGTGGGTGAGGGGGCCCAGGGGGTCGTGGGGCTAGTCAATTTGGCACGGGGAAGATGAGGATGTTGGGTCAGAGGTTGATCGTCTTGCTCATTAGTGGGATAATTCAGCTTTTTTGAGCCAGCGCGGGCGGTTGTATCGTTAAAAAGTTTCTTGAGCTGATGTAGCAAAGTGCAACTGGGTGTGCGAATCAAAAGAAACGCCCTCTAACTCTACGCAGAAGCATCAGGTCGTAGCGATAGTTTCACCATTCGAAAGCCCTGGAAACCGGCGAGTCTGGAACAATCCTCAAGTTGAGGTTACCATTATGACCTTGGCCATCTGCTAGACGCAAGCCTGCGTCCTGATGGTTGTCCTTATTGCGCAGACAGCATATTATTATTTTTCACTTTTTCGTACCAGACTCACGTAAAACCTGGCCATAACTCCTTTCCTAGATATTGCCCCCTCTAGGTCGATAGACAAGACCAAAGTCTCTGCTTGGGGTCCCCCTCACGGAGGAGGAGCTGGAGGGTCCGGGTTTTTCGGCCGGGCCCAACGCCATGGGGCGGGGCCCTTCGAAAAATAGAAGCCGCACGCCGGGACGAGAGATAGAAAGGGAGATAGAGTGAAAGAAAGGGGGAGGAAGGGTGTTTGGGGATGATGCCCTGACATTGCCACCACACACAACTCCCAACAGACACACCACTCCCCCCCGCTCCTTCTGCACTTCACCACCACACGCTTCTGATTTCGTTTCCGCTACGTTTCCTTGGGCGGTGTCATGTCGGACGAGCAGCCAGGTAAATTAGAGATTTTTGAGGGGAAGTAGGTGCTGGGTTGGGAGCTGATCTGCCTGATTCTGGTGTTCATTCTGAACAAAGCCCATTTTGAATATTGCAAACATAGCTGAACCACTACGGTCTTTGAGATAATTCGCCCTGTTAGGGCCGGTTTTATGTTGGGGAGTCGTCCTCGAAAACCTTTGTCGTTGAGCAGGGACTTGAAAGATAGGGTCTGATCAGAATTTCAACCCCTATCAAAACGAGCTTTGCCACATCGCAAAAAACCCAAAAGCCCCTGAGAAACGATCCTTGTAAACACAGCTTCAACCCGATGCGTTATAATCGCTGCATTATTACCCGTGTGATTTCTTTTGATCCCGCGCTTGCAACTTCTTAAATCTCAAACCGTACCTAAACATTTGTCGTCTTGGTTTTTAGCAGCTTGCTTTATATAAGCGCTGAAATTTTCGCGCATCGCATAGCATTTTCATTTACCACATCATGTCTATCCACACAAAAACCCAGAAACCAATTTGCCTGGAGGTTCATTAGCAGTCCGGGCACCTCCCTATTCCGCGAAAGTGTTTGCTTTTGAAGAAAAGAGGAAAGAATCAACCCTCGCGCCTCTAGGTCAACAGCCAACGGAGCAAAAAAAACGGCCAAGTCTTCGGAGGCTCACACTTTGTCGGAATTCGCCGCCGCTGCTTAGCAATGCATCGAAAGCAGACCAAAAAATGTGTTCCGGATTTCTCAATCTTCACAAAAAAAAATCTCGAGAAACCTTTTTTGGTCGGAGCTTCGATAAAATGTTTCACAGCTTGAAAGATGACTTTGAACTTCAGGCGGTGCTGAATCACTGATTATTCGGCGGGCGAACAAATCGAAGAAAGGGCTGATTCAGCTGTTTTGGCCGGAATCGGCTGGCGCGTGTTGGCGCTTCTTTGGGGAAAGTTCGTGCGTTTGTGGCAATAGCATTAACTAGGATTAGTTTGCAGCGCGGGTGCTAAAAAAGCCCAAAAAGGAATTTCTAAAAAAGCCCAACTCCTAGGCCAAGTGTGTCATTTTTTCTCACCTTCCGGTCTAATTGTCGCCTCTGAGCCTTGGGGCAAAGACTCGGGGACCTAGTGTAAATCGGGGTTTTAGCTGGAAAAACAGGGCACAGGTCAGCTGCTTCCACCTAGGATCTCTCGACGATGAAGGGAAGGGGGACCTCGGTTGCTCACGCAGCACAACGATTGATCATCCATCTCACGGAGCCTCATGGGATCCTAAATTTTTGCACCGAGACTTGATAGAGCTTTTGGCCCTGGGCTTCTTAAAAACCTATAGCTCAAATCGAGCTTACAACGCGAAACCTTAACCTATAGCGACCGAGAGCAAAAAGACATGTAAACAATTTTTGAGAATGGAAGTCCTGGCTAACTGAATCTTTTGGCATTATTCAACTCAGCGCTTCTCGTTCCACTTCAATGAAGCCGATATTAGCTGCGTCGGGGTAGCTCTGGAGCTCGTTCAGCCCTGCCAGCCCGCGGATGCGGGGCCCATTTTGCCCTTGGTATTTATAGGCCTCCTTCAGGGCCCTGATTTAAGGCACTCGGGCGGCGCCCAAGGAACGGAGCTCTCGAAGGGAAGTCGAAGCGTCTCAGACGATTCTTTTGAGTCGGGCTTCTCACAACTGGGATAAGTTCCTATGCGAGATACGGCGACCCTCTCATGTTCATGCCGAGAAAAAAAGCAGCTTTATGTCAAGTTTTCGTTAAATAACGCTAAGACTGTCTTCTTCCACTTGCAAAGTTATTTTTGCGGTGTGGGCGTGTGGATGTTTAAGCGAGCTTGTGCGGGCCCAAAGGAGGGCAATCAGTCGGCGGAGGGATTCCCTCGGGTCCTCCCTTCCCCCTTCCTCAACCCCTTCAATTCGAAGCCCACTTCTCTGCTTGCTCCTCCTTCCGTCTTCTTCTCCTCCTCCTCATCCTCCTCATCCTCCTCCCTAAGGCCTTTTTTGGTGTGCCGGGCAATCTGGTCCGGGAATCTTCTGCCCTCCAAATCCCTTCAAATTTGCCGCGGAGAGGAGCAGTGAGGGGCATCTTGGGAATTGGAATGATTGCAAACTGAGTTTTCGGGAAAGGAACGTTTGGGGTCATAAAATGGATCCAGACGGTTTGCCGGCTATCTAAAGGTTATATAACGAAGGGGATGAAGCACCGCAAACTAAAAGTCGGAAATAAGTTGCAATCCAGGTTATACTTTGGCTTTAAGAAACCACAAACTTTCCCGAAATACCACAAGTTTTGCAGACGCGTTTTCCTGTTAGCGCGTTCATGGAGTTTCCAAATTTCCGCTCGACGGCTTCACGAGCAGCGGCCTGGACTCGGAATAATTCCCTAGTGGCCCCTCTCGGCCGGGAGAGCGGGCGGCTCGTGTAAGAAAAGGTTTTTCGGAAAGAATCCAGGCAGGGGGCCGAAGAGCAGAACAATGCCCTGAATCGGTGAATTGCCCGGGGCTGCCGGTGGTTTTGTGCTGCGCGTTCCGGTGGGATGGGCGAAAAGCAAGGGATAATAGAAAGCAAAAAAAAAAGACAAACTAAGATCATCATCGAGCATCATATTCTTTTCAGATATCTGCTCGGTGTGCAATGAGGAGATCACGAACGAGAAGCCTGGTTGCACGGCCATGGAGCGCATCTTTCACGTCGCATGCTTCAAGTGCAAGAAGTAGGCACTTTTCATCTGCGACTTCTTTAAATACAAATCCTCAAATCTAGTTGCATGACAAAAATCTTCGTAAATCTACCTTTTCATTCAGATGTGGTAACCAGCTAGCCGGCTCATCCTTCTATAACGTCGACAACGAGCCGCTGTGTGAGCAGGATTATCAGGTACTCCTTGGCAAAAAATATAGAAGTCTAAAGTCTAATCTAACAAGCAACCTCTTACAAATTCAGTTCAAAGTCTATATTTCAGGCCAGCCTTGACCGATGCACGAAGTGCGGTCTCCCAATCGCCGATCGTCTCCTGCGAGCATGCGGGGGCACGTTTCACACCCAGTGCTTCACGTGCTCCGTCTGCGAAGTCTGTCTCGATGGGGTAAGCCAGTGGTATCTTCTCCAACAACCCCCTCAGGTACCATTCACCGTCGACCCGGATAACCACGTTCACTGCGTTCCATGTTACCACCAGTGAGTTCCATTTATGGGCTCAAATCCGTTTTTGAGGCGTTACGCGCCCCGATGCGCCGTCTGCACGACTCCGATTGTGCCGCGGGAGGGCGAAAAGGTATGCGGTGCTCTTTATAGCAAACCGAACGACTTTGTATAATTTCTGAATGCTAAAATATTGCTGATGTTTAGGAGAGTGTGCGTGTCGTAGCAATGGAGAAGTCCTTCCACCCCGAGTGTTATCGGTGCGAGGATTGCGGTCTCCAACTCTCCAGCAAGGTCAGTGCTTTTTACCTTTTTGCGAACTTCTTAACTTCCATCTTTATTCCATTATCCAACTCGTTAATTTCCAGATCGAAGGCCAAGGCTGCTACCCGATCGATCAACATCTACTTTGCCGCACATGCAACTCCAACAGACTGCGACTGCTCTCCAATGCCTAGGGCTCCATGGACTACTCGGTTTTCTACAAATTCCCCGCATTCTAGCTTATTCAATGGGACGTAATACTAAAACATCACAGTTGTCCTAAATCCCCTGTAGTTTTCATCTAGTTGACTTCGGGGGCGGCCCCCTATTTTGGATTTATATGCAAACCTACCCTACACCCCCTTCTTACCCCTAAAAATTCCAATATTTATGGACGGTGAGGCGTCAACCCCCCATTCTATTCTGCCGGCTTCTTGCAGCAATCCAAACAGCTTCCAACCCACATTGCCCGCTAGTTTTATGCCCTTAAAACCTTTTGTTCAATGCAAATGCTGCCATCCTTCTTATTTTATCGGTAACGTTTTCTCTTCTTAACACCGGCTTTGCCCAATAATCACTTTTCAAGGGAAATGGCAATAATAAATTTATGCGCCGAAAGTTGATCACGAAACTGTACGCGCCCCTCACACGCAAGTCGGACAAAATATTCTATCGTTAGTTAACCGTATTTATTACGCTATTTTCAATTCATAAAGCGATCTTCTTTTTCAAGGGAACGGCCTGCTCCCATTGTGATTGGTAGAGCGAAAAATACGCCGCCTGCTCGTCTTCTACCTAAAAGAAGGAGATACTTGAGATTGATGCTAACGAACCCTCAGCGGCACCTTATTGCCCTGAAAGTCCACGTAATGGGTTTTTGACTCGTGGCTGACCGGAGATGGCCGTCCTGAAAATAAAACACGCCCGTAAAAGTTTCTTTGGAACTTGGCAGACTAGCGAATACGCTGCATTGTTGTAAATATCTAAACTCACCATTCGTTTTCTGCTTCAATATACGCTTTCCTATTTTTCTCATTTTCTCGTTTCCAACCAGCAGCATCATAGGTATCACAACTGTCGGCAAAGCGACGGTCACATCAAATAAGAAGCCAAAAACGCGTCGATAGAGCTCATTCTCGAAATAGATGTATCCAAAGTATGATGTGAGACCTGAAGAACACCATAGCAAAGGCCGGTAAAGTATACCTGACAACGTCATGATCACCATGACCACGAATGCGCGGTTCAACAACATGGAGGTGCTCACGTTCTCCCGGATCTAAAAAAGACGAATTTTCCGCTACGCATGCGCCGATACCTGATAGCCCTCACTGATCTCGAGGGTGCCCTGTTTTGCCACAAAATTGTGATAGTTAAGACGATTGACAATTAGCATTAGCATGATCGCAATCAGATCCGATACAGCGTACAACCCAGCAAAGATATATTGCGTGATTTTCCCTAAATTTTGCCTTTGCAAGCTAAGCCACGCTTTGAAATCACCATTTTTCAGGTAGAACATCATAATAATCGAAGCGATCCACTAAAAAATCTCTTTAATTTTAAAAAACGATTGCAAACCATAATGGAGATGGCCACAATGAAGACGGAATGGTGACGCTCAGTCTCGTAGGTCTTTGATTTGGCCGTAGCGAGGAGGCGTTCTCCAGCAAGGAGCAGCATGTGCAAAGCGCCTGAAAATATTATTAAAACGCCTCCAGGTAGAAGGGATACCTGCGTAAAGGCACGTATCCCGCGCTCGCAGGAAGAACGAGGCAATTTGGGCAACTGCTGATTGATCGTCAGTTTGAGTGGCTAGAACGGCATGAAAAACCTGTGTAATCACTTACTTTCTAGGCAAAAGAGATATAGGAGACATAAGATCGTTCGCATCACTGAGGTTAACGCGAAACTCGCGCAAAAACTGTATAGCACCCATCGCAGGTTTGTGTGGAAGACCTGGAGGAAGAAGTTTTCAGGAGAAGCAAACTCACCGGTGCCTTCGAGAAGACCCTTGCGAAGAAAAAGGTAGCAGCAAAGCCAAAGGCGTGAATAAGCAGTTCCAGACATATAAAACAGCGATAGATGGTGTTGACGGTTTCGTGTGGCAGTGTCATCAAATATCTGTAATTAGCATATTTGGTTCCTGCTGGTATCTTTAGAAGCTGGGACCAAAAAAATAGCTCGTTTTTCTGCATTATCGGGGGTGGGGCGGCATCTTTGTTTAAGCCCAAAAATGATTATTAATCTAATAGAAAGTATTTTAATGGTGTTTTTAGTAAAATGAATATATTTCAAACTAGCAAAAACAATCCAAAAAGGTTCGAAAATTTTTCAAGCGTCGAAATTTCGGTCGAACGTTCCGCATTTCGTGGCTTTTTTTAATAAAGGCTTTTTTGGCTTAGGAATGGTATAAAAACACTTCCACTATGTATAATCAAAACATTGGATATTTAAAAGGTGGTTGCACAATTTCAACAAAAAAGAGCCGGTTGAAGAAGGTATTAATCGTAGAACACGAATGCCAAGGCCAATTCCCGAAAGTGTGAAGCGTCCGATGTCCCCAACGCGCAAACCGATTGGCTTCATCAGTGTTGCACCTGGGCGTTGCAGCAACGAACAGCGACAAGAAACCTTTTTACTCGAAAGCGGAGCCGGCTAGACCGGTTGGAGGCCCATCCTGGAGAGGAGAAGAGGTGTCAGCCTGCCTCGGTCAACCCCAATTTGGCCGCTTCGAGGGCACTTCCAGCCCGGACACATTGGATCTAGAGCCGGACCCTCAACCACCCAGCCTGAAACGGCACTTCCAAAAAATTGAACACGCCTAGCAGCTAGCGAGTTCCAGGAAGCTTGTTTTAGTGTGTTAAGGAAAATGCGGTATTATTAAATAACAAGAGCAATCGACAAGCTCTAAAATAGCTGCATTTAAACCTGCGTCAGAAGAGTGTCTTGTTTTGAAAACGAAAATCAAGTAAATATTAATATTGCGGTCATATTGCCGCACATCCAAAAATTAAGTACATCGAGCCCGGAAAAACCGCAACTGCAGGTGAAAGTCTCGGCTAAAAGCGTGGTTGGGCTTGAAAAAGTTCGTTAGTGCAAATTGGAAAGAGCTGATTGTCACGGGGGCTCATTTTAAATGTAAAGAACTGCTGCTACTTTTTTTTACTGGTCAGCGAACCAGGGGGGCGGAAACCGCCAAATTGGTGACTTTCTGCAGGCACATACCAGAAAAAGTGCTCATTGGCGATCGAAATGATGGGGCTGTCTAATAATAGCCGCTTTAAAGGACCATTGAAGTAGTCGGATGGATTCACTGGATGACATGCAATAGAAGCCTGGGGGACAGAAACGAATAACGGATAGACAATCCGCCGGGGCCATTTTCTCCACGATCATCGAGGGTCCCAGGAGGGTTGTTAGGCGCCTAGTGTAGTGCAATAGGGAAGAGGTACTTGGTGTGTAGTATCGAAAGCATCTGGCTAGAAAGATTCTGCGGCAGCAGCGAAAAGTCTCGAAGAGCTGTCAAGATTAATGAAGATGACCACTACGGGGCCTCCGCGCGTCACTGAACAACGATTCCAGCGCTGAATGCCTTTATTAGCAGGTTGAGAAACCTAATTATGACCAAGAGGCCAGAATTTTCCGATGGTGCTTCCCCAGGGCTAATTAGGAGCAGCGAATAAATGACATTTGGCCGAGCGTGCGATCGGCTATTTAGGGCTACGCGACTAATACACAGAGATTCAAGGTCGGCTTTAACGCCCAAGAAGTATCAAGAATTTTGCGGCGCATACTGTTGAGCCGCGAATTTGCGGCGCGACCTAGCGTTTACAAAACCTTGGACATAGAATTTTGCGCTCATCATTATGCCGCAGATTCTAGTGCAACGATAATTATAAAATTTTGTTTGCCAACGCGCTGAAAAGTGCCATAATGAATTCTGGAAATTTTGCAAAAATTTTCCAAAATTTCGCAAATTTGGAGGAGGCAGCCTAAAGTAGCTTCCCAAAAGGTTCCGGGCAACAGATTTTTACAGCATCGCAAATCAAAATTGTATCGCCGCTTCCTCCCCAGGGGAGATGGCAATCCAATCGCTTGGGCTCAAAAATTAATGAAGAGGAACATTGGTCAAGCTGAGGGTCGGGCGCCGAGGTAGGGTTTTGGCGAAGCGTGTGCCCTGGAAAAAGCGACGAAGCCCAGCAAAACGGAGGGCATGTGGCGCGTGAAAGCTGACACGACCCCATGTCAAACGGGACCGCACAATTGTTAGCGCATTGGAGGACTGGTAAGGTGGAGAAGGGGGGGGCTGCTCAAGAGGATTTGGGCAGATAATATGAAATTTCTAGACCAAACAATGCTGGTGACACCACCGGAAGGAAAACAACACGCCTGGATGCCTTGCAGGATTTTATTGCCGCTTCCACGCCTGATGATAAGGCGGAGCAGTTGCATTTAGCTGGGGTAGGGCGGTGCTAGGCGGTCGGACTCCGGATTAGGAAAGTTAAATTCTTGCCTAGGGTTTCTTATCCATGGTCATGAGTGCAGACTAGGGTTGTTATATGACTTGAGTCGCCACCGACTTGCGTCGGCGAAAATGCAAATGACTTGAGTCGGCAACGACTCGCATCGGAAAAATTATGAGTCGGAAAGGACGGATTGAAATGTTGACGATTCAATTCGTAAACGACGCGGGTCGCCAAACGACTTGAGTCGGAATGGAAATCAGTCGGATGGAACGACTTGAAATCGCGACGACGCAAGTCGCCGACGACTCAAGTCGTTTGCGTTTTCAAGTCGTCGGAAGTGAATTTATGCAAATATATGTTCATGGAAAACATTTTGATCGACCAACTCTATTCTTGTCTGAACAGAGAGACAACGTCGCACCACTCTTTACGCTACGATTGGACAAGAGATCAGGTCCCACCGACCCTCTCCCATAGAAAGCTGTATAAAAACTGCCGTAAATGCAGGAATTGGTAAAGCTCAAGCTGAGGAGCCCAGGGAGCCGGGTGCTCAGGGAGCTCAGGAAGCTTCTGAAGGTATATTAAGGTAGCAAGAACGTTAATTTTCTAGTGCCGTACTATTCTGAGTATATTACTACAAGTTTTAATAAGATTTACGGCTTTTCTAAGTTATGCTGCAAAATCAAATAGGGGATCAAATCGCAGCGCGAAGCGGCCTTTGTCCGCTAGTTCACTGTTTTTATACAGCTTTCTATGGAAGAGGGTCGGTGGGACCTGATGCCTTTTCCTATCGTAGAGTAAAGAGTAGTCCGGCGTTGTCTCTCTGTTCAGACAAGAATAGAGTTGGTCGATCAAAATGATTTCCATGAACATATATTTGCATAAATTCACTTCCGACGACTTGAAAACGCAAACGACTTGAGTCGTCGGCGACTTGCGTCGTCGCAATTTCAAGTCGTTCCATCCGACTGATTTCCATTCCGACTCAAGTCGTTTGGCGACTCGCGTCGGGGTGCGATTTGAATCGCGCCGATTTTAAATCGCAAGTCACGGTTTTAAAAGCATACGATTCAGTTCGTCAGTCGACTCCAGTCGTTTACGAATTGAATCGTCAACATTTCAATCCGTCCCTTCCGATTCATAATTTTTCCGATGCAAGTCGGTGCCGACTCAAGTCATATAACAACCCTAGTGCAGACTAATTAGTTTAACGCCCCTCGTCCGGATTAGCCGCATGAGATTTTCGAAACAATTTTCCTCGAGATATAAACTCTCTGGTAAGAATGGTGGGTTATTTACAATCTAGGTCCTCCGGTTCATTTAAAAAAATAAATTCATTTTGGTGGTTGCTGAAAACCAGAAGACTGGAGCTCGCGGGTCGACTGGAGGCGTCAGTTGCATGTTGGAGGGCTCTGGGATGGCTGTGACAGGTCGTTGGCCATTCTGGACCCTCGGTGGAGGACCCTGGGTATTGCTCGAGGACACCACACGTGCCTCCTCTTCTCATCTGCTTGTCCTTATCGGAACGAAGGCCCTTGTCGTGCATCTGGAATAGGCTTCTGCTCCAACGCCTTCCAGCAGCTGCCGGTGAAGCTTCAATTTAGATAAAGGGGGTTTGGACCCTAGAGCAGCCTCTCTAGCTGCAAAGTTGCAAGTTGTACGTGACAGCGCTGAGAAAGATAGATATATTGCCATTTTGCGAATCATAGTTACAAAGGTTGCAGTAATTGAAGCAGGTCAGACGAGGTCAGAGGTTAGAGGCAAACAGGCAAGCCTAGCCACAAATGCGATATCTAAGGCGCTTCAGTAGTCTAACCAGGAACTTATTAAAAAAACCGGTGCGTCTGCCAAGCAAAAAGCTGCTCGTCTCCAATCTGCAAGTGCCCTCTCCACCCCTGGGACCGGGGCTAAATAATTTACACGAACTTGGCCGGCTGTAGTTATGGAAAAACAGACATTTTCTTGTTGGTAAGGGGCCTGAGGCGCCCAAAAATCTGTCCTGAAGAATGTGGGCTCAGGTCTTTACAAAAGTGCAAAAAACGGATAATTTGCCGGAGGGTCAGGTGACAGGCCCGGCTAAAGTTGAGCGATCGGTTGATTCTGCACGAGAGATTGCCACTAGAGCATCGTTTGTCCCGAATACTCACATCACAAGATAATCGCCGGCTTTTCCTCATAGCCAGGCTTTCTCCGCCCTTCCCCCTCATGCACTGCTCAGTGCTTCTTGGTCCCCGGGGGACCGGCAGGATTAGGCCCGGACTGACGGGACTCGTGTCGCCAAACACCCCCGCCAAACCGCTCTAGCCACTCGTTTTTTGCTCTTATTGGCAATGGTAGCAGGGTAGCGCGCCGTAATGCTGTTTTTAAGCTGATCAAATGCTTCTTGGTTTCGCTTAACAAAATTCTAGAATTCGATACAGCCGACTTCCCCCTGCCAAAAATCCATTGAGAGGATGCGACTCTTGAGAACCCAATGCCAAATATTTCGCGCCTCCGTGGTTAGGGCAATTTTGCCGAGCCTCCCATCGTAACCTCACCGCCCCCTCTCCTGCCAGTTCCCGATTCCAAGGGTCGCATGGGTGGTAACTCACGTTCCACCTGCCCATTTTTTGTTGTCCGATCGCGCCCAATTAGGGCCTACCTCCCAGCTACAGGGTTGTCGAAGCACGTTGTGCTCGTTTGGCGCTTCATCAACAATCCCGATGCACACAACCCTTTGGATAAGATCTAGCAACAGAATAATTCCCCAAATGTCAGCAACCTTAAAATTACCCAACCCTGCACTCCTTTGTTATTCAGAAGCGCAATGTTTCAGGGTCAAATTTTGCAGGGCTGGAGCGGGGCTTCTGGAGTATCCGGTGGGACTGCCCGATCCCTCCCTCCGTTTCCTAATGTTTTCGCGTGGTGGTGGGGGGGGACCCAGTTCGGGGGTTGTGTGCCGGGGTGTCCGCTTCGGGTCCGGTCCTTCTCTTCTTCTCTTCTCACTACTACCCTATTGATCCCTCCCCATTTGCATGAATGCAATTCCAGCCCCCACCTCTACCTCCCGCACAACATCCCCGTCAGCTCATTTTCTGAGCACATCCTCAAATCGATGCTGATTACTTTTTCATTTTGTAGAGACTTTTTCCCCGATTTGCTGCCATCCCAGCGAATTACATCTAACCGAATTAAATCCCACCGAATTTTCATCCCATCGTATCTTCCTCTCACCGAATTTTTGATCGCACCGAGTTTTTAGAACACCTAAAAACTAGCACGGCAAAAATTCCTTTGCATATTCATTGAAGCCGATTTCCATGCAGGCCCGGCTCATGCTCGAGCTCCCGCCTGTTTTGAGGTTTAGCACCCTCCCAGTGTCATAAAATCTCGACACCCCTCTCACCAGCCATTCAATTGCATATTCGGACCCCGCTGATGCCGGCGGAAACCTGAATTCCCGCAAAATCTCGCCTACTTCTCCGACTCGCCACTTGTCGAACGCTACTCTTTTTCCGGGGTTGAGGGAGAGCAGTAGTCCCCGATAAATATTTACTGAGCGTCAGCCGTTTTTGGAGGGCTGGCGACCCTTGAATTTTCTGCCCTACACATGTACCTCGAAATGAAGCCCGAAGTTTCAAAAATCAAGTGCATTTTAGATTACGTTATTCTAGCATATTACTGGCGTTCATGCGGGGAGAATATGACTATCTTTACTTACTATTACTGCTCTATGTAGGTCAATTAACTAGCTAACTTCTCTCCTCCTAGCCAGCAGCAATAATCGCGGCTGACCCGTAGAATGTGCTTGCCTAGAGAGTTGATAAGACACTTGGCTGTCAGCTTCATTCTGGCTACTGCTTCTACGCCGTCAGTCTCTTCCGCCGAACCTTTAGAATTACAGCGTAATCTGACCGCGACCCGAATCTGATTCCCCGCCAATCAGAGCGTTTCTGAAGCAATTTTTGTGTTTGTGTGACGGCAACTAGGAGAAAGCATGCTCCGAGCCAGCACGAAGGCCTTCAATAGGAGGGCAAACAGCCAAAATGTGGCCTGGCCTGCACCGTACACACGCGATGGGGGCGCTAGCGGCTGGCCGAAAGTTGGAAGCCAAACTTTAGCACCACCCGCCCTGCTGCTACGATAAAATTGGCGGTCGTGCACTAACTATAAAAGCAATAGATGAATTTTTGTCAGTATTTTTTCTGCTCCTTGTCTGTCGAGGCGGACGATTTTGGGATTAGGTCCCTTCCAAAAACCCGCATGCCTCGAAAATTATTTGCCATATTAATACGCGCTTAGGTTGATCGGGGAATCCTCAGCCGAAACTATTCCTACATATGTCTCGCATTCTATACTAGCCCGATTTTTCTTCCTCTACTTGGCCCTAGATTGCACGCACCCTGTAGAGAATGGTGGGTGGGTGGTTCAGGGGCAAACAAGCCCCCGCCCGATGAGCCATCGACACGGCTTCCTAAGCTCATTACGCACCCGGGGCCAGCCCTGTCCGGATTGGCAGTCAATCATTTTTTGAGGGGCTTGAATCGGTTGGCTCTGATTTGCAAATTTATTCTTGCTTCTAAAAGCATCTGTGCATCCTATTTTCCTGTGCTTTCCTCCAGGCGCAACGACCTTCCTCCTCCACCCCCCAGTTTTTCATGTATTTGGACCTCAATGGAGGTCGATGCACCGGCCACTTATCATCGATCCTTGACCCAGCCTATCGCAATCCTCCCTACCTACTTTATCGCGCTCTATCCTCATGCGGTTCCGCTGGTGTTCTATCTCTTCTAAATCTTTCCACATTCTTACAAGGCATTACTTAATTTACAGATGGACCTGGGGTCCGACCAGGACTACTTTCAACAATGCAAGTACATTCACGAGGTAGAGGTGGTCAACCTAAAGCTGCAGATGCGCATTCTGGAGACGCACTTGGAAGTAGGTGGTCGTGAGGAGGATTTACCCACCATCGTATTTAGACCAAAGATCGCCTAATACGAAACCTAGAAGAAATTATCGATGAGCAGGAAGGTCGTATCTCAAACATGGAGGAGTTTATTCAAGGTACGTATTGGGACTCCGGACAGATGCATGATCATCGATGCTAAATATTACTTCAGTTCTGTACGCATGTTTTAGTTTCTTTAGAAATTTTAATGCATTTTGGTTCCTTAGTTGCGTCCGTTATTTTCCCACGGAATCCTGGTAGCCGCAGCCGCACAATCCGCTTCCGCTTCGTGAATATGGTGTTGTCCGGGTTAGACGTCGTGTTTTCAGGGCGCCGCGACAGCTACTCGGGACCCTCGTCGATGCTTAAGGGCATCTCAGGTCTAGTTTTTATGTTTTCCCTTTGCACGGCAGATGTAGGAAAGGGGATTGCTTTTGTAGTTCGTGAGGACGGTTTTGGCGATCCGAAGTTCGACCCTTTTTGCTAGTGTATTCAGGCTCGTTATTTCAGTTTTATCCTGGGACTTCGGACAACTCTCCGATGAGAACCTGAAGCTAAAGCAGGCGCTTGCTGTTGCTCAACGACAGCTACGGTAACTCGATCCTCTTTCCAAACCTTTGATTAAGAATGGGAACCTTGGTCGAAACAGATGAAGACTACGAGAGCGATTTGACAAGCGAAGATCGGTTCCGCGTCAGGTGAGTGTAGCCGTATATCCTGAAGACGTTGGTTTTTAGCCCGGTTCCTCAAAAATCATATGAAGAAAAGGCAAAACAACTTCTCGATGCCAACCACACAAATAAGCTGAAGCGCGTAGCGGAGGAATTGAAAAACGAAAAGGTAAGCAGCGACTTTTTAATGCTAAATATCTTTGGCTTCCATAGGATGAGCTGAAAAGATTGGCACTGGATACGAAGGAAGCATTTTCGGTGTGCATGGCTGAGGTGGGATAATTAGAATTTATTTTTCAAAGTTTAATTTAGGTTAAGCTAATGCTAGAATCAAAAACGACGGACTTTTTCCAAGTTCTGATCTCGCGATACAAGGCAGAGATGGAAAAGAGGCGCGAGCTGCACAACCAGCTGGTCGAGTTGAATGGTGTGTTTGTAAAAAACAGCATACGGCACAAATGCAGGGAACATTCGAGTGTTCTACCGAGTACGACCGCAGCTCGATGAAACGCCAGGAACGGCCGCAGTGCTAATTGATAATATGGATCCCGGGGTATAAGAAATCTTACACGTTTAATGCCAGCATTGTTTCCAGGTCGTACACCTCTCAACAAGTGCCGGCAAGAAGAGCAGTCATTCCGTAGACCGCGTCATCCCGATGAGCTTTACACAGCCGCAAATCTTTGCCGAGGTGTCCCCGATCATCACCAGCTGCATAGACGGGTACAACGTGTGTATATTTGCGTACGGTCATACCGGCAGCGGCAAGACGTACACGATGGAGGTAATTTCTTAATTTTGGCAATCCTAATCGTTACGCCTATAGGGCCCGACCGCCAACCCTGGAATCAACCAGCGAGCCTTGCAACAAGTCTTTGAGACTGCTCGAGACCGAGTCGGCGATATCATCTATTGCATAAAAGTCGCCATGATAGAAATCTACAACGAAAAAATAAAGTAAGCCGATCTCAGAAGGCTTTACCTAGCATTTCAGAGATCTGCTCAACCCATCGGGTTCTAGCCTGAGCATTAGGCTTGGCGAGGATGGACGCAGTTCTATTCCCGGGCTGACTGAAGAAGTGGTGGACAGTCTGCAGGCCGTTACTGAGACCTTGAATCGCGGCAAAAAGAATAAGGTGAGGGCTTTTAAAGGGCTCTCGACACGCAGCGGCCGCCGGTAATTTGCCAAAAATCAAACAGCCCTCTCAAAAGGGCTTTGATTTGGTTGTTCCGTGTCCCTTTAAGACAACTCGATGAAATAACCACGCCAATTTTTAGGCCATGGCCGCCACCGAAGCGAATAAGGAATCCTCACGCAGCCATGTCATTGTCCGGATCACAGTAACAGGTGTAAATAGTATCACCGGGGAGTCAACTGTTGGTGAGCATCAACTTTAAATATTTTAATCGATTAAAGGTCGCTTGAACTTGGTCGACCTCGCCGGCTCCGAACGAGTGTCGCAAACTAATGCAACGGTAGTTGGTCACCTCATCCGGTCAAGAGCTTTTAGGGTCAATTGCTCAATGAAGCCAAGGCAATCAACAAATCCCTATCGGAATTGGGCAATGTCGTGCTCGCTCTTCGCCAGAACAACAAGCACGTCCCATTTCGGAATTGTCAGCTGACGAGACTGCTTGAGGATAGTTTAAGTGAGTTTTCGATGCAAAATGCGATCATGTTTAGACGGCGAAAGCAAAACGCTGGTGATGGTGCATTTGTCTCCCGACGTCTCCTCCGTCAGCGAAACGATCAGCTCGATGAATTTTGCCGAAAAGATTGGCCAAGTGCAAACAAAGTAGATCAAATGCTTTAAAACTACAAATTACTCGCTTAGGAATGCTTCTCTCCAGCGCAGCACACCGCAACGGAGAAGCGCAGTACTGCCAAGGTAGTTTTTGGCTGGCCTCAAAGACCAATCAAATTTAGACCGCGAGCCGATCTCAATACAAACGCCTCGCCTAGAAAATGATCTATTATTGTTAAGTTGACCCGTTTGCTTTCTTCACCCCCACACGAGTACATGGTTTTTCGGTACCAAACCCCTTTGAATTGGAATACAGTCTTCGATTCTGAACTGCCTCTTTTTATTGTGATTGATTGTCTTCACGCCGCTGATAAATCGTCAGTGATCTATCGAACTATCTCAAAATCGTTGTGTTTGTTTGTCAGTATGGGATCGTGCATACTGTAGCTTCAGCCGAAAAAGCCGATGATTGTGAGCGTTTAGCTTTTTCTTTGCCGCGGATGCAATAAAGCCTCCCGCAAAAGCATCATTAGTGCGGCTAAAGGTTGCTAACGACCTGGCGCAGAGTATCTGTGAAATCTTGCAAATTAACTTGCACCCACATAACGGTTGGGTTTCTGTTTGCGCTCCCCCTTGTCAGGGCATCTGAAGACATTGTACCAACCCGTCGATCCAAAATTCCAATCGACAATACCACGAACACCGCCTGCCATTTTAAAGCCTTTGCAAAAAACCTCTTGATTTCTCTTCCCCGTCGTTCCCCCGGGGGCAATGGCCGTTGGATCAGAAGAGGTCCGTATCTAGACGACCATCTCTTTCCGACCAACCCAGCCGGTTCGAGATCTTTTTAAAAGTAGTCCCGTGCTTTTCTTTGTCTGAGTTGCCATTTTTTGGAAGCTAGAAAACAATTGTCAGTTTGTATTTCACGCTTCCATTAGCGATCGATCCCGGTATTTGCCGTTTGCCAAGCGGTTTCGTGATTGTGATCACTGCTCATCTCTGTGATACGAGTACGGAGACGGCACTTGCCACACTGCATTATGAAAGTCATCCGGCTGATCGGCCCAGTTGACAATGAAAAATGATGATAGACTTTGCATTGGATTTTTGGATGGGACGTGAGGATCGCGATGGTTTCAACTTTGAAAGGAAGCGAACAATCATAGGGAGTTTCAGACCCCACATTTACTTTAAAAAAAGATTAAGATTTGCGAGCTCCCATCAGAATTCATCTAATTATATCCCAAAACCTTAACTAACACAACAAAGCACCAAATCCCATAAAAACAGAGTGTCCAGGGGTGAGATGACCTCGCCTCCGAGAAAAGAACTGAACTCGCCAAGGCGTCGATTACCTTTACGGAGGCTCGATGCGAACACTGGAACCCACCTCTCGAGAGCAAAACGGGCATTATTTGAAAACGACGCCGCCGGCCGCCTTGCAATGGGCACTTGAGCTGATAATCTGTCATGTTTTTGCAGGTAGCTCATCATCAAAAGGCCGGGGGGAGTGAGGGAAATGTGTGTGTTTGTTGAGAGAAGTTTGTTGTTGCGCGTTTGCGAGAGCGTAACTAACAAAAGCGGCAGAAGTGAAGAAGATCCGAGGCGTTGATTTTTCGCCCTATCAACCCTTTTTTAAGAGCTATCGGAACATCCCGCGCCCTCGGCCCATCCCGGGACGGCGAGCTGACCGTTCCCGACAGTCAACCTTGGAGGCTGGGCGCTCCCTCAAATAAAATTTACATGGGCACAATGGGCCTCCGCAAATTCCCGGGGGCTCAGCAAAAAAACACCCAATTTCGGGGGTGACCTTTGTTGAGGGAAAAGGGCGCCAACCCTAGTATCGTCTGCCCTATTGAAGGTGGGAGGATTGTTGGAGCTTTTGGGATAGAAGATCCTCCAGTATCTTTGGTTCTATGGCTGCTAAAATAAAAAAGGGTTTTTGGCATGCATCTTCCGCATTTTAGAGCTTTTTAAAGAAAACCACATTGTAACGGTAACCTGTACCCATGGTTCAGCGGCTGCCCATCATTACTTCTAAAAGCCTTTACTTCCGAAAGTCATACTTCTAAAACTCTCAGCGTCGATAGGCGAATAAATATAACCAAACTCGCCAAAAACTGATAATCCGACGTATCAAGTTTTTCTGCGCCAGTTTTAGAAGTAATGGTTTTTAAAAGTAACCAGAATTGAAAAACCGCTTCGCGGCTTTTCAACCCTGGCCCCGTCCAGGACCTGTGAAAGTCCTTAATTTGCATGTTTCTTCCTGAATTCTAGCAAGAAAAAAGTGAAAAACGGCTCCTCTGTCCCTTTATATAGGCTCTTCCTACTTCCGGCGCATGCTAATTTCCCCTAACAAACAGGGTTTTACAAAAACCTATTTTTAATAGCGAAAACCGCAATTTTTCAAAATTTTTATGTGTGTGCAGTCGATTCCGGACCATTCTAAACCTATTGTCGTTTCTTCCCTATCCAAAAAACCCTTCCCCGAGGCTGTAGGAGCGGAACATCCAAACGGAAGTGCATGCAAATATACACACACACACACACACAAACACTATTTTTTTATATATAGTAGGATGACTTTTAGACGTAACAACTTTAGAAGTAATGACTTTAGAAGCAGTGATTTTAGAATGATCGTCCCCCTGTTTCAACCATAGTTTTTTGTGGTTAGCCAATAATCTACAGTCTGGTATAACCTACACTTCGCATTGACAGCCCTTGAAAAAGTATTGCCCCTATTGGTCACCTCAACCTTGCGCCTAAATTGCCGGTCGTGCCCCCGAGGTGTCGTCGGCGAGTGTTGATTTGCCGATGAGTATGAGCGGGGAAGTGCAGAGAAGATGTGTCCTGCCCTCCTTTCCCTTCTGCTCCTTTCCATTGTGACTCTCACTGCGCGCAAGCAGTGAGCGTGTTTGTCTGTCCGTTCAGATGTCTGTCTGGCTGTCCGAGGAGTTGGTGACCATTTTCTCACGCTCGGAACGCCGCAGGCCATCTCGCCGCGAGCTCCGCCCAGCCGACGCGCACGGCAACCGTACATGGGCGTTTACGGTAGCGAATTCGGCTGCCAGCCGTAATTATCACCTTTCCTTCGGAGAAATTTTGCAAACAAATTTTGCCTTGTAAGCAGACGCGCCCGCGTTTTCATGCTGTTTGCGCTATCCCAGCCTTCCGCACATTGTTATTCCCCGGGCGACTTCTAATCGCAGCCAATTCCGAGGCGTCAAGGCTTTTTCGGTGCAACGTCGACACATTCCGGGAGCTTTTGGCAATCAGTTGAAAAATAGTAGCCGATCAAGCATGATCGCACGAATGTTTTACTTATTTCCGTTTTGCTCTGCTTCCCTTTCCTCACAACTTTTTCGTGTAGCTACAACTTTCCGAGTGGGGAATCCCCAATAAGCGTCTCGATTTCGCGCTCCACCCCCGGGTTTCTCTTTCCATCGTGGTTGAGAGGGCGAAAAGCCCGTAACGGCCATTCCGTCCTACTCTCGTGTTGTGTATCCCTATAAAATTAGGGCTTTTGGAATGCAAGCTTTTTCGGGAAAGCCACTTTTTAAAATTTTCCAAGCTAGAATTAGTCCTTCAAAAATTTTCACGTTTTAATATAACGCCGAATTCGTCTATTTCGTGATTTTATTCAACCCTTTGCTCCAATTCTATTGCAAGTATGGAAATCGTCGGAAAGATCGTCGTTGCCCCGGGTCGTTCCGGCCGAGCGTTCGGGGGCGACAATTTACTACGGTAAGTCGGCCCAGCTCAACGTTCCGTTCCACACACGAAACCGCAAATTAACATCTTCCTCCCGCAGCAGCAGCGGCTATCAGCGCAGTTTTGTCCCGAGAATCTCGGGAGCCGCTAGCTGCCCGTTGTCCGCTAATTTGGCAAATAGGGTTCCGCCCGGATCAACCGTCAAGGTTACACTTCATCATCCGGCCCCCACCCATCACTCCCGAAAAACCTACGGCGCGCTCCCGGGAACGCCTGGAATTCGGGTACGAATTTCGGCAGCAGGTGCTGTGCTTATTTTTGCTACTTCCCGAACGGACGGCGCGGTGATGAGATTAAAAAGGGCGGGAAGGAACGATTACAGAAAAAGCCAGACTTCCGCGCTGATACAGTTGATGATAAGGGCTTTTGCAATCTAAAAGATGCCCCGCTTCTCTAATTTTAGGTTTGTCTTACGCTCAAGAGGTTATTTTGCAAAGAATCAACCTGCTACTGTCGAAAAACCAAAACCGAAAAACCCCTGAATTTCGTACATTTTCATCAGATTCCCCATGCGTTCCACATTCCCGAGCCCTCCCGTACACCGCGGGGCAACTACTTCGTTTCCTCGCATTTTTGCACGGTTCTCACCGGAACTTATCATTGCTTGCACCCCTATCCCTCGCCCCGGGTTTTGTACGGGAATCGTGTTTGCCTGCAAGCAATACGCGCCCGCAATGGAGCCCCGAATTGCGAAGATCCGTGCCCGCGCGCGCGTTCGGACCCGCTCCCGCGCTGGGGATGGGATGGGGGGCACTTGAGCCTCATCCTTGCCCATCTCGAGAGAAACGACAATCGGCATTGTGTCTTGTTGCAACCATCCCACAGCCTCGGAAACATTTCATCAGCCCCGGCCGAGATTGCGGAAAGCTTGAACCGGCGGACTAGTTGGATTGATTTGGTCATGAAGGGCGGGGCAAGAAGTAAATCCTTCCTTGTCTTGAGTATGCCTGCCGCAGTCAAAAATACGTCCTGTCGAGATTGTATTCTTTGCTTGTAAATTTGTTTTGAGCGAAATTTGCTCTCTGGTCTGGAGACCTTTTGTGAGCGTCCACGGATTTTCGTATTGGGACTAACCAGAAGACGTTTTTGAGTGACATCCCAGTTTTGAGCAAGACCAAGCCTATCCTGTGCAGAATTTTGCGCTGATTACGAAACTGTTTTTCAGATTTGCTCAAGTTTTTTGCTGATCAAAGCGTTTTCTTTTCAGAATCTGCGAGGCGACCATATTTGAAAAGTTAGGAAGCTTTGAAGTGTGAAGGCCCAAGCTGGTCACTTTCGTGTTTTTCCGCCTTGAAAACGGTCCTATTGTGGTCGTTTCGCTCGTGATAGCGTACTTCTACCACTACATACTAGTCAATTTTTGTATCAATTGAGGGCAGTTCAGTGACTCATGCAATTTCAGCAGATTTTCAAACCACATATTCACCCCCCCCCAGCGACCCTAGTCGCAAGGTTACCCAATTCGAAATGCTCGCACAAAAAGCAATCGAGGGGTAGCGCGTTGAATAGGGAACTTCAGACCCCCAAGACCCACTGGGTCTTTGATCGACTGAAGATGTTTGGGAGAGACCGGGAAATATGAGAATTGCTGCCGGTAATGGCTGCGAGTCGACTGCCCGTCTGCCCTTGTATTGTTGCTCGGCTTTAATAATCTCCCCTCAAATTCCCACGAGTTTAGGGAAATTTAGCTGGGGATGGCGGAAGATCGCGCACGACTTTTAATTTCTTTGACGCCCTCGTTCGCGCGCAATTCACAACATGCCGGCACGCTTCCTCGACCCCAGAAATACATACAGCTTTCTCCGTCCCTCCCCCTCTTCGCGCCTTGCTCCCAGTAACTGACCATCCCAACGACCTTCTGCACTATTGTATGGAGGCGAAGAAAAAGAATGTTGATGCCCAGGGGCATCATGATACCGGCGGCATTTCCGCTATCACCTGGGCCGTCGTCGAGCGGGTCGTTTGATTGCTTCCAAACCTTCGCAAGTGTACAATACGATGGCGCTGTCCCGCGTGGTTACCGGCGCGCGACCGGGACAGAACGTCCCGAACACACGCGGAGAATTCAAATGGCATAGCTTCGGGTCTACTGGCAAGATTACTCTACATACCCTTCTTATTCCATTGGCACCTTCCTAGGTACAACCTGAAAACTATCGGCGCTGGATCTCAGTATCCCTTGCTCGTTCTTTGTACTCCCTGGAATGGGATGGTCCACACCATTGAATATCTTTGATCGCAATCTTTGGAATTTTTGAGCCGTTCTCGCCTCATATTTAGAGAGGATCTCATCTGGCGATCAGTTTGGTTTGCGACTACACCTTAGCAGCATGAGCACGTATGATCTCGCTGGATCGTGAATCGCGTTTTTTCCGCTTTTGCACCAAGTCACTAGCGCCCAAAGTCTAGTCCATTCCGGCCAAGCCTCCGTTTTCACAGGATCTCTCACCGGAACTTCTCGGGCGATAAACTCGCTTTCTGCCCTCCCTTAAACCACGATTGAACCACCCCTTTAATGGCCACAGCCCTCTGCATCTTGTCCTTTTCACTTCCATGCTCTACCCCTCGTTGATATCCTCTTGTTTTGAGAGCAATTTCCGCGTCTCCCCCAATCCCGTCTAGGTCCCCCGGAAGCGGCGCGGGATAGCGGGCAGCCGAGGTTTTAGTGTCAATTTATGTTCGCCAACGGAAAGACTGTTTTTGTGGCTACTACATAAGGGATTCTCCTCGGCCACGTGCGCTTTGGCAAGTAAGTTTGCTGTGCCATCTTACTTTCGTATAAGCACATTCCATTACTGCCGAGCGGTCCCATAAGTGCAATTCTTGGCACCTGTCATCGCGATATGAATCTCCCTCAAGTATTGAACTGCAAATCCGCCAACCCCTAGGGCGTCGAGCAATTTGCTCGTTAGTTCACCGTATCGGCCCCGTAAATCACGCGCCAACTTGCCGTACGCGATCTATGTACCCCCGGTGCTTTTGCGGGAGCCTCTCTCTTCGGAAGCTTCGCTACATTCATAGCAAAAATTTTGTTATACTTTTCTTTTTCGGACTGACCTCGAATAATACCTTGGATGCGTTAGAGAAATCTTTTTGCAGATTCCAAATTGGTTGTCAAACCCATGATAGAATTTTCCATTTTCCGTCATCGAAGTTAAATTCATGGAACTAGAACTCTTGAATTGGCACCAATTTATGAAATCCTCGCATCATCACTTCGTTTTTTGTTAGAAGGTTGCTGCTTTCCAGCCAAAAAATTTTTTATGAATTCCGTGTGTCGCTAGCAACGATTCTTTTCTTGGCTATTTTGATGTTTTCTTATGGACATAGTTCATTTGATAGATTTTTCAATTCTGAAGAAACAGCTCCTTTCAAAAACTTCTGAACGATAATGGTATTCGAGAAAAATTATCTACATTTTCACCTGCGGGGCCCATCTGGGCATAACCGGGCCTTTATACGTAACTTTCTCAAAGATCGTAGTCGTTCAGCAATTTTGGAGAGATGGAATTTGATCAGAATTTCGACCTCTATCGAACCATCAATTTAAAACTGCCAAACTCCCAAAGTAACTAAAAGCAACTCCCTGTAAGTGGTCAGTGAGTGCTCTAGTCCCACCCGGGCCTCTCATCTTCTCATCCACCGCCAATCCCTATCCACGGAGGTCAACCGGTTCTGCCATCCGTATCATGTCGATTGGCCGTGAAATGCGCAAAAAAATTGATGAGACAAGGGGGACTGTCCTGCTTCAACAGCTCATTTCATACTTGTTTGGGCAATATCTTCCTTGGTTCCCGGGAGTCGCTCTCTTTTCCCCCACCTCCCATTGCTCCCCTGATTTCTCACGATAGCTGATGGCTGATGTTTTAGGGCTAGGTGATATTGGTGATTTCACGAGCTAATTGGATAAAGCGAAAACCTCGAAGGAGTTATCTTTTCCAGAACTGCGGCATCCCTACCATTTAGATACCAAAGGTGGTAAGGTAGTAAAGCCGCTGAAGTTGACTGCTTTCGCATTCACGTTTCAAAGCTTTGTAGTTTTGTAAATACCGTCGTATCGGATTCTGACAAGCACGTTTTATCAGCAAAAAATTCTGCACAAGAGATGCATGGTCCCATTACAAAAATCCGTGGATTCAGACAGAACGTCTCCTTGTAAGATCCGAGCTGCTTTAGGTTTTTTGCGGCGATGTTAGTTACCAAGTTTGATGGTTTTTGAAGTTACGATTTTGCCTAGAAGCTTCCACCTGTGTTCGTGATATTTTCTATGTATATAAAGCTCCATATCAGACGTTCAAAGTATTGATTCGTCCTCCCGTTACTTTCGGATCTGCAACCATTCGCTTACAGTATTTCCCCACTTCCTGTTCCCCGCCACACTTTGGCCGCCGTTTTCACAGCCGACTCAGTAGGGCGCCTCGACGGGGACGACGAGGCGCGAAGGGTTTGTAAAGTTTTGCCATCCATCCCCGCCGATACGATCTAGGTGTCGAGGGCCGGGCGCGGATCACCTGTTCTCGGGCTTTGTTTCGCGATTTTTTCGGGCCGAGACCTCGCCGTTTTTCGCGCTCCGCGCCGTCTCGCTCTTTACTTTGGGGGGTACCCGAGATCCGGGTGGGGGAGAGAGAAAACTAGCCGAGACGGAGCTGCCGTTAACATCTCCGGCACCGAGCCGGGGATATCTTGCTATCTCTGTGCTTCTCTCACTCTCTCTCTCTCTCTCTCTCTCTCTCTCTCTCTCTCTTTCGGTCTTTCTCTCTCCTTCTTCCAACACCCCGTTTTCTCTACAAATGGGATCATCCGGGTCGTGGGTCCATACAGTTTCCCCTCCTCCCATTTCACGGGCAGTCAACACCTCAAACAAGCTCGTAAATTTTTGCGTACGACGGATACGCTAGCCCCGAACTTGTTTCGTGAGCATAAGGTGACCTTGGATGGGTTAGTGTGGTCCAGGTTTTGTAATGCCCAGTTATTTGCGATCCTTTTAGCTCTACCAGTCCCTCTAAAAGAGATAGGCTTGCCGGATATCAGGAAAATATTATGCAGCTTTTTAGCGGAATTATATTTGAAACTACTATTTATATATGAAAATTGGACTCTGAGAAAAAGTTGGTTCCCCCGCCCCCGATAATGCAAATCAACCCAAATTAGGGCCAAAACCACTAGGCCCATCCCTCCAGACGGCGCCACAATCAGAGCATCAAGATGCGGTGCAGCAGCGTATCCGCTCCCATCCGCGCGCCATTCCCGAAAAAGGATGAGTAGGTATTGTGTGAGTGTGTGGCTGTGTAGATTGAGGCGAACACACGAGATGAGAGCCCCCGGCGATCATCGTTCCAGCACCTACCCCCCCGTTTCTTGCGTACGTTTCCGCGGGTGTTTCTTTGTCTGACCGTCCGTCCATTTTGGGCACCCAGTCAGCAGAGAGTGCTTTTTGCGAAATTGAGAGTCAAACAAATCGTCGGCGGCGGCACTACCAACTAGCCGGTATCACAAAGAGGGTGGTCAAACGAATTAACCAGCTGTATCGATTACAGGCTCATATTTCATAGACCGAATTTTTACGTACAGTAGTCCACAGATGTTCTTGGATGCATTGTTTTTGTTGAACTGACGTTTCACTTTCCCCTTCTTTTTTGTCATCTCACTTTATTTTCATTTCGTGAAAGGTACTTTATGAAACGCGCATTAGTAGAGTGCCCTCCCGCACAGACCTCGGCTCCGACGATGCGGCCGAGTCACTCACTTGCGGTCATCCTCGTCTCGCTGGCACTCTGGGTCGGCAACGGTTAGTGGTGTTCTTCAGGATCTTTAATATGATGTTTTAGCCAATGCTGATGACGATAACCCGATCACCAGCCGATTTAAGTGCCGCTCGAACGGGTGTTGCGATCATCACGAGTGGTGGGTGCTTTGGGGCTAGGCTAACTCAGAAAAGGAGAAAGCTAGCGTAGCGTATTCTCTGCTCACCCTCTCTCGCTCTCTAACTCTCTCTCATTGTTTCTCTCTCAGTCTTTCTCTCTCGCTCTCTCTCGCTCTCTCTCTCCCCTCTGGCGCTATCTCTCTATCCATGAGGTAGCAAATGGGGTGAAAGAAAAAACTCCGTTCCAAATGAAGACTTTTAGGTGCCGCTTCTGGGCTTCAGTCGGTGAATGCCGGACGAACGCCGAATGGATGGAGGACAACTGCCAATTGGCCTGCGGAACTTGCCGCAAGAGTAAGTCGAACATGTCGTCCACCAGTATTGACACGCACCGTTGCATGAATTTTACGAGTGCCCTTCCACAGCACCCAAGCTTGATTCGTGGATAATCACCGTTTAGAGCTACCGCAGATCCTCCGCCAGCTCATCAACGCACGCGCACCACACAAAGGTCAAAATGACCTCCTCGTTTCGCCCACTGTCTCGAGCACAATAATTCCCACTTGTTGCTGCTGTGAAACTAACGTTTTGTGTTGTAGATCTTGCTGTCAAGGATTTCTAACCCTAGAACACGTTTCCCGCCCCTTTCTAGATGCGCGAAAAAAGCACAAATAATGCGCTGTTTTCGAGAAAATAGGACTTCCTGATCACCCGCACATTCACCAAAACGATACCTCACCAAACCCGGCTCAAATTGTTTATACGATCTCTTTAGAGCTGCTGACGTCGGCCCGACCAAACCCGGTGCGACCTCCTCCCCGTCCGCCAGTCACTCGCCCACCGACGCGTCTGACGCGACCTACCCTTAGGCCGACATTCACCGCAGCCCGGACATTCTTCACCAGACCTCCGGTTACCAGAGCGGTTTGTTACTTGGAGACAAAGAAAGTGACTCATGTTAGGAAAAATATTTGTGATCTATAGTCATCCCTGTAAAACTTGCATTTTAGCGTGTGACTCCGGCCGCGACGTTCCGCACTCGAGTGACAGCCGCGCCTACCAGGTCCCGATTCGAGCCACCTTGTGCACATCTCAGTTCAAGCCTTGTCACTAAAAGACTCAATTATTCATCCGGCCTAGTCTTGCCCACTAAACAAATGCTCAAAAATCCGAGAACTACTTATCCGATAGCAAATGCGGGCACGGTGTGCGAGCAATATTCCCATGAGATGTTTTTGGTTTAGAAATAGCACGGTATATCTAGGAATAATCGTAACTCAGCCCATAGTCGACAATAGCTATAACTTCGTAGCCGGGGTGTTTAGTGTCTTCGATCTGGCGACCCCTTCCACCGAGGCGACGACGATCCGCGTGATCACGGTACCAAAGGGCGGCTTCGGTGCCACCCTCCTCCCGCGTGGCTTCCAATTCGGGGCTGAAGCTCGGAAACGACCCTTCTTCCCCTTCTTCATGCCGTTCCCAGGCAAGACCTCCCAGAGACTGCCGGTCCCGACTCGTAGCCCTCTGGTGGCGACTACCACGAAGCCGGGCTCCAAAGCGAGCCCAGCAACAACCACGACTACTACAACTACTACTACCACGCGGACAACCACGACTACTACCACCAGCACCACCACTACCACCACGACAACCACGACAACACGGTAATCGTAACAGTCCCCTGGGCTTTCCTTTGTTGCTTGACTAATGCCTTCAGATTTCAATTAATAGCTTTTCATTGAGTTCAGCACCAAATGTCCCTGGTTGATCGTTTGACTTTTTTGTTTGTTTCCGGGTTGGGTATGCATGAGAATTAATGGCGCAATTTGCACGAGCACATTAGTAAAAAATGATACACGAGGGGCTGGGACCGATATCTCACCAAACTGAATTCGGGCGCCTCTTCGACTTGATAGCACGTTTTATACCCTAAACTCGGTCCTATTCCCGGTATGCATGGAGTGGAGTGGAGTGTGAATTGTGTGACGTGCAGTGGCTTACAGAAGAGTGGCTAACACCCGGCGACGGCCCACGTTCACCCAGACGACCCGCAGACCGACGCCATTCTTCAGACAGCGCTTCACGCAGCGCCCAACCTTTGCCACCACTCGCGCCAGGCCGACACCGCTCGCCAGGACCTCACTGCGACCAACTTCGCGACGGTTTGTGACCGGGGGTTGAGTGTTGATGGGTGCGAGTGGGCGTGTGGTTTGATTGAGACTAGCGCATGAAAACCAAAATGTAAACATTTCGTATGAAATCATAGTCCTTACAACCTTCCGGTGTGCGTGCGGTTCGAAAACGTATCCTAAACGCTGTGCCTCAACTCGGTTGAGTGTTTGTGGTTCGGCTAACTGTTTTTTACCTTTTCGTACCGTTTCCGGCCGGCTTTTGGCGTATGGGGGAATGCATGAGACCCAAGGCTTGATTGCTGTACTTTTGGGTGGAAAATTTTGCTGCTGTGGACATTTTGCACCCTACTGTCTTGCTGGTGCCTTTCGGAAGTGGAAAATCCGGGAAGAGCCCTGTCTCGTTTTAGGGACAGGGCAATCAGAAGTCCACGTGTTACTTGGATACCTCTAACTTTGCCAGATATTGCAGATGATGCACACTGATCTCCCGCCCAAAACATAATCTGAGAGCACGCGTTATCAAATCTGCGCACCTGGCGTCCTCGCATTAGTGCGCTGAATTGCTTATAAGAGCTGTCTGGCGCGCAAATCCAACCAAAGCTGGCAAAGTTCCAGGAATCCACGTAACATGGATTTCTGCTTGTGCTACGCCTTTAAAGCCCCCGCTCAGCTTGACCGTGCATTTAGCCCGCAGCCAGTGACCCGCCCGGCCTTCCCAGCTCCACCTCCGGTGCCCGTCATCTCGGCTAATCCCGGCCAGAATCTCTCTCCACCTCCTCCATTTAATGAGCGGTACGTGGATTGATAATACCGAGAATCGGGCATGACTAAATATAGATCGACCGCCGCCCAGAATGCCCGTTGTCTGCAGCTGATGCGGAACCCACCGGAGAATCTCGCGGAAATTATGCACCGTGAAAGGCTGATGCAGCCGGTTGAGGGTGAGTTTAAACAAAGTAAGCTTGAACTCCCCCTTCAGACCAATCGGGGCGCCGCCCCATCGACCTCGACCAGGTCGTACGATCGAACCTGGCCAACGCCTGCGTCCCCAGGAACGATGAGGCGGAGTGCGAGCGATCTGCGTGCTACCACCTTACCTTCCGGTCTAAACGTCACCTCACTTTGAAAAAAATGTTTAGCACGTTTGACGGAACTTGCAATAACATCCGCAACCCGCTGCAGGGCTCGGCCTACAGGCCCTACACCCGTCTCTTGCCTCCCAACTATGATGATGGTCTCCATGAGCCTGTCGGTGGGTACAGACACCTAGCTTCAATTTCTAGCTTAACATGTCAATCCAACCTTTCTAGGCTCCCTCTTCCCCGAGTCTCGCCCTAACCCTCGCATGGTAACCCGCAACATTGTCTCTTCTGACGAGCAGGTGTTGTCGCACGAGTTCAACGCTCTTCTCATGCAGTTTGGACAATTCGTCTCCCACGACATGGCCAAGGTAATTTTTTTCTTTTGCCACTAATTCCATAGTTTTCAGACCACGCTGGTGCCCTCATCCAAGTGCAACGTCTGCCAGAACATGACCTCCCGCTGCATGGCCGTGAAGGTGATGCCCGATGACCCGAACCCGAGGTACCAAATTCACGTGAGAGCTGAAGGCAATGCCTTTCAGCTTCCGTCACGACACCTGCATCCGTGTCTCCCGGTCGTCCCCGATCTGCGGCTCCGGCCACTTTAAGCCCCGCCAGCAGTTGAACGAGAACTCGAACTACATTGATGCCTCTCCAATCTATGGATCTTCCGTAGGTTCTTAAATTTCTGAAAATAGATTCTGGAAATTCGAGATTCTGAGATTCGATATTCTGATTCTCGCGATTTTGATAGATTTCTCAGACAGATGACGAAAGAACTATGCATTTTTAGCTCGTCGACTCGAAGAAATTCCGTGACGGCCGAACCGGGCGTCTCCAGCTGCCGATGTTCAATGGAATGCAAAGTAAGCCCAAAAAAGGAGAACCAACCACGACGATTATAGTGCTGCCCTTCGACACCGGATCATGCCGAGGACCCCGCTCCTCTTGCAAGGTCATCTTCCGTGCCGGTGATTCTCGCGTCAACCTGTTCGTCGGTCTATCGTCGTGGCACACCGTGTTCACGCGAGAGCACAATAGGTAGGAATCCTATCCTATAAGCGAGAAAAGTATGTTTGTTTTCTGTAATGACGATTTCTCGGCCGTCAGGCCGAATTTTGCGCTGATTTTTGGCATGGAGGTGGAGAAACACATCCTCTTTATAGGCATTTTTTTATTTTTCGAAATTCCTTCATTTAACGATTTTGCAAGAAAAATAGTGTAAAACTCTTAACATTGTGGCCAAAAAAGGTTTGTACAGAGGATATCTCGCGATCCAAATGGAATTGGGCGCTAATGTTTGGAGGGTAGATTGAAAATTGAATTCTCTCGATATATATAATTTTGCGTTTTGTCAGATTTTGTAAAATGAAATTTTTATGAACATTTTTATAAAATGTCTTTAATAAAGTGGGCCAGGAGCCGTGGTGTCCGGGCCATAACTCGAAGCTCAGATGGAATTTCGGGCTGGAATTTGGACCACTTATGTATTCGATGGTGGGGATCACGCGCATCTTATTATCTTTGCAAATTTTCAGTGATCCATACTCGAAAACCGAATTTTGTAAAGTGACCAGTAGGCCTCCCTCCGGGACCATTGGGTCGCCCTTTTCCTTGCCTTCCCCGACCCCCTTTTCCCAGAACAGAAGAGAGCTTTCCCGCCGCCTGTTCCCATCTGTCCGATGGTGTGGTGGATTTGCGCCCGGTCTACCACGCGCATGATCGTGGGTTCGGATCGTGGGAGAATTTAATTTTTTGCTTTTTGGTAGTTCAGCAACAAAATATATTTCTAGGATCGCGGTGTGCGCGTTTTGACCTGACCCTCGCTCTAGCGCCGCAGGCCAAAGAAAAGGCCCTTGGCCCAGGCTCTCGCGCCGCAGGCCAAATTCGGAAGAAAAAGCAGTAGCTAGCGCCGCAGGCTTAAAGGTTCTAGCGCGAGGTTTAGGCCTGGCCTACGCTCTAGCGCCGCAGGCCAAAGAAAAGGTCCTTGGCCCAGGCTCAAGGATAAATGGCTCCTTGATACAGGTTCATGCCCCGCAGTCTAAAAAGGAAGGTATGCGAATTCATCGTTCCTGGATGGGGTCCAGTGGAAAAGGGCCGCGAAGCGGTCGTTTTCTACTGGTTCTAGGATATGCTAGAAAAGCTACAATAATTTTCAGAATTGCCGCTACTCTACAGCGTTTGAACCCGCATTGGAGCGGCGATCGCGTCTTTATGGAATCTCGGAAACTTGTTGGTGCTCAGGTCCAGGCCATCGTCTACCGGTTTGAAAATGGTCCTATCTATGAATCTCCCTTTTAGTGAATATCTACCCAAGATCCTCGGCACCGCTTTTGCCACGACCGTCGGAGAGTATTTCGGTTATGATCCTAGCGTCGACTCGACAATCGCCAACGAATTCACATCCGGGGCCTTCCGTTTCGGCCACGGAATGATTCAGGTTGGAACCGAGAATTCTTGATTTGATCTTTGGTATCAGGAACTTTACCAACGCCTTGACGCGAACTTCCGCAACATGAGCATTGGCCCCCTGGCTCTCGAGCACGGAACCCTGAAGTCTGACACGCTCATCTTCGAGGTAAGACTCTTTGGATGACATCATTAAACTTGACGACTTCAGGGAGGACCTGAGGCGATGATCCGCGGTATGTTGACCCAACCGGTAAAGCGGCCGCAACGCGTCACTCCTGCCGTCACCGAGAAAATGTTCGGCTCCACCGATTTGGCCACCATCAATATCCAGGTCGGCTTGGAAGGTTCGCTTCCAACTTTTTCCTTTAGCGAGGTCGCGACCACGGTCACCAGCCATACATCAAATACCGCGAATTGTGCGGAATGGGCTCTGCCACGACATTCGAGCAGCTTGGTCGTGAGATTCTGTCCACCGGCGTGCGAAACCGATTGCGAAACTCATACGGAAGTGTCGGTAGGTGCTTCATCCAAATGCAGGATCGGCTTTTCAGACCGCATCGACCTGTGGGTGGGTGCGCTCGTTGAGGATCCGGTGCTCCGCGGTCTCGTTGGACCCACGATCGCCTGCATCGTCGGACCCCAGTTCAAGAGGACCAGGGATGGAGATCGGTTCGTGTTATAGCAGCAATTGGTGTAAGTTCTTGTTAAGTTTGTACTACGAGAACCCGGGCGTTTTCACGCGCGCCCAGGTGAACGAGATCCGACGCAGCTCGCTGTCCCGGATATTGTGCGATAACGCGAGGGGACTGACGGTTAGTTTTCTAACCTATTTTTTCACCTTATTTGCCTGAAATTTACGATGAGATTGTGAGTTGATTGCTTGTCGACCCGAGTGTTCGCATTTCTCACGTCCCGTATTTTTAGATGGTGCCGCGGGAAGCGTTCCGGCTCGGCCCATTCGTGCCTTGCGGCCAGATCCCGGCCATGGACCTCTCGAAATGGAAGGAATAAAAGAACGCCCGCCACAAAGTGTCTTTTCAAATTGCCCGGTCCCGCTGCCTTGAAGACCTCCATGACGAGACTCACCCCCAGCCTAGCTAGGTCTTCGTTGTTACCGCCTTATGCCGCCCACGCACAGTATGCCTGTATCTCATTCTTAATATTGCGACTAACTTTCCTGTATCGATCTTCCCGTCAATGCATTTATTGCCCCCCGAAATTTATACGGATTATTGGGGAATGGTCTGCTTGCTAGGAGTGGATTTATTTTAATTTTTGGATACGACACAGAAAATCCATTCCTCATCAACTTATCAACCCCTCACCCAGCAGTTCCCATTTCATGAAGCGGGCCCCAAACGACGCAGATTAGCCATCCCCCCAGCCTATTGTTTAATGCGGTAGCTACGGTACGATTGACGACAGACAGCCCTCACAATGCACTTTTGGAAAATTGCCCGTCGTGAAATCGTAGTATCCCAAACAGATTTCATAAAGCTGAGCACCACCCGGCCTATCCCAGTGACAACTGTTTTTGTAATAATTTAGTGCTTTTCCCTCCCATTCCAAGTTCACCGAGTGCTCAATGAATTTGTGTGTTTGCCTTCGGCCGCCTAACGCTGCCGTGTCCACCATTGAATAAAACTTATTGACAAGGATGCAGTGAGAACAGCGCCACGTAAACTAAAAAAAATCGGCAGGCACAAAAGATGCCTTTAGAGAAAATTCGTTAAAACTTTGAATGCAAGAAGGAAGAATTTTTGAAATTTTTAGATAATGAAGAGGTTCTTCAAGTTTTTTGGATATAATGAATTTGCTTTTAAGCACTTAAAAGTTTTCTACTTCGGAGTTGGTCACAAAAAGTGAAATCTCACTTTTCTTTCGTACTGCTTTTGGTCAAAACGACAACTCCTTGTTAGCGTTACCTCAATTATTCCCATCACGACACAAATTGACTGTGCCCCCAATCGCCAGCACAAACTCCCCCCAAAAAGCGATTTTCCAATCGTGGGCCGACCCTTTTGTCTAGACGAGGTCGAGGGTTATTATCCCTCTCACCCGATCGATGGGCTCCCGATTTTTCAACGTACGCTAAACGATCACCGCGATCTGTGGGCCCGCGACCCTCATTATCCGGCTGGTCGGCGCGGGGTTGTGAACAAAATCACCCGCGCGCCCCAAACGCGTTTTTCACCGGTACCCCCCTTGAATATTATTATGGGCGAGGGGGTACCGTTGAAAACAAATAGTGTACCGTCACTTCGCCGAATACCAGTTTTTTCAGCAAGCGACTTTATGGCGGCGAGCCCCCGCTAAATTGCTGCCTATTTAAAAGCTCGGCCCGTGTCATCGAGGGCACCAAAATATTTACAGGCAGTTTCCACACCGGCTACACGACGAAAGTTACAGTAGGATAGATGCCGTTATATGTAGTTTTTGGCTTCATATCATTATTTTATCTTGATTAAAGTAAAATATGTGCGATTATATATATTTCTGGGTGCCAATTGTCTTGGGGGGGGAAGCAGACAGAATTTTGATTACAAGATGCTCCAAACGTCGTTTCGTTAAATTCTAAGCCCCTGGAAAAGCTAAGCTAAGCCTATGCAAACAATGCCTAAGCTTAGCCTGAGCCAAGCTAGGCTTAGCTTTAAGTTAAGGCTTAAATGGTCCCATTTTGGCCTCGTAAGGCAATTCCTAACAACGGCTTGGATGGGCTTCAGCTTAAGCCTAAGCCTAAGCGAAGTCCGGGCTTGGGCTTAAAACAAATAACTTAAGCGGAGCGCCTTACAACCTCAAACTATCAATTTCGGATTCCCCCCCCGCTTAGTGCATTAGTACCATTTCTGGCTGAGAAAGTATGCTTTTTGCGGCGTCCAAAAAATCCATCGTCTAGCCTTACCGGTCCCTTTAACACTATGGATCACAAATTTGCCTCCATTTACCCTATCCATCCCTTCAAAAAGCCGACCATTGGCCTTGTTAAAAATGCCGACAGTCTACCCAGTTCCGGGGTGCTCCCCCCCCCCCCCCAATTCTGATGAGTCACGATCCCAACTGATTGGGCGGGTATTACCCCTCGTTTCGAGTGGCTCAGCTCCGGGAGCCGACAAAATCCGAAAAAATCACACACAACCCCTATAAAATGCGACCCGAAAACAGCGACCGGGGAATCCCCCCTCCCCCGCCCCCCACTCCAATCGAGTCGCGCACAGCAGTTCCGTTTTGTAATCTGGAGTCCGGCTACCGATTGTGATTTCCATTCTGCTGTTGCTCTGAACTTTTCAGCTTGGCAGTTTTGATTTGAAACTTTCAGATAGCCATGAAGCTAATACTGGTAATCGCTCTGCTCAGCACAGTGGCGCTAGCCCACGAAAGCAGCCAGGAGCACGAGCACACAGGTAGTCTCGTTCACAATTCAAACAATGAATCCAATTTAGCATCCACAGTATCAAGGGCAAGACGTCAAGCCGCCAGCTCGACGACCCCCAACGACGAGGCTCATATCGAGCCCGTGGTCAGCAAGCGCGACGCTTCATCTGAGGTAGGGTTCAAAATGTGGAAAATTACATCCCTCAGGAGTCGGAGAGCTCCGTGAAGCCGAAGAGTGACGCATCTGATGAGGTGAAGCTTGGCTTGTAGTGTAAGCTAAAGTTTCAGGTCAACTCGTCCTCCACTCCCGCCCAGAAGCCGAAGCGTGATGCTTCTGATGAGGTATCTGCGTGCCATTAACTCCATTATTTGTTTTAGTCTACCGAAACGAAGGTCACCTCGACTGCTCCTAAAGCCAGGCGTGAGGCTTCGGTATGTTTATAGGGATCTAATCTATCTAACCCCCAATCCTGTAACTTATATCCATCGTTAGCAAGCGAACTACGTTTCCGGCTCCTCTACAGCACCAAAGGCCAAGCGCAGCGCTGAGGTTTTGAATATCAAATTACAAAAAGTAAAAAAGTATCTTTAGGAAGCTACCCACTCGACGACCGAGGTCCCAAAGCCAAAACGGGATGTCGAGTCAACAGCTACAACTGAATCACCAAAGTCTAAGCGTGATACATCCGAGGAGACGGCCGAGAAATCGGTGCAAACCGACGTGGCTGTTGGAGAGGTTTCAATGCCTTTATCTTCATCAAATGTGCCTAGGAAAACGGTTCCGCCAAGCTGATCGCCGCCACGACGGAGGGATCTGCTAAGCGCAAGCGAGAGGCCGCCGTCAGCGTCGCCGGTTTGGCTTCATGATGCAGCCGCAACCACCAATTTTCAGCTTCAACCACCGGCACGCCAGTCCGCCGTCGCAGGAGCTCGGCCGAGTCGCACTCTGGTGAAGTGAAGTCATCAGTAGCAGCCGTCGTCGCTCAATCCACCCCGAAAGCCTAGATAGCACCCCCATTCATTTTGATTGGACACGATTTCTGTAATTCGATAAATCCTACTTAATATAAAAATAAAGCTTGTGTGTATATTTGCACGCAACTTCCGTAGTTCTGTCCGGCATCTAGAGCTTCAGGGGAAGGTTTTTAGGGTAAGCATAGCACCTCATTAGGTGCCTAGTGGGCCCGAGAAGAGCGCAAACATCTCAACTTTGGGCAGATCGGCTGTTTTTGCTTTTAAAATTAAGTTTTTGTAAAGATGTAAAAACTTTTGGTTAGGGGGCAATTCGGCAGGGAATATGCCAAGCGAGGGCTCTCTTGGGTCCGACACGGGCCATAGTTGAAAAGCCGCGACGCGATTTTCGGACCTGGCAAAAGTAACAAACTGAACACGCAATGGATTTATTGCCAATGAATGCGGGGGCGAAAAGAACACATAAACTCGGGGGGTATGGCACGTGTTGTGAGGGATACGCGTAGGGGATGTAGGGGGGAGAGGAGCGGAGTGTAGTTGCGCGTGGAGGCCCTACTCCTTCCAGGCGCCCAGGTCCAGCTTGGGAATCGAAGAGCAGGGGATGGTGTTCGTGCCGGAGTCGTCGAAGGAGAACGCGCTGAAATTTTCGACGCATCGACATTATAAAATTTCGAGATTCTGACATTTCGATGTTATTAAATTGTGATATTATGCATTTTGACATTGGTTTTTAGAGGGTAGCCTTTCGCAAAGGTATCGTGGAAGAGCCTTACCTTGAGGTGACCTGACCAAAGTTCGATGCTGACGTCTCGCAAAGCAACCACGCCAGCGAGGTCTAAGGCTACGGTTATGACAGTAATTTTTAGGCAACCTTTCTGATGGCATCGCGCTGATCCGTGCTGAACGTTGTCGGGTTCTCGTAGTAGAAGCTGCAAAAGGTCTGGTTTGTGCTGCCAAGTGGTCAACTCACCGATCGCCATCACGGAGACGCGTGAACTGCTCGGCGATGATGCACGAGAAGGTGGGCCCGAGGACGCTGTTCCCAACTGGCTCCTCCACGATACCTGATTCGCAATTTTTACAAGCGCAAAATCGAATACTCGCCTCCAACGTACAAGTCGACGATGTCAACGTTGCCGTTGTAGATGTTCTTTGCGCGGTTTCGTACAATTTGATCCTGCACCTCAGGCCACTAAAAAATCCAAGAAAATGTTTTGAAAGCGCTTGCGGTACCTCTTCAAAGCTCTTCAGCGGGGCCAGGTTGCAGAGTTTTCGGTAGTCGTTGTAGCTGCGCAGTCCGTGATCACGGCCCCTCTGGATGTTCACCGAGCCCATGTCGCTCTGGATGAACGTCTCGGTCATGAAGGTGGTAATGCGCTGCGGGGAGCGCGCCGGGGTGCCCATCATTCCGCTGAAAATTGTTGGGTTGGCACGTTGACATTGGTAGGCACGGATTCGTTGCAAAGGGTTAAAAGAGCATAATGTCCAAAATCCTAATGTCGGAACGTCATAATGCCGACATTTTATAATTGCGAATTTCAGAACGTCTAAACTTAAACAAGCTAATTTCGTGCAAATCTTCTACGACATGTCCGTGCAGCTAATTCCTTGCATAATTTACCAGGATCAAGGGCAATCATTAATTCTCTGGCACTCACCGGTACATGTCATCCATAAAGTTCCCATTGATAAGCCGTTGGATCTTTAAATTTTTAGATTATCTTTGAACCTTGTGTTTCAAAGTCACCTGCTGGAACGTGTCCTTCATCTGTACATTTCCGATAGTCCGCTGATTCACGTCTTTCAAGGGGTAGAACTCCTAGTTTAAGTTCATTACCACAACGTAAGAGCCAGATACCTGGATCATTCCGTGTAGTCGGAAAGCCGCCGCGGAGAACTCGTTGAGGATGGACGGGTCAACGGTTTGGTCGTATCTGGAAGTGGAGAAGTAGATTTATAGGTAGCTAAAGGTGTTTTTTCAAGTAAAAAAGTATATTATGTCTGGATACCCCTTGTATTTGGGGATCAGGCGGTCGAAGAACGGTCCCAGGAGGGTTGGCAGGAATTCCTGGTAGACGATCGCCTATAAAAGGTTCGCTGTTATGGCATACCTAACCTATAACCTAAGCGGTGCTAATGCACTTGGGGGGGGGGGGGCAGTCCCGATTTTGACTACAAGACGCTCCAAATGCCGTTTTTTAAACTCGAAGCCTCTGGAAAAGCTAAGCCAAGCCTAAGCCTAGGCTTAGCTTCATAAAAACGAAGTCTAAGCTGAGCTTTAGCCAAGCTAAGCTTAGCTCTAAGCTTAGTCCTAAATCACCCCATTTTGACCACCTAAGACCCTAATTTAAAGCTCAAGTTAAGCTTAGCTTGGGCTTAAGCTTAAGCCTAAGCCTAAGCTAAGCTTAGTTAAAGCTAAGTTAAGCCTAGGCTTAAGCAGAAAACCAAGTAGCTTAAGCGGAGCGTCTCGTAACCCCTTACTACCAATTTTGGACTGCCCCCCCCCCCCTAACTGCATTAGCACCACCTAAGCCTAAGCCTAAGCCTATGCATAAGCCTAAGCCTAAGCCTAAACCTGAGCCTAAGCCTAAGCCTAAAGCTAAACTTAAACCTAAGCTAAGAATAAGCCTAAGCCTAGGCCTAAACCTAAGCCTAAGCAAAGCCTAAGCCCAGGCTTGACCGACGCCCGGAACTACCTAACCAACCTGCGTCACTCCTCCCACGATCTTCCTCGTCTCATGAAAAACCCGATCCGGATTCCAATGGCCATTGATAGCCTGTAGCTGTTCGGCAATTCTCAAAAAAAATATATAGCTTCCAAAACAGCGTTGCCCACTTGTTGTGCGCCCTGATGAACGTGGTGTGGAACATTGCGAGACCGGTGAAGATCGAGTTGCTGAACCACCTTTGTAAAATAGAGACTTCAGACATACCGATTATCGCCGACATCGAATTCCATCGGGGCCGGGTTTTTGACTGGCGGGAAGGCCATACCTTGCTGGACGATCGTGCGCAGGAACGCTCCGGTTCTCGCACCTTCTGCGTTGCGCACGTTCGAGTGGTAAACCTGCAAATTTGATTGGTGGACGGAGGCTGACGTTCTTTTTGCTTAAATAGGACGTAAAGAAGAGGACCCAACTCACCGTGCTGGCGTCGATAAAAGCCGTATTTTCGTTGACCTGCTGCCGGATGGCTCCGAGTTGTGATGCGCACGCAGGAATGGCACGCTTCATATTGATACACGAGACTTTTTTAGATCTAACCCAAGTTATTTTAACATGATGTCTGCAAACCTCTCGTCGTTGCTCTCGATCGGGATGTTGAAGCACAGCTGCGAGTTGTCCCCACATGCGCATTGACCGGAGAGCGAGTTTTTTGTGATGTCATGTGAGATGTACTGGCCGAAGGCCATCAGCAATGAGTTTGCCTAAAGGAATAGAGTGCTTTTGCGTCTTCATTACTTCGGAATTTTGGGCTATAATGCTTAGATGCCTACCGGCAACGGAATCACGGAGCTGTGAGAAATCAGCCAACGAACGGCTCGGCGAGCTGACGGGCGGGAGCCAAGCTTGGTGCTTGGAGACTGGACACCGTCGTCATAGTCGGCAGGGAGAAGTCGGCTGAACGTCGTGTACGCACCTCCCTGAATATCGAAGTAAAAACCTAGACCGTAAAGCATTAATAGGATATAATATTCGTTTCAGAATAAATTTCTCTACCAGATACGCTACTCAAAATCGATGGAAACACCAAAGTAAAAGTGTAGAGCATCATGGCAGATTATTTCTCCGGGCCCTAAAAATTCCCCCTACCGCAGTAGGCCTCTGCAAGTTATTACAGCTGCCGTCAAATGACCGGAAGTTCTGGTGGAAGCAGATGTTCGTCTGACAATCGGCCGGTTGTTGCAGATCGGAGCACGGGCGGGTCCGCCACATGACCAACATGTCGTCGGGGGTCAGCACGCGACGATTGTCGACTAAATTCAGGCATGCAGACCTATGGAAAAGGTGAATAAACCAACCGATTCTGGTGGCAACTGCCGGACATCCCTGCTGGGGGCTCTGTGCCTTCTGAGGAGGTTGACGGCGGATGGTGCTGGACTGCGGGGCTGGTTGGGCGAGGAAGGGGTTCCGGGCGGCCGGGCTGGCGTTTTGGCAAGTCTATAAAGATAAGCAAAGTACGTAAAAACGCCTAAGTGTTGCTAATGATATCAAAATTAGCTTCAAGTAACTTTTGCTCAAAGTTGTCAACGCCTTGACCCTCAAAAACCCACGTTGCACGACATCTGGCAGTTCTTCAGCATCCAGTCAGGGTTCTTTGTGCACTCCGCCTAAACCACAGGTCATTACGATCATCGACGCAACCTTTGAAGCCCAAAATCGGCAAAAGCGGTGCTCGTCGCAGCATGTCGACGTCGTACATTCCCTGGCGTGCACAACTACAAAAATTTCCAGGGCCTTGAGTTTGACTTTTACCTTGGAGCCCTAGTAGACCCAGGAAAGTGAGGAGAGGCGGAAGCCTCATCACGCCTAAAATTCGGTATCTGAGCATTATTTAATTTCTCTGAACTAAATAAGTACTAAACTTTACAAGAATAACTTTAAGCATGGTGATGAGCTTTGAAGATTTCGGGGCTAGATTGTTAGCGGGGGGTTAGCGGGGGAAACCAAATTTTTTCCCCAGTGATCCTCTACGGCCTTGTAACAAAATATAAACAATTTTTATAGCACTTTGCATAGTTTTCAGGTAGAAGAACACTATAAAAAATAGTAACATTTTCGAAAATTTGTGACTTTTTGGTCAAAAATTTATGCAAATGACTAAAAAGGTTCAAATTTATCGAACTTTAAAAATGTTAGAAATATTTTTTATAACTTTTTACTAATCGCAAACTACTAAAACACTATAAAAATACGTTATATTCTATCAACAGCTAATCATAGTTGCAAAAACATACCCCATCGATTACCTTGAAGACGCGCATTATAGCAAAGAGGAACAGCGAGCAGCGTAGGGGGAAGATGAGCAACAGAATATGGGGTGTTTCGCCCTATTTATTGAGCCAGAAATGGGCCCGCAGGCGATCGAGGGGAGGGAGTTCGACCCCGAGCCGGTCCCCCCACGACAATTATCCCCCTTACAAGAAGGGGAGGGCGGACTTTAGGACTGTACGCCGCGAAACAACAACTTTTTTTCGGTTATGAAGTGGTAGCACAGGAGTGCGAGTATCGACTACTCCTATCCGTTAGGAATCGGCGGCTATGCGTCCTTTCAAAATGCTGAGATTCCTAGTTTCGACATGTTAATCTAATGAATTTTTTAACATAATATTTTGGGATTGGGATTTAGCTGGAAATTTCCTCATTAGAAATTTCGCCAAGAGGAATTTTTTCATTGTGAAATTGCGACATATTAAATATCTACATTCTAAATCTTGATAATTCGATGGCAAATGCTCTGTTTTTGTCTGTAGCTGTCCGGCCCTAGTCACTTGTAGGGGTCGATTCTTTCCCTCAACCGCTCCTTTAAGGTACGACAATTATGATAATTTCGATACGTCAATAGAACTAGGATTCCGAGTTGATTTAAGTTTTTTCTACACAAAACTCGACAAGCAATAAGCGTTAAGTGAAAATATGGCGGTGAAGTTTATTGTAAAGTTACACGCCCAGTTGGGTAAAAGTTACAAAAGGGCGGCCAGGAGAGAGAGCATGTCCGCCCGAAGCGCCCGGGGGTTAGGGCAAAGGAGCATAAGGGGATTCCGAGGTCTCAACCCGCCTGCCCCACTGACAATGGCATCATCCACAGACAGACAGAGAGAGACAGACACACAACACCTAGCTCTGTCCATACAAACAGACAGCAGCTGCGAATGGAAACTGTATGACGATTGGTCTACTTTCCGTTTGACCTCCAGCCTTACAGGGATTCCCGAGGTCTGGATTTTGAGGCTCGAGGGTTACGACGCTCTAGTTAAGATATATATCTTAAATTAAGTTGTCATTTTGAGGCCTGGATCTAACTCTATAACGGGCTACAAATGAGTCTAGCGATCAGCCGGATGGGCGGCTTTTTCTGAAGGTTTCACGGTAATGCTGGACTTTCCAAAGTAGTTAATCGTCAAAATACCGACATTAAATCTCGAGATCAAGAAATGGACATAAAAATCCCCTTTCTTTCGATTTTAAATCTTCCTTACCTACATATATCAATAGCTTTAGCTCAGAAAACTCGCGGTGTCGGGATTTCCCTGTCGGAATTTTAGCCTGTCGGGATTTAATCCTAGCGGAGTCAGTCGAAACCGTTGGCCAACAAACAAAGCATATTCACGTGCTAATCATCCAAAAAATCAGTGACGAAACCCTGAATTCAATTTCCGGGCGTTCATAGGCATAGGAAAAGCTTGAAACGTCGAAAACGCCCCAAGAAAATGACCAAGGCGACGATATTTTACGACAAAATTGGCACCCTTGCCGCCCCCATACGGTCTCGCCAACAATCGGCCACAAGAAATCGAGGAACCGGAGGTGGGACATTTTCCCGTCCAGATACTCGAAACGTCTTATAAGGCACGGATTTTTCATATATTCTTAGAGAAAAGGCCCTGCCCTCCGCAATGATCCTATTCTCCTTGATTTCTCCGTATCCTCGATTCCATCTTAAATCAAAAATAGGCACCGTGGCTGGGTGGTCGGGGGATTAAAGGGACGGGGAAAGTGACCGTCACCTAGGGGCAGAAAGGACCATTGTTGGTGGGGAGATTTTCGAGAATATGAAATGGAGAGGGTAGCGTGATGGGTTGGCAACTTTGGAGGGGTACGGTTTTTGATTCGTTAGTTTGGTCGTTTGGGACTATCGGACTATTCGGAATACCGGATTCTAAGTCTTTTTCCAGCCATTGAGATTGGAATTTCAGTAGAAACGTGAGGCCTAGGTGCAAGTCCGCGGCTAAGCCTGGGCCTAAAACCAACCCAACCTATGTTTAAGCCAAGCCTAAACCATGTCTAAGCCTAAGCCTATACCTAAGCCCAAGACGATGAAAAGGGGAAAAAAGCTCAAGCCGGGGCAAGGCCTCATAAGCCAAAACCTAAGCCAAATCCTAAGCCTAAGCTAAAGCCTATGCCTCAGCTTTTTCCTATGTCTGAACCTCTGCTTATACCTACAGGAGCATTCCTAATTTCCTAAAATGGATATAGTATCAACAGGTCTAGTATAAACAAGCATCTTAATGCGTTCCATGCAAGCTATCGAAGGCTAAAGTTAATTCCAGGCCTTCCCAGAGCGATCGGCCCGATTTTCAGGGTCGAGCGACCCCACCGAAAAAGTTTCATGGATCCGAAGGCCAACAGCCCGTCGTCCGGGCAGGGTATAATTGATAGTGAAAATGGCCCAGCCCCCCAGAAACGAGAGGGCAAGCAAGCATCCGGGGGGCATGCCATTGCTACCCTCTCCCGGGGGGCTTCTTCGGTACACAGATGGCCTGTAGAGGGCGAGAAACGAGTTTCGGGGCTTTTTGCCCGAAGGGCGAGAAGAAAGTTCTGGAGGGAGAAAAAGCATCCGGGTGGCCGCTAGTGATGGCCGGAAATATTGGAGGCCGAGGGAATGATTTTTCAATCTATCGCCGCGGTCAGGAAGTATTTTCGTCGACAGGGAGTGGAAGAAGGTAAGGTCAACCAAGCAGGACATTGCCTGAGCGCTCTAAGCACTTCTTGGCAGTGCCAAATTTGCACTTTAGAACTTTAGCTTATTACAAGCTTAGCTTTAGGCTCAACGTGTGCAGGATTTTTTTTGTATGTTCCGAAATTGCAGATGACCTTATTTCAAAAGTTACAGCACATTTCATGGCGTTTTTGGGCTGAAAATAGACCGATAGGCTTATGCTTCGGTTCTGGCTATGGCCTAGGCTTAGGCTTCGGCTTACGCCTAGGCATAGGTAGCACCAAGAAACTTGGGTGGAGATGGTATACTTGCATTCATGCGCCTATCCTATCTACATACTACAGTAAACCCTGTGGATGAGAGATCAAAGCCCGAAGGTGGTCATGAAATTCCGGGCTTGATGCCCCGGCACAAATAGCCGGCCCTCGGCTTCCATCCGGCGAGCGCACCTCCGCAATGTCCCCCGGCCACTTAGCCCTGAAGACAAAACATTTAAGTGGGCGATCTCTCGATCTCCTATTCCCGGTGATCGGGCTCTCAATAATTATCTTTCTTTCATGTTGTTTATCCTCCAAACGCAATTTCGAAATCCGGAAGCGCCTCTTCGGACTTCGAATTATTGATTGAAAAGCCTATGTAACGCCTATTAAATTTGAATTTCTGAAAGAGAATCACTTAATCGAGGGCTTTTCCGGAAATCCGTGTTTTATATTACTTAATGGATGTAACCTTTTATCAGATATGTAAGAACGGCAACACATGATATAGGTAGGGGGCAAGTGAATGATGGGTGTAATGGCCGGATATTCGGATCATGGCGGGATCCAAGATTTCCAGGTGGGGGTTCGAATCGACAAAAATACCGAAAAACCACCGGCAGAATCCGAATACCACGGCGCAAAAAGCGAATCGAGATCGAGACCCGAGGGTGAGCAGAAAATTGGGGGAATAACGCCAAATGACGATCCAACTATTTGTGGCAAGATTGGCAAGAAGTTTGTAGCACAGCACTAAAAATTCCGAATGAAAATTGACGCTCTCAGATTTGGCAGACGTCCTTTGATGTGTAATTGTTGGAGTAGACGACCGAGTGAAGTGGGCTATGTTCCTCTTCCTTTAGAGGGATTTCTGAAAAGGCTAGTATGATACAGACTAGGTTTAGGCTTAAGCTTCGGCTTAGGCTTAGATCTAACATAAGCCCAGGATTAGGCTTTGGCTTAGGCATCAGCTTTGGAACTTACCGGATCCACCTCCAGACATCAACCTCCTCGCCACCGCAACGGCTACCCGATCGAAAGGAGTCCCGCTTGGCAGTCGAGTCCTGAAAACAGTACAAATCAATCAATAATTTGCACACCTTTGCGAGGTCGAGACTGTATATCGTTTCTTTACGGTCTTCTCCCCGCCTCCAAGATACCGCAACACCATATCGCGAATTTCCTGAAAAAAGCTAGATTCACATCCTCTGAAAAACCCACCTTATTACAGCTACAGTACACGAAGAGCCGGGTGGCGCACGTGAAGATGAACAACACCGAGATGATGTCGGTCAACATTTCATAGATCTGAAAGGGAGGTTGTTCATCTTGGAAGCAAAACTACCTCGTAATAATCTTCAGATTGTGTGCTCTCCATATCCACATATTCCCACGCGGTCACGAACAGGTTTAGCGTGTTTGCCACCAGATAGCCGCATACGACCAATACGAGAAGACGGGTGGCACTGCGCACTTTTCGCTGTAACGCGGAAATTTATCAGGTCCGGATCCGTCTGTTGAAATATCACTGACTTGCTATCTCTCGCTCTCTCTCTATCTCTCTCTTGCTCTCTCTCGGCCTCCTTGCTCTCACTCCCACGTACCTTATGCTCACTACACGCAAACCGGAACATTTCTGCAGAATGGCGCTGCTGCTGCAGCGTGCGCACGATTCTAAAAACCCCAAAAAAAGCTCTCTTCCGTTTCACAAACTCACTGGAAGTTCATATAAGCCAACACGAGGAAGGGTACGAACACGGTGGCCAGATTTCGGATGTAGAACCTGAAATGGCAGCGCTTAAGCTCTGAAACAAAAGCTGTACTTGAAAATGTCGCCGTAGAAGTAGTTTTCGACAATTTGCGTCATCCCGGCAACGTACTCGGCGGTGCCCGTGCAGTTGTATGGGTTTTTGAGGACCTGAAAGGATTTTTCAACGGGTATGCTTCCGATTGCGGCTAGGGTTAGGCTTAGGTTTCTGCTTCGGCTTAGGCTTCGACTTAGGCTTCGACTTAGCCTTGGACTTAGGCTTGGGCTCAGGTTCCGGCTCAGGTTTAGACGAATACATCGCTACCGTTAGTTTTTGTCAACCTTTATCCTGTCCCATCCCTTTAAACCCATTGTCTTCTCAAGTATCCCCCTCTATCCAGCGACCAGAGCTCAATCCGCAATTCACCGCCTCATAAATAATTCGGGCTCCCACAAAAAACCAGAAGCGCCTAACGACGTCCGGCTGGTTACCGGATGCGGCCCAACTTTGCACCCCCCTCAGCGCCCCGGATCGCATTTCACACCGACTCGCAAAACCGCCGCCAGCGCGTTCGCACGCCGATTTTCCGATTAGCTGCGAGAATGTGGAGAACAAATATGTGGGGGCAAAAATATTTTCGGCATTCGTGCTGAAAACGGTAATGTTCTACAGCCAGTTTGAGTGTGAGAAGAAATTACATGGGGTCGTAAGACGTGATTTGAAGATGAATTCCCACGAAAATCTTGTAGCGGTACTCCGGGTGTTTGTTAATTTTTTGTGTTTACTTCTAGATTGGCCGAAGCCTGACTTTAGCCTAGGCTCAAGCCTAAGCCAATGCCCAAGCCATCGCCTAGCCCGCTGAAGCCGAAGCCTAAGCGTAGCCTACGCCTCAGCGAAAGACTAACCCTAAACCTAAGCCAAGCATAACATGATACCCACCGTAACCTCAAGGTACATGGTCCCTTTAAAGATCAGCGCCAGCCCGCCCATAAAAGCTGCCCATGCACCACGATGACGTCGAAAAGATGGTAGACAGGCTGCCTTTTGCGTGATCAACAACCGCTCCAATGTACCTAAAAATACATTAGGGTACTTGAGCCTTTGATAAATCGACAGTCTTACTGGAACCATCCCTCTAAACCGCGCAACATTGGCTCACCCAAAATGATGAGGTAACAGGAGAAGGTCATGGCGGTGTGGCACAGCGCGAGCATCGTCCCCACATACCACAAGTAGATCTTGGTCAGCCAGATGTACTAGAGTTTCAAATTAAGCGTAAAGCTGTTGCCAATACCCCGAGTCGCTCTTTGATAATGTCCATCGCGATCACCGGCCCGTACATTGAGGATATGAAAGCATCGGACAGAGCAAGAAGTCCGAGGAAGAAGAAGTGACCACGCTTAGCAGAGAGTAGTACCTAAACGAAGCTGTTGCGTTCTCGCTCGCTCTCTCTCGCTCTCCATTCCCCTTCCTCTCTCTCTCTCTCTCTCTCTCTCTCTCTCTCTCTCTCTCTCTCTCTCTCTCGCTCTCTCTCCCTCTCGTTTTCTCTCTCTCCATCTCTCTATGGCTCTTTCTCTCTCTATCGCTCTTTCTTGCTCTATCGCTTTTTCTCTCTCGCTCTCTTTCTGTCTAGCTCTCGGTCGCCCGCTCTCCCCTTGGATATTTCGAGTAACCTAATGTCGTGCGTTTAGGCTTAGGCATAGGCTTAAGCCTAGTTTTTTCTCAGGCTCAGGCTTAAGCCAAGGCATATACCTTGTTATTCAAGACCAAATTAAATCCGGTAATCTGCCGGACTTGCGCGGTAATCGCTTAATTTACGACCCAATTTGGCAAGACTTTTCCGGGTACAATTCCGGTTTACACCTGCGCTTGCGGCTATTTGGGTACTTCTGGGTGTATACAAGTCTTAGTAATCCGGGTTTCAACTTACCCGAGCGATGATCAAATTTGAAATTAGCGAGATGATCGACAGAGAAGTCCCGGCAACGGCCACCATATACCATCTAAAATTAGGACTTTGGCAAGATCAAGCGGTTTAGGGTGTTTACAACGTTTTCCAGCATTTTTGCTGCTTCTAGTTTCTGTTCAAAATCTTGCAATATGTGCGGGGGTTATCTGGTTGGCGTACTCCCTACCCTTACCCCCCTAATAGTTCACGTCATCCAATCAGCGCCCCTAATTTGCATAATCAAGCCATGTCCGTAAAAAAGGTATGTTTTTCCTAGAATTGATTGCTTCTAGATAAATGGCCTGGGCGCTATATACAGTATCCGGAAGCGCCTGGAGACCCAATCCAAAACCCGAACCTTCGATCCGGTGGTGTCAGATCACAGTAGGCGTTGATCAACTCCTGGCTGGGCATGTCCATTTCAGAATTTACTAGCAAATATCCGGAATCGGGCGGCTCGCCCAACGACGTGGAAGCGTTTCCCACCAGGTCCATCTGCAAACGCTGACTGAAATTGAGAATTAATTGTGGGATTTGGAAAAACAATCAAAGAATTAGGAGTGAAGTAGGAAGTTGAAGATTGGGAAAGCAATTTGGGGAATTTATGAATATGCTTGTTCTTGGAAAGACATTTTATTAGGAACACATCAGTAAGGCTAGGTTGAGATTTAGGCCTGGCTAAGGTTCTTGGCTGGGCTTGGCTTAGGCTTAAGTTTCGGTTTAGAAATAAGATTAGGCTTAGGATTAGGCATATGCATAGGCATAGACTTAGGCTCAGGCTTAGGCTTTGGCTTAGGCGTAGGTTTATGCTTAGGTTAGACTTAGGTTTTGGCGTAGGCTTTGGCGTAGGTGGTCAGCAAATGTGCAGAGCCCCACATCCCCACCACAGATTTTCTAAATTTACGTGTGAATCGGACCAAAATCAGCAGCGCCCTACAACAAGTCTTGGGAAGAAAAACAGGTGCCGGGCCACTCTGCGATCAATTAGCCCGGAATTTACGGGGGGAAACGACTTGAATGGCCGGCTCGTGCTAGCCAGACCCGGGGGTCCACTCAAAAAGGCAAAAATCGCATGAAATACGAGACGAGCGAGGGTCAAAGAAAAAGAGGGGTGGACTGGTGAAGAATATTCGTGGGATACTTTTGTGAGGCGATGAAGTGACGCTGTGTTAGAACAGAATAGAAATCCACAACTTTAGAATAGGCCTTAATTGCTGAATATTTTTGAACATCTTCTCTATTTTTCTTTCTTACACTTCTTCTCTCTCTCTCTCTCTCTCTCTCTCTCTCTCTTCCTCGTCTGCAAAAACAACAAAGTCAGGCATGAAAAATTGTGGCCTGAACTCTCATCCAAACAGCGAAAAAATATAGAAGTAGGCCCGGCGAACGCCCGAAGCACACAGACACACAACCGGCCAATTTCTCGGGCTTTCGACTGGTCGAGCCGGGTGGCCCCGGGTGACAAAAGGCCCGTAGATATTCCATTAGCAGACTTCCCGCCCGGCAGAATGGCCACTGGGTTTCAGTTATCTATTTTTCCGCGCTTGGCCCCCCTGCTGCCCTCCTTGGAAAGCTTGCCCAAGGCTTCTGAGAGGGCCGGAAAGTGATGGGAACCTGGGGAATAATGAGCGCGGGGCGGAATAGCTTACTTTTAGAGGTTCAAGAACTTCGGGTTTTCAGAAAGTGCCGGAACGTTGTTTGGTTTTGAGGATTTGGGGCTAAAGGGACACCGACACCTCCAATCGAACTATGGGCCCCGGAAGCAGGGTGCCATTAGTGTGCAAACGGCGCGCACAATTTTTGAAGATATTTACAATATTTGCGCGTCTAAAGGCAAATCGACATGGTGCATCAGCTTGAGGCCAAAAACATATTAATCAACGGTCAGCGGCCAATGAGCAACCGGTGCGAGAGCGAGAGATAGGAAGAGAGCGAGAGAGACAGTGCGAGTGAGGTTGAGAGAGAGGGAAAGAGAGAGACAACCCCGCAAAAACGAGGTTCCATTTCTGGATCGAGGGGGAGGAAGGGTCCGATTTGAGGCCCAAATGGAGGGCCCAAGGTGCCGTGTCGAGCCGATATTTGGCCCCCCGAAAATTGCCAATTTCCAGCCCGAAAACGAGGGTGAACGGCCCGACAACGTAGAGGAGAGACTACTTGGTGTCAGACCCAAAGATTGCCTCTTATGCCATGAAATGAGGCATCAAAACCGAATGCAAATTTATGTTGCGTGTTGGGGGCGTGGAGGTGGGGAGGTCTGGTCTAGTGACACTCTGCACTCTTTCGCTTCCTTTTTATGGCTATTAGGCTAAATTGTGCTGATTCAGAATTGGATTAAAGGGAGTTAGGAACGGGAAGTCCGTGCGGAAGTGGGTTCTTTCCGGAAAAGATTTTTAGGGTGGTACGTAGCCAGGAAATCTTTTGTTTTCCAAGACCATTACGTTATCTATGTGAATAAATAATGATTTCGACGCCGTTTTTAGGGATTTACTCTTCGAAAATAGCTGAACATTTCTCGTTAATTTGGCCGGGGTTTAGGCTTAGGCTGGCTTATCAGGCGCTGTACGGCTACTGTAAATCACGAATGTATCTATGAGAGAGAGAGGGGGAGAGAGAGAGAAAACACGAAAACCCGTGAGAACTCGCCAACCCAAAACTACAAAAAACCGACCGGAACCAAATTCTTATAAAGCGCCCAACAAGGGCACCCCAGGCCAAAAAACCAAAAAGCCGAGCTGTACGAGGCAATTTTTGTGGCAATCACGACGCCAAGGGGGCCGCTAGCCGGGCCGCGATATTGCATGGAGGGCCAGAAAAAGAGCGTTGGGCCCGCCCTACCCAAAGAACAGTGATGGGGAGGGATCGAGGTATTCTTGGGGAACCTTGGGTGCTGAGGATCGTCTTACCCCTTAAAACTATGTAGATGTAGAGCTTTTTAAGGTCGGGGTGCGCAGAGTGTAGTCAGGAATTTGTATATGCTAATTGCCAGTATTGTTGAACGAAAACCTGAGCTTGAGCAACAGCATAAGCCGAAGCCTAAGCCAACGCTTTTCTAAGTCTTAGTACGTAAGTATACCCTCGTACAATACCTGAGGACCTTGGCGTGGTCTTCAGTTTCACCTGCACCAAGTGACAGGTGAAGCGCTCCGCTAAAGCGCAGACTGTGTTTTGGAGCAACCGTGGAAAGTTCAAAGCCCAAGGGGCAGAGAGCGCGGAGGCCGACGAGGTACTCGCATCCCTTTCTCTCCCTTTCTCCCGCTCTCTCGTTTTCTCGCACTCTCTCTCTCTCTCCGCTATTTTTTCATTTACCGGGTTTTTAGAATGATCGAAACGGGTAAGAGGAGCGTGCCCCGGAAAGAGCGAGAGAGAGCGAGGGAGAGAAAGAAAGAGCGAGAGAGAGAGTGAGAGAGAAAGAGAGAAAAACTAGAGATAAAATATCGACAAACTTTTCCAGAAAATCCCGACACAAAAACCTTCCCCAAGCGCAATGACAAGTCAGCCTATTTACATAATGCAAGGTCCACAGATCTTCCAAAGTAATTACCCCGAATAAATCTCCGATGCACTCAATCATGACTCAAAAAAACGAGCCGCGCGAGGTGACGCTCCAACGAGTGGATACTGCCATCTATAAAGGGTTGTTTTGTGGGGTGGAAGATGGGAGATCGTTGGGTGGACACACCACGGCTAATGCTTATGCTAATCGGGTTGTTGAGGGGGAGCAGGGGCAGAAAAGCAAAAAAATACACGATTTGCGGCACGTCTTGCGATGAGGCAATGAGGAACTGGAGAGTCGGATGCTGCTTTTGACTTCCAGGTCCCTAAGCCTAAGCCTAAGCATAAACCTAAGCCTAAGGCTGGGCTAAGCCTGAGAAAGCCTTGGATGCAAGTAAAAATGAGCTTCTCGGGCGTGCCAAGTGCAACAGGTGCAGGTCGTCAGATAATAATGACATCGTGGCCTGGTATGTGGTGAAGAAAAAAAGAAAGGGTCTCGATCACATTTCTCTCGGGATCATAGCGAGAGAATGGGAGGGAGAGGAGAGAAAGACAGAGGGAGAGAGAGAGAGCGAGAGAGAAAGAGAGAGAGAGCGAGAGAGAGAAAGAGAGAGAGAGAGAGAGAGAGAGAGAGAGAGAGAGAGAGAGAGAGAGAGAGAGAGAGAGAGAGAGAGAGAGAGAGAGAGAGAGAAGAGAGGAAGGGAGAGCGAGAGGGTGGGAGATAGAGAGACGGTAATAAAAGGTCTATTTGTCACGCTTCCCTTAAAGTGAAACGAGCGACATTGCATTAATGCATCTACTCGTCCCTCCAATTGCACAATCCCAAATTCGTTCAAATTCGTCCGCGATTTTCCAAAACAATGACGCCAGACCGTGAAAATGGTAGCGCGGCCGGATGGCGACTGAATAATGCGCTGTGGCCACCTCGCCCCGGTTGGCTGTACCACCGCATCGGCATTTGTGTTTGGCCGGGCGGGCCCTCCCGCGATTCGGACTCCCCCCGTTTTCCGTATGGATGGCATTCTCGGGGTGGTGGTGTGCCCTCGGGCTTCCGTCTGAAAACAACCGCCACACCACCACGTATACTCACAACCCCTCGAGCCATCCCGTTGTGTGTTCTTTCTCGGGGTCCCTAATCGACTTGTGGCCCGCCTAATTTCCGGCGGTCCCTCAAAAAACAGAAGGCAGCCCCCGAAAAACCGGACAAAATTGGAGGAAATTCGGGCGGATAATGAGAATAAGAATAAGAAATAGCTGATGAAAAACTGGAGGCTCTTTGGTGCTGGCAATGGCTTACCGTAGCTGTCACCTTCCCATTAGGGATTTTTCAGTTTGCGGTGCCAGTTTTGCACCCCAAAAAGCCTAAATCGAGGGGCTAGAAAAAGAAAATTCAGCGGAACGCACCGAACTAACCCCAAAAAACCCAACACTCGAGAAGGCCCGTTTCAAACATCGGTGCTTCAGAAGAGCAGGCTACGTCCTGGGCTAAAGAAGGCTTGGGCTTGGCTGTATACCTAGGCTTAGGCTTCAGCTGACTTCGGCTTTAGCTTAGACTTAGGCTCCTCAGGCTTAGGTTTTAAGCTTAGACTTCGGCTTCGACTCTAAGCTTAGCTTTAGGCGCCAATATCGAAAAGTAAAACAAGCTCAAAAATTTTTCCCGAGTTTTTTGTCGAGATTTGGCATCTCTCCGCCAGGTCTATCGTTTTACAAAGCTGATTGGCCCCGCGGCGCGTCCCGCATTTTTAACGCCTAGCTCCTCAAATATTTTGGAGGTGTGGCCATTTTGAAGCCGAGATTTCCGGGTACACGGCTGAATGGGCCATAATGTTCGAGGGTCTTTCTTGACGTCCAGAAACGGAAGGAGGGCCCCCAAATGAAGAAACGTTGTTCCCGAAATCGGCCCGGAAATTGGCACGTATTTGGCAAGGGGCCCCTTCCTGGAAGTTCAGGATTTGGGGGACAATGGGGTGTGGAGAGGTGATCTACATTCTGGGATATTTACA